GTGCACGGATCGTCCTTCGGTTGGGTTAGGAGGACGCGCTTGTTTTGGGGAAGCGACGGTCAACGTTCTGTTGATCAGTTAGGCCGCCGTCGCCTGCCCACTGATATGAGTGCCTACCTTGACGATCAGGATACCGTGCACTTCACATGGACGGGCAAGAAACCGTGGCCAGCCAAGATGTTCTTTCAGGACGGGTTCAAGCCTGCTTTCGAAGCTACGGCAAACATAGGTGCGGTAGAAGGTCATGTGGGTTTTGCGACTTTTACCCGAGCCTTCGAACACCCTCTGTGCCCAGATGTCAAGGCTTCTGCAGAGGCCCAACAGCGGTATCAGGACGATGGTCGAGCCTACCCGGCCTTTGCGTATGAGACTGCTTCTTTGCTGTGGAAGGGGGACCGATGGCGGCAACCGACTGCCCAGGAGCGGGCTACACTTATGGGTATCCCATGCTCCACTCTGAAGTGGGCGCTGCCTGAGGTCGAAGATGAGGTGACGGTTGAGCGAGCCAGGTCGTCTCTTGTAGGAAACTCCTTTCACGTCCCATCCGTAATGTTTGTCTTGATGCTGCTGCTGCAGATGGTCCCGGCAGTCACAGGTATCCCACCACCGATGTACGCTGCGTTTGAGATTTGCTTGCGAAACCAAGTTCGGGGATCAGCCTTTCAACCAGGGATGGTGGAGTCATGCCCGGGGCTAGTTACGCCGGAGCTGCTGATGGGACGCATACAGCAGCAATTCGCGAGTCTTGATGTCCAGTGGCCGGAGTTGCAAGTGCATGATAAGGTCACGGCAGCCATCCGGAAGCTGCAAACCTTCAAGGTCGACTGTATCTTGAGGGGAGCGGAAGACGAGTTTGGGGCACCCCAATGGCGCCAACAGCGCCACCGTGCTTTGGCTTCGTCGGCCTTAGGAGCGCAAAGGGGAGGACCATTATCCAAAATCGCTTGTGAGCCACTTCTTCCTGAAAAGGTGGATAAGGATACGCATATGGCGCTTAGTCGCTGCTTGCCTTCTCCCTTTGATACACATGCTGTCTTAGACCCCGATGCACACTTTGCAATCAGGGCTATGGTTGCATTTGGACCATGCATTAGGACTTGGAGGCGCCTTCAACAGAGAGCCATCCGTACAGTGAGCATGTTTCTTGCACCCTGGGAGCAAGCCCTCAGGAGCCTCATGCCAGGTCCGGTCTTCAAAGTTGCATCGGATAAGTGTCCAGCGATGATGACGGCTACGGCCATCCTGCTTGACTGGCCTGACTTAACGATTGGCTTTCGGTTTGTCAAAGGTTTTCGCTTGTTGGGTGAGATTGAAGCCCCTAAGATTTTTCGCCCGGTCCCGCCGCCCACACCTGACCCGCCTGACTTAAAAACTGAGTTTTTGAAAAGGGCCCCAGCTGCGATTCGTAAGCTTGAAGCCTTTCTGCCACAAGCAGAATACACGCAAGAACTTCTTGAGCACACTGAGATGGAGATCGAGAAAGGCTGGGCGGAAGGTTTCTTCACAAAGCAAGAGTTAGATGAGATCTTTGGTCAGTCCCAGTGGCTGCCGATGCAACGATTCATGCATGTCCAAAGTTGCGGGAAGCAGCGGCCCATTGATAACGGTCGTAGCAATGGGCATAACGCCCTGTCGTGGACGGTGGAGACGATCTTCACTAACACGCCAGACTTCGCTGCCGCAGCTTGCAGGGCACTCATGGACGCATTGCGGAGATCTCACGGCAAATGCCCGCCGTGGGCACAAGTAGTCTTCGGCACTGAGGACATGAATCATGCTTACCGCCAGATGCCCAATATGCCTGAGGAAGCGCCAGGACTAGTCATTGGGATCTGGCACCCGGCTGAGGGCTCAGTCAAGTACGCCATCATGCGTGCCCACCCGTTTGGCCTGGCTAGTTCTGTCTTGAACTTTTGTCGTTTGCCAACACTGGCTACAGCGGCTACACGACAATGGACAGGCACGGCCTCAGCTGGGTACTTCGATGACAGTGGCATTCTTGATGTTGTGTGCGCCAAAGGGTCAGGCCAAGAATCCTTGCATACGGTGTACCAGGTGATGGGGGTCACGCTGGACATTCCAAAGCGTCAGCCAATGGCGTCACAACGCACCTTCCTTGGTGTGCTGCTTAACTTGGCAGGTGTGCATGAGATGGAATCGATGTCCATCGACGTGAAGCCGGGTTTGCGCGAGTCCTTGATTGCTGAGTTGGACGCAATCCTGTTGCAGGACCACTTGTCTTCTGGGCAGGCTTCGAAACTAAGGGGAAAGTTCCAGTGGGCTGGCTCGGCCATGTATGGCAGGTGCGCAAGGGGCGGTCAGGGCCCCTTGGTCCGACGACAGTATGAGGCATCAGATGATATCACGCCCGAGCTAGCACGCAGTCTTCGCTTCATGCGAGCTCTCCTTGAGGTGATTGGTCCGCGTAAGATTGCCTTGGGTCCTAGTCTTAAGCCCCCTGTAGTCATCTACACTGATGCATCTTGGGAGCCCCAGGATATGCAGGCGCCGGGACTGGGATTGGTTCTCTTGAGCCCTGATGCCCATCCACAAGGCCTTGCCTGTACGATCCCAAAGCAGGTCCTGGATGCCTTTCAGGAGCGTGAGACTCAGATCACGCCGTTGGAGGCACTTGCAGTACTCCAAGCTTCAGTGGTGTTTGCTGACCAGATCGCGGAGCGCGATGTGATCTGGTTCTGTGATAACCAAGTTGTTTGTGCTGCTTTGGTCCGGGGCAGCTGTGCATCAGACGATATTGCTTCGATTGTGGTGCTATGCCACCTCCTCTGGGCGAGCTTAGCCGCCCGAGTGTGGATAGAGTGGGTGCCATCAGAAGCTAATGTGTCCGACGACCTTTCTAGAAGTGGCACTGCGGATCCGTGGACGCGCCACCAGGAATGGCACCTCGGAACAACACCTTGTCTTCCTTGGCACTTGATTCACGCTGAGCCTCTGCTGTCAGCTGTGGACACCCTTAAACATTGGGACAGAGAAGTACATTGGGTTAACCAGGGGACATCTGACGAATGTCAGGTGTTCGCTGGGTCTGCAGTGGACCCATCTTTGTCCAATGATCCAGGGTCCTACAGACTACAGCAGAGCGCTGAAGGAAAAAGTGCGAGCATCGTATCCGATGTGATCAGTGAGCCCATTATGAGAGTGCACAGAAGGTTGGATGGATGGGAAGGGTCTCTGTGCATTTATAATGACTCCTGCATCACCGTAGCCATAGTGGCTTGAGATGCAGGCTGATTCTCGTTGCTCTTTCCCGCCCGACCCTCCCAAAGAGGTTTCTCGTGGAGACGAGTGGGTGAGCATAGTTAGGGTTAACCAGGGGACATCTGGCGAATGTCAGGTGTTCGCTGGGTCTGCACTGGACCCATCTTTGTCCAATGATCCAGGGTCCTACAGACTACAGCAGAGCGCTGAAGGAAAAGTGCGAGCATCGTATCCGATGTGAATCAGTGAGCCCATTATTTCTGTGGAAGAAAACTCTCCTCCTTTCAGTTCAGGCCTATAGTGCCCACTAGAGTCCAAAAGCCCCAAATCGCGGCTCGGCCGGGCCGGGGTGGTGTGCTTGGGAGCTCCTCTGACGGCATGAGATGCCGAGCAAAGACTGCCAAAGAGCCTCTCTAAAGGAGCAGGACATGGAAGGGCCGGAAGCGGCGAAGGCTTAGGGCTTAGGCTGGGCAAGGCCAGGCAGCCTCAAGACGATGCGAAGCTGGCCAAGATTTCTGCTTTTCTCGTCTTTCTTTCCTTGGTTGGAGTTTCCGATCCCGTCCGGCTTTCTTTTCGGCAGCTCTTAACTAACCCTGTCGACTGAGATTTGAATCAAGGTCACCGCAGGACTGCGGTGTTGATCATGCCTTACTTGTGCCTTGCTGGCCAGGACCAACAGAAGGACTCGGAGTCCAAGAATTCAGCTTGAAGTGTAGTCGCGTCACACAAGGTGGCGTTGGTCTCGCAACTTGAACAGACCTTGTTTTGGAGACTTGAGTCTGGCTGTCGACATCGGTAGGCACTGTAGGTTTCGGTGCGCTTGCAAACGTTTGCACCAGGTGCTTGCTCCTTCAATACTGTGTAGTTAGCGGCCCCTGTTTCGCCAACCAAGCGACACTGCATGGAATAGCATGCAGAAAAACGTCGCTTATCTCTGCCTGGCTTTGCAACCGCTGGTTGGATGGAGGGCACCGGAAGAGTGCTACACCCTAGCTGCGCTAAGATTGCTCATGGCGTGCAGGCTGTTTGGAGATTATGGTGTCTCTCCGTGTGTTTCGGTGTTTTGCCATCCTCCTCCGGCACTTTGGATGTCGAGCCTGGACGGTTCCAACAGGAATTGGATGCAGCAGGCTCGTGCCTGGGCTTGGGGCCTTTAGGGTTTTGAAAGTGGTAGGCACTAGATAGAATCGGGATTCGTTGGACAAAGGCCCCGAAGCAATCTGGTCTCGAGGGGCTCGTGATTGCTTCGTGCAAGCTTCCTTTGCATGTTGTTGGAAGATCGTTCGTTTGCTGCTTCGGAAGCCCCTTGAGCGTGGAGTTTGAAGACGATTTTCTGGAGGCTCTCTGCCGAACGAAACTCTGTGCCAGAGCCAATGTCCACAGGCACGATGTGGAAATTATCGATCTCGGACTCGCAGAAAAGTCTTTGTTCCATAGTTTTCCTTGAGTTTGAGTCAGAACCTGCACAGAGAGAGAGGCAGCAGGCAGCCTAATTCCCAAGTCAACATCGCAATCACCGTCGATCTGCCGGCTTTAAAGCTGCGCGAAGCGCTTACGACCTGCTCTGGGTTGTTTAAGCTCTGATGTGTACCTGCCCTGAGCAACAAGCCGTGGGCGATGTGAGATTTCAAGCCGCAGAGTCCCGGGGCCAAGCTCGTACTGAGCCCGCCTCACAGATGGGAGGCCCCAGAGAAAACAGCCCAGGGCCCTGACCGATGCATTCCCTGCTTCGAGAGCGTCACCTTTCGCAGGAAAGGCGCCTTTGCTTCGCTTTGCTGCAGGACCACCCCGGCGGGGCGGCGCCGTTGCGGCGCCTTGCTGGCCAGGCCCACGTCTTGCAGGGGTTGCGACGCAGCAGCGCGTCGACACTGACCCGCAGGATGCGACAGACGCGTTTCTGGCGGTGGGGCACTCGGAGGCCCTGTGCTCAGACTCATCACGTAGCTGTCGCACATGGCCGTCAAGAGAATTGAAGCGAAGAGACAGGCCGCCCGGCGGCTGCTTCAGAGCTTTGAGATGAGACCTTCCGAAGGCGTCCCATAGTACCGTCCCTGGCCCTGCCCTTCACCGTTCAGATGATCAGACTGCTGCGTACTGTGCTTTTTGTAGTTTTCCTGGAAGGTCGCCTCGGACTCGCAGCTCGCGCAGCTCAGTCCAAGTCTCACCCCGAGGAGTGCGCCGGGCGGCAAAGAGCTTTTGAGAGGGATTTCTGTTTTGGCTCTGGTGCGAGAAGCCTCGCGTTTGTCGTGTCTCTGTGGGGACAGCCTAAGTTGACCACAGCCTGCGCAATGGGGATTGGAAAGGCTTCCTTAGCTCTGCACCCGGCAATACGAACCCACTCGGTCGGGAGAAGAAGATCCGAGTCTGAACACAGCATACGGAGCCAGCTAGACAAAGGAAGACGAAGATAAGCCGAGAAGGGATAGCCAGATGGGAGGCACGGCTGGAATGGCTGGTCGCGGCATCATTCCTGATTCCTGGCGACCCTTTGCAAAACCGGCCGACCCCTCTATTCCGGCTGGGTGGGCTACATGACATGCCCTCATGCGTTGTATCCTTCTGTCATGCAATCATACAGTCATGTGTGCTGTGACAGCTAACTTTTGGTATGACATCATGTGTCGTGGTGCCGGCGGTTCAGGTACGATCTGACCCAGGAGCCAGCTGGGGTTTGGGACTCCCTGCGGCGGCTACTCGTGTTGACTGCAGCTTCCTGAGGCACTGGATCTGAGATCAAGACCAAACCCTGTGTGGAACTTGAGGCCTCCGTTTTCCTCCTGCTGGGCATGCAGACTGCCCTCAGCGACGGCTTCTTGCTCGGTACTAGTGAGTGACCAGATGTCAGCAAAGCTTTGTTTCTTGTGGGCCAGGTCACGAACTCGAGGCACCGGCTCCAGCGCCGGCACTGTTGGGCATGGGTGTGGCCGCAGCCATGGCAAGCTGCCCAATTTGCCGATGCAAGCAGCCAGGTCCAGGTAACTCTCGCAGCGTTTGATCCTGTATTGCATGGGTTTCTGCTCGATCCAGTCCCTCCGGACATTCGTGCACGACATCATCTCAAATTCCTTTAATGCCCCCGCTGGGATGATCCGAGGCCCAGCTCTTCTTCTGGGGAGTTCTGCCAGCCAGCTGGCAGGAGCCGGCCGGCGGCTGAGGCTCAGAGAGGCTGTTGGAGTGATGTCTCGAAGTCTAAGAAACCACAGCTGAGATTTCCCCGACCCACTCGCAGCCCTGTTCTCAAGCATGGCGGGTTCGCGGGAGTATTCTGGCGATGGCGCCGTCAGGACAGGCATTGATTTTTCGCGGACGGTCCAGCTGTCTCTGACGTATAGGAGGGCCGCGGAGATGGAGGAGGCATCGAAGCTTTATGCCCGGCGCCTCGTTGGCCCAGGGGACGCCAAGCTGCAAGCTCTGCATTCCATGACGACGCTGCAGCTCTGTGACCGCATTCTCGGGTCGTCGCCGAGGATGCGCTGAGCGGGCGCGTCAGGGCCTCGGTGGCCAAGGAAGCCTACGCTGCTCTCGGCAAACGAGACGCGTGGCTCCCCTTCCGCAAGGCCAGTTTCGATCGGCGCAACTACTGTGCCTCGATGTCAATCTCAGCCTGGGGAGGCATCGCCGAAAGATTCCGGCTTGCTGGATCGGATGTTAGCCACAGAGCAGCCGGAGCAGACATTTACAGGCCATCGCGGCCACGCACTCGAGCTGCGTGTTTTGGTTTTTGTGGAGGGCGATGTGCCAACCTGACATACCGTGGAGGTGAGTGCAGCAAGATGCTTGCTTGTGTGGTGCACGCCATCGTTCACTTGCAACCGTCACTTGCCGATAGTTAGGCACACCGCACCGCAGCTTGTCAGAGATGATCCGCACGTCAGGATCACGAATGCAGATTGGTATGCCACATCGATGGAACGCGTGGCCGCGGAACTCATTGCCAGCGGCATCTCGGCGAGTACAGGTGCAGTGGCCTCTTGTGGCCCTTGTCCTGTTCTGTTCTGTACACTTCAAAGGAGAGCTGGAGCCGAAGGCCACCTTGGAAGACAAGGCAATGCGCATGACCGAAATCATCGCCGTTGCCGCCGGGGGCGCCGGTCTGGCCGCATATTACAAGGCCAGGATCTCGAATGATTGTCAAAGCAAAAAGACAAAATGACGCTTGTAGTCAACGTCATCACCATCACCATCATCATCATCATCATCATCATCATCATCCTCATCATCATCGTCATCGTCATCGTCATCGTCATCATCATCGTCATCATCATCATCATCATCATCATCATCAACGTCACCATCATGCTCCTCATGCCGGCATTGATGAAACTACTCAGACTATGATACCAACAGCAGCACAGCAGTGACACGAGCAACACATGAAGTTTGGACTTGTGGAAGGAATCGAAAGCCCCGGTTAACGATGGCTGCATCGAAATGCAGGCTCTTGGCAAACCCCTGCCTCCTTTGCCAGCTGCTACAGCCGGCGAGCCATTCTTCAAGAGCCTCAAGGATTTCTACTCCGGTGACATTGTGGTCGAAGCCGGCTATGGAGCCTCGGCAGCAAGTGCACCTCGCAAGCCCGGTTTGAGTCCGCTGCATTGAGGCTACTCTCTGAATCCGAAGGGAGGGTCGAAGGTCGCAGAGGCGGCCGTGAAGAGAACTGGATGGAAGTCGTTGGCGGATTTCAAGCCAACCATCGACAGCATGGATCCGCTACTCGACATGCCGTGGAGCATCGGGAGATCTGACACTGTAGAGGCATTCCGTTTTTGCCATCACGTTGCAGGGGGGCCTAGAGGAGTGCTTGTACTGCATTGCGTGGAATTTCCTCATTACATGTCTTGTAAGACCTGTCTGTTGTATGCCCACTGAAGATTACAATACGTCTTCGGCACAAGCACGTCTGACATCTTTTAGCACGCCTGTAGCAAGAAGTTGGGATAATCGATCAATGCTCGTGCCAAGGTTCAGCAAAATGTCACTCACTCCGTACTCCTGTTGGATTCAGCAGCAATGGATGGAAGCGCTGTACATCCCTCTTCGGGATGTAGTCAACTTTTCCGCAAAGCCACCACCTTCCCGATGCACTGGGCCTAGTTCCGCAGAGCCGCTTAGGTGGGTCGGGACGCACCACCTGGGAGAGCTGAGGTCTGTCGCGATCGGACTTGGAAGTGGTGGCCGCTGCCTACGCTGGAGCCGTGACCTGCCATTTCTGACACAACGGGCACGCGGCCTTCGCAAATCTGACCTCTGGGATGAGCGCTGAAGAGCATCCGGCGAAGGCACCTGGGCAGGGAGCCTTATCTGTTTTCCAGACGCCGAAGCACGGCCGGCGCCAGTAGGACCAAAGACTACATGCCGTGTGGTAGCAGACTGCCAGCATAATTGAGGTTCGCATGCAGCTTCGATTGAAGCATTCTGGATTCGTCATCGACCAAAAGGTAACATGTTTCTGATCCTGAAGCCAACAGCAGAACGAAGAGAACGGGAACGCGATAGCTAGGGTCGCGGCTTTAATGGCAGATAAGCAGTACGCAAAGCCTGGACTTTTCTTCAGTTGATGTGTCTCTGGTGAGGCTGAGATGGAAGAGTTTGCCAAGGCACAATGCGATGCCAGATACCATGTGTCGCTGGGTGTGTTGCCTACGCTGTTCTGCAAGTGCGTCAGAAGAAGTAAACTACAGTACCAGATGTTGAGGTTCATGGTTGGGTCGGTGGTTGCGAAAAGGCTGGAAGCAGCGAACAGCAAGACTGACTGCGGAGGCCCTTGCCAAGGCATCGGACGAACAGTTGCAGAGCTGCGCCGCGACTCTACAGCCGTCTGTCTGAAAGAGCGGGCTTTGTGTGGGCGTGTCTTGCTCTGCATGGCCCGCTTGCCACTTGTATTCTTGCACCGGGCGGGTATTTCGGAGCGCAAAACTGGCAGAAGTGCCGATAAATCATGCGGTTCGCCAAGATCTCTCAGGAAGAAGGCGGGCGATCACGTTTACCTTGACACAGTGGGTGTCGCTGCAGCGTTCGCCACCATGACAAGGTCCTTGTCTCACGCTTCTGTCAGTTTTTGTTTCGATGTCCTGACACTTCCAGCTCCGAGCCTTGCAGGATGGTGGATGGCACGGGTCACTCGGCCAATTTGATGGCGACCAAAATGGCCAAGCACGTGACCAACTCGGTCGATGCGGCCTCAGTATGCCTTGTTAACCACTTCACTTGCGTGCAATGCATTACGTATTCCGGCGACTTATGATGCAGGTTCAGGTCAGGCGATCTCTGCGTCGGCGGTGGTTGCTCGTCCTTCTCGGGGGCGTCTTGGCTGGTGTGGCCGCCAAGAAGTTGGCAAGCCAAATGTAGGATCGGATTGCCGCAGTTGCTGCATGCTGCTGCTGCCAGAAGGCGTGTTCGCGAGATTTTAATCTGAGTGTGCAAAACGCTCTGCTTCGCTTCTGTAATTCGTGCTTCGTTTCCGGCTTCAGGATATGTGGTGATGTGCAAATGACATGAGGCACGTACTACGCTGGCTCCACCTCGACAAATGTATTTAGGGAATTAAGCGCGCGGTAACTTCGGTGGTTCCAGCCGGTATTTGTGCCTTGAATGGAAACGCACACAGCCTGCATTGCATCTTGGAGCTCGGGATCAGCAGGTTAGCTAGTTACCTCAGGACATGTTTGTGCTCAACTCGTTTGCTTCTGGTGCGACTGCTCTGGTCCTGCAGCATTATCTTTCGGCAGGTGCAGGGTTCCATTGTACAGATCGGGCGAAGGGGATTCTCAAGGTCATGATCCTTATGGATTCCAGCGAGATGTAGCCTTTGCAGACCCTTAGACTGCCCGCTTGTGCAGTGAGACAAAGCGGAAAGCTGCAGCCCGTCTCTGCTTCGCCGAGTGTGTTGTCTTTATGCTTTGAAGCTAACTTTCGAGAGGTGCTTGAGTTTAGGGCTTCTTCACGAGGTTCGGCACCGTCTGCTGCTGATCCCAGGCGCATCATTTACGATAACCAGCGTTGGTACACTGCCCTTTGCACAGATACGAACAGATCGGCTTGTGAGGCCTTTGCCAAGTTGTGCTGGCGATGACTGTGCACATGGCATCGTATCCCGCTGGGCCACTCATTTACTTGTCTTCTTGGAAATGCGCACAGCTTGCTTTGTTTGCCAATTTCGTGTTGCGAAGCAGCATCCGTGCCTGCAGCAAGGTGCTGGCTATTGGTGGTGCTCTCGGTTTTCTGATGCATGTCGGCAGAACGGAGGCCATCTGGACGCCATTTTCCATTGTACACTGTTGCTCATTAGCGTGCCGTGTTCCATTTCCTGGATTGGATTTCTGCTTCGAGAAAGCAGCGAGCGATCAAGAGTAGTCACGAGAGCTAGATCTCATCAGTCGCCGGGGTGGGCCCCGATTTGGAGGGGTGCTGGGGGCACGTTCGGGGAATCGTCCACCGCGGCAGTCGGATTCCGAGTGCGTGGCTCCTCTGCGCATCTGCATGCTTCGATGTGTAGCCGGTAACGACGCATATATAACTCCGTGGGCGGGGGCGAACGGTTGTGGCACTCTGCACGGCAGACCCAGTCACTACTTACTACTTGTACCGTGCGTTCGCATATTTGTGTGAAGCCCGCACCATTGCTGGCAATTCGGCACATCGTCAGTGAATGCTGCAACACCCTCGCAGAATTTGAGTCCAGAAGCTTTTGACTCGTTCTGCATTCTCGAAATCTAGAATGAGGGCTTCCAGAAAAGTTATTCTGCACGGGGAATTCGTTTTTGGTCTGCCTTGCTATCAGAAATCATTTCAATAATAGGCGAGATCCTGTTTTCGTAGCCTGTTCGGTTCAGGGCGAGCCCTTTGGACATGAAGATGTCGCCATCACAGTTCGAGAGTGGTTGATGCTGTTCCTTCGCTGCTGCAAATGCAAAACTTGCGCACTTTTGTTTCAACTTTCTCGATGTCCTCCTCGTCGGCGAAGAGTAGGCATTAGTTGAAGTTCCAAAGCAGAGCCATGCAGGGCCCTGCCTCGCCCAGTGCTTTGGGCACTGTTGCCTGGGCCCTTCTCTTCCAGGTTTGGTGGGATGTCTGGCGGGATCTCATTGCCTCAGCGCCCCGAAATTGGCCGTGACAGGCTTGCCTTCCTTCGACTTCCGCACAGCCGACAGGTGCTTGTTTGTCTCCAGTGTGTCGGTGTGGCAGTATTCCTAGAACGTCAGGAGAAGGGAACGCAGGGGACTGCGTGCAGGAAAGAGTGGAAGGCGTGGGCAGAGCTCTCTGATGGACTTGGGGAGTCTTTCGTCCTTCCGCGTTCCGGTCCTTCGACAGGTCTTCTGAGACCCTCCTTGGCAGCTCGGGGCTGAGCTTTCCCCGCCTTCCGCCTTTCAATGCTTGGTGTGCTCTTTGGCCTTGGAGGTGCTTCTGTTGGCTTTGGCAATGCAGGGCCTGCTCCGGGCCCACGGCCCAGGCAGGATCCGGTACGTTAAGTCGGCAATGACGGCAAATGCTGGTGCAGGTCTTGGCAGGTCTGGAGTTGCAGGAGTTTGCGTGCCCGCCCCGGAACTGAAGGGTTTCAGACGTCGGGTCGTGCGAAGTGTAGGCTTTGACGGCCATCTCTGAAGTTGCCTTGCATGGAGATGGTCAGCTTTTGACCCTGGCTTCATTGCAGCTGCAGGCTACAGTGATGGCGGGGCTCAGGATCGCAGGTGCAGTAGCGAAGCTCCCCCAGATCTTATTTGCTGACAGCAAGAGCTGCGGTTGCTGCTGCATGGATTTACACACGGGTCGAGCACACATCTTCAAGCTAAGGACTTGCTTGTGGATCCTGCTGAAGCAGCTGGAGGCAAACGGATCCGTGAGGTGTAGTTTCAGATACGTCATGAGTCACGCAGGTAGTCATGTGCCAATCAGTGTCTGCTTCGATGCACAAGAGTACCAAGGGGCTTGCCGTCTCGGTGCAGGTGGGAGCGGCAGCCAGCCATCTCGACGCCGTGGACCGAATCCTCAAAGTAGACAGTAGGTCGGTAGGATCTAGACTCTGTGTCGAGAAGTGCTCAGCCAGAGGGTTCCTTTCACCGAGCGAAATTAAATGGTGCTATGCGGGCTGTGAGATGAGGCCCTGGCCGGTGCTCTGCGCAGCGGCTCCTCGATGCTCCTTCTTGGGCTCGTGCAGGCCGCAGCTCCGGAGTCGAGTCTTGCGACGAGCAGACAAGCTCCCAAGCTCCGCCGTTCTGGCTCGGCACCGTTAAGGAAGAGGTCCCGTAGAGATGCGTGCAGCAGGAGCAGCAGGCCTTGCCGGCGCCGTCACTTGGATAGGTGATGAGCCCCTTCGCAAGGTTCACCTTCTGTCAGGTTCAGCTTACGAAATCAGGGGCTGTCACGATCTGCGCCATTTCAAGCAGGCCTTGTCGAAGGAGCTGGGGCATCCTGCCTACCTACTGACCCTGCTGTCCGATGGTGTGGCTATAACATGCAATGACGAGTGGCAGAGGCTTGACAGCTCCAAGCACCTTGTCGCCGTGCAGTCATGTCCATTCACCGACTTTGTCACCGACTTTGACCAGGACCTCATCGAGGTGCTTGGGAAAAACACGTTCGATCACGTTCGACTCGCTTGGACCGCTTGGGATTTTCCTGTCGCGACGCGGTGCCGCGTCGCTGCAGCGGCGCTGCCGTAGCCTACTTGTACACGTACTTGTTTAAGGAACGCGCCGGCAGGGGTGACGGGGCGGGGGCGGCGGGTGTGTTGGGAGGTTATCATTAGGAGACTATCCAGCAACGTCCCGACCTTTGTCCGCCTCGATGAACTTATGACACTTGCTGATTGCAGGCCAGCACGGCCGGCGACATCAGCCGAGCAGAGGAGCTGTTGGCAAAGGGACAGCGGCCGGATGCAGATGTGGTGAGAGGGAGGCACAATGCTGGTGTGAAGCCTCTGCATCTCGCTGCAGAAGCTGGGAATGCTGACTTGGTCAGACTTTTGATTCAAGCGCGTGCTGCAATCAATGGTGGCAGATGCGATAAAACCCCGCTGCAGATGGCATGCCAAGCCGGCCAGCCAACAGTGTTGGCGGTTTTGGTCGAAGCTGGTGCGGACATAAACGCAGCGAACAGGTGCGGTAGAACTCCGCTTCAGCTTGCATGTGCAGGTGGACATTACCATTGCGTCTACAATTTAGTGTTGGCAGCTGCAGATGTGAATCACACTGCTAACAGTGGCAGAACACCGTTGCAGCTCGCCTGTGAATTTGGCCATATTGATGTCATCAAGCTTTTGATCCGAGCTGGTGCCGACATTCACAAGAAGGGGATCCACGGGGGAACTCCGCTGCAGATTACCTGCGAGAAGGGCTATTTGGAGGCAGCGCGCCTTCTCATACGTGCCGGTGCGGACATCAATGCCGCGAGCCGATATAGTCGCACGGCCCTGCAGCTGGCATGTGAAAACGGCCACATTGAGGTGGGAAATGCCTCCGTTCTGCAAATTTTCCTAGTTTTCATGCCTTCGCCAACTTGAGCTGCATCTAGTGTATATGCAATCTCGGTTGTACTCTTTGTCAAGTACATGCGTGAGCTCAGCGCAGGTCGTTACTTACCTCATAGAGCAGCGGGCGGATGTTATCAGCCAGCGCAACTACGGAAGGACCCCACTTCAACTGGCTGCTGAGCAGGGCCACCCCGATGTTGTGAAAGCCCTGGTGGAAGCGCGGGCCGACACTCAGGTCGCTGGTGCCTACGGCCGCACACCCTGGACACTGGCGTGCGAAGGCAACTTCCAAGTGGTGCAGGTCTTGCTGAAAGCCGGAGCTGGCCGCCGCGCAAAGGGAAAGCCAAGCAGTTAGCCACCAAATGCAACCAAGTCGGTTTCGACGTCTTCTGGGTGGCTGCATGTTGCAGCGTTTCACCATGCTCAGGAAGCTTGGTGAGTGCTTTGAAGCTGCAAAACGGGTTGTATTGCGGTCGACCTCGCCTTTCCCATGTGCTTGAATCGGTTTGTTAGCCTTTGACCGACCAGGCTGCTGCCACGGACGCTTCGGAGGATTTCCGTGCCATACCGATACTAGACGGCCCGATTGGAGCGGTTTGTGTGTCAGACTCCCACAGGAGTTTGGTGCTGGCTTCGTTAGTGGTTGGCTCTCTGCAACCGTCGGACTGCTCACATCACACCACATCACGCCACGTCACGTTGTGCACGTTGCGGGCTCTGCTCGAGTCATATTCTAGGCGCTTGCCTGCAGGATCCATTGCTGCACTGCTAGGACTTGGGCAAGGCTGGAGAACGAAAGCACGTTGATGTCTTCGACCGAAAGCATCCGGAAGCTACAACTTCGTACTGGAAGCCCGAGAGAAGAGAGAAGCTAAAGTTGCTGCTTGCTGCCAGACCGGCGGCTGGGCCTGACCCTGCCAGAGCCTCGGTGATTCCTGGTTTTCAAGCTTGAGCGGCTATGTCTCGCTCTTCTCGAGCAGTGGCTGCGTGGATGTGGGTTGATGCAGCTTGGCGCCAGGTTGGCCTGGTTCCTGCACCTTCATCGCTCGGCGGCAGATCTGGCAACGAGGTGAGGCGACACGTTGCCTCGATTTTTGCGCACGAAAAACCACTGTCTCTAAGAGGATTGCAGAGAAGAGCCGTCCCGGAGAAGGCCTCCAGGGGAGAAATGTGTTGGGTCGTCTGCTGTCTCCCACCGTGTTTCAGGAAGTGCCCTGCCGGAGGCTTCCGTGAGGCCAGTTTGCTTTTATTCTGTGACCAAGAAATCAGACTTGGAAGGTAGTGAAAGGCAGATCCGTAGGCCAGCTATTCCCTCAAGCCAGGGCACGTGGCCTGGTTAGGTTGCTGTTCCTGATCGACAACTTCAGGTCTCTTGTAGCCATGGCAGCGGGGGGCCGAAGGTTCTTCGGGACAGCTGGTCAGTAGATGCAAGAGATCCACTGCGATCCACCTGAGGTGTGGAGCTTTCTCGGCCGCCCACTGGAGAGGCATGCAACACAAAACGGATGCTCTTTCGAACGAGACGTGGGTTGTCTAGACCTTTAACCAGAAAATAACAGCGAGTGGGTGGCAAACTGCGGTGCCAATGACGCTATGCTCGCGGCGCTGGCGGTAGTCTTGTCTAAGTCCAGTGGAATGTGGCACTTTGCCAATTAGCATGTGGGTTTGCCAGCTACTTGTAGGTGGAAACATGTCTTAAGCATGTTGAGCGACATTGGGCTCTACTTCAGCACCCTTCTGTCTGCAGGCTGGTAACATGGATGCTGCCAGGGCGGCTCCGCGTCTTTGCCTTCGAGGTCTTTGGGCTGCTTCTGTTGGCTTCTGGCTTTTAGTCCACGGTCCTGAAGGCTCCCATCGATGATTTGGGTGGTCTCCTGCAGGCTGGAGTTCCCTGCTCAGGCCCTTCGTTTCCTTTGATAGGCTCTGCAAACTCGAGCCGAGGTGTGCCTGATGTTGGAGGGTTCCAGCTGGCACCTTGGTCTTGGTGGCTGAGCCATTTTGAGCCACTGCAAGGGAAGGGGTTTGGTGTGAGTGTAAGTCAATGTCTAGGCCTCTCTGCAATCCCCGCCCTTCGGGAGGCCTTGCTGAGTCTCCGTCTCCCGGCCACGTCGCAGAGGCCTCAAACTTTGTGCGCAGCACTCTGCGGCGTGGAGCGATTCCCGATGTGATTGGAATTGTGCACTCTCGCCATCTCAGTTTCATATCATGAGAGCATGTCGATGTCCGTACCTTCATGGGCAGACATTTGTGACAAGCACGCTGTGGTAGTGGCTTTTGCTGCTTCAAGTTCGGCTGCTGCCAAGGTCTGTAATGTTGGGCACCTGCCCACTGCCGACGACGAGGACTTGAGGGTCGAGCTCCTCAGAGGAGAGGGAGGTGATCAGGTGATCCCTTGGCTGGTTTGTGCTCTGCGCCCAGCTGAGGCGACAGTGCGTTCGTCCCTGAAAATCATGGAAGAGCTTTCGGGCCGGGGGCCTCATCTCGGCCCGTCTCACGGTGTCTTGCAATTTCTTCCATTTACCTTCTTCAGGTGTGAAGGCCGCCTTGCGAACCAAAGAGGTGCAGGCGGGGGGTGCTTGGCGGGAAAGGGGTGGCTTGGGGAGCGAGCGTTGCATTCATGAGCTTCGTGAGCTCGGCGAAGGTGGCAGCGCATCCACCTGCAGATGGATTTGCTGCTTAGTTGGAATTTCGGACTTCCGTTTGTGTCAGCGTCCGGAATAATTGCATCTTGTGAGGTGGCCAACCTGCTGTGCGTCCTGCCGAAACCTGGCAGGCAAAAGCTGCTAGATTCCAGATTCGAGATTTTGCCAGCTGCCAGAAGTTCTAGACAGGGGGGGGGCGCAGAGAATCTGAGCTAGTCGGTAGATGTCGGCAGTAGAACCGACATCGAGAGCAGAGTGCTCAGCAGGCTCTTCGTGGTCTCGCGAGTTTTCAGGCTGCAGAACCATGAAGTATGCGCGCAATGGACCGTGTTTCTCACCACAATTGGGTCGTATTTTCTCATGGTGTTAGCGGAGTTTGAAGCACCTCATCAACCGTGGTGCAGGCGAGGCATCGTGCATCCGGGTTGGCAATCCGTCCGTGAAGTGAACCTTTCAGTTTTGCCCTCAAGACAGCACGTACATGAGTCAATCATTACCTTCCGCATGGACAATCAAGCTTCGGCGGGTTTTGGTTTGCCAGATTCCGGAGCTAGCCTTTGCCAAGGTCTGGTCGACAGAAGAAGCCGCCGTGTCCTGGTATCGCCAGCTGGGAGCTCTGTCATGCAAATGTGCAAATTATACACATTGCTTCAGCAGAGATCTTCTGTGCTCATGACTTAAATAACTGCAGAGTCATGACATGATACGTACTTCGCGGATCACTACTTGCCGGTCGAGGTCAGACGCCCATGCTGCTATCCTTTCGCAGCACAAAGAGGGCAAGCTTAGGAAGCTTGTCCCAAGCTTCAAGAGACTTCTTGTTATCCGACATTGCGACACTACATAAGCAAACGTCGCAGTCAGCCCCAGGACTTTTGGCAACCTGTTGCTGACGCTGAACGCGACAAAGGCAGCAATCTTTGGGACATTCCCCCGATGTTTCCAGAGCCACAGCACAGCACAGCGCACTTGCCTTCACCGCCCTGCGAAGGTCGCTTGGCAGCGGCGCTGCCAAGCCTGTGCCACCGTTGTCGAGGGATTCGCGCAGGGCAGGCGCTCCTGCCCGCATCAGTGGGTGCGTTCGGGAAAAGTTGTGCAAGATCAGGTCTTCTTAAGTCCAGGGCATGTTTGAACCGGGCTGCACCGTCAGAGGTAGCATCACTGTTTCCTCGAAGAGCTTATTGCGTGCTTCATGGGAGGTGCCACCGCTGCGGAGCCGCGACTTACGACCTGCCAGCCTTTTGAGTCGAAAAGTGCGGCACTTCCGGTGGCTTCGAGCGCGAACTTCGGACCAGCTGGGCCAAATCACCGGTTCTGCAGGAAAGGATTGAGGGAGATTCCAGACGATTTGCATCTCTGTGCCTATCGACACTTCCTCGTGTTTGGTAAGTTCGGTTTGAATAAACATCCGCCGCCTAGCCGTCGCATTGACGCGAAGCGCTTGAACTACAGTGCCAGCCTGTGCACATGACGGCCATGGGCACCCGCAGGACAAGCCGCATCAGCGGCAGAGTTGGCAGTGTACTATACGAAGGGTGCAGAGGAGACACAGACAACCACACAGAGTCAGGTCGGCCACTGTTATATGTCGGTTAGATGAAGCCTCGTAGCTGTCATGTTCGCGCTGCAACCTTCCTTGCAAAGGCTGGTTGTAAGCAGTTCACATCACACATATCGATATTGGACCGCCATAGCGTCTAACTCGGAGGCCTGCGTGGGGGCACGAGAGCAACTTCCGAAGGTGCCTGGCGAGGGCCTCGCTGCGTTTGCATTCCGTATGCTTTGCTGCGAAATCTCTTGCTTGCTCTTCACACCCAGCGGGCATGGCTCCGTGCATGACAGCAAGGAATCTGATTCGCATCAGCGCCAACCTCGCCACTTCCGCCTAGCAGGCGCATCTTCCATGTTGAGATGCAAGGGCAGGGACAAACTGCATGAGTGCATTCTCATAATATCGATCTATTGATCGGTCTATCTTTTGCATAGATGCTTCATGACGCAACTAGATGTCTGCATGTGTACACACATACTTACATACACGTATATGCAAATATATTACATAAATAAACATATATATACATATTTGTTTGGACAGATGTATGTGCATATAGCATATACCCTACATATATATATATATATATATATATAGAACACACACACACACACACACGCTAGGCCACATACACATACCTCTATATAGTGTACCACAGCCGTGCTGCATTGTCCGAGGGGCTACAAGTCTCGCCAAACAACCTTCTTCTTCATCACTTTTGAACTTCCTCAAACCCTTTACGTTGCTCAACTTAGTGGACTGCTTATTTCAAGTCTGCAAGTGTCATCAAACTCTTTAACTGCCTAGCCTCTGCTTGAAACCTTCGAGAAGCGTTCGCTTCCTCAAATTCCCGCAATTCCGTGTGTATGGATTTCAATGAAGAACCTCGGCAAGTTAATGAAAGCAAGCGCAGTTTCAGAATTTAAAGACTTTCATTTCAATGTAAGAAGGTCGTAATGGCAGTCCAACAATTTGGAACACCATGATTTGTAAACGCTCAGCAAGCTTAAGCGAGTCAGAAAACTGGCGTTCGGCTTGGCTGTGACATGGTTCGTTTGTGCCGCGGGTTAGCACCGGGACGGGCTTGTTTGATTTACACCTGCACACACACACACATGCATACATTTTTTGGTTACATACATGCATCTCGTTACACGCGTAATTCGTTTGTGCATCTTTTTTTGGGCGGCCCTATGCAAAGCAGACACAAGTCAGCGTACTCACTGTGAGTAGGAGAAGAAAGCGCTAGACCTGAGGAGCTTCTTGCACGTTGGCAGCCCCACTAACTGAGACCAAGCCGGACGGTTAACAGCCAGCCTGTGAAGCAAAAGGAAGGCAAAAGGAAAACTAGGGGATAGGGAGGTCATGGCATGTGGGGTATGTGAGAGCCAGTGCCATGCTAGTTCGGCACACTGCTCGGCCCAGTGAAGTCTACGACGTCCCGGCCGTATGCCTGCCTGTACTGTACCCCCTCTATATACAAACGCCTTCGTGAAAACACAGTTTCGCTCCAGGTTGCTCGGAGTTGCTCTCAAAACGTGACCAAACAACTTTAGTTGTGCCCTGTGGATGTGGTCTGTGAGGGGGGGCTGGTCGGCAAGGGCTCTGACTCCTTCGTTGCGGATGGTCTGTGCGTGGGGGTTGTCTGTGAGAACCTTGGTGTAGTAGGTGGCTTTGATCCTTTGGATCTTGCGGAGTGACTGTGAGTGGAAGGCCTCAATCCTGTGGAGGTCTGCTGTGGTGAGCGCTGCGGACTCCATGCCATAGGCAATCATGGGGATGAAGACCGCGTTGTAGATGCGCAACTTCCACGCTACACTCAAGCCTGTGTGTCTCCAGAAGGCGTGCAGGGTGCTGAAGTGCTTCCGAGCTTTCCCCAATCTTGCGGTGATATCCGCCTTGCTGGACGAGTCCTGGCTGAGCACCACGCCGAGGTACTTGGCCTGTGTGACTTCCTTCATTGGTTCACCTGTGAGGAAGTGTATGTGGTTGACGGCCAGCTGTGAGCGCAGCAATTCGCACTTTTTAAGATTCAACGAGAGGTTGCTGTAGCCAGCAACTTCTTGAATCTTGTGCAGAATCTGCTGGCCCCTTTCAGCAGTACCTGTGAAGACGGCCATGTCGTCTGCGTAAGCGAGGTCGTAGAAAGGTTGGTTCTGGCTGAAAAGCCACGGAAGCATCTGGCCGTGCTTCTGCAGCTCCGCGTCGACATCCGCCATGATCATGCTGTGAACCACCAAGAAAAGGTAGGGAGAAAGCGGACAGCCTTGGCGAATGCCCGAGCTTGCAAGGGACTGCTGGCTCTGTTGTCGTGCTGCTTTGACTGTGAAGGAGGGGTTGTTGTATATCGAGCCAATCAGATTGACAAACGACGGCGTCACCCCGTGGCGTTCAAGTGCCACCGTAACTGCTTGCGGGTGAACTTTGTCAAATGCCTGGCTCCAGTCAAGAAGCTGCACGTACAGGGTTGAGCCGCAGCGTTCGGCTCGCTCCAGAAGCCTCCTTGCCACATGAATCGCCTGTGAGGTCGATCTGGTGGCTCTGAACCCATACTGTGTGGGTCGCAGCTTGTGATCTATCGCCTGCTCCAGGCGTTTCTGGAGAAGTCTGGCGAAGAGCTTGTAGGAGGTGCTGAGGAGGGCGATGGGGCGGTAATTGTTGGGGTCCGCCATTGTGCCGCGCTTGTGGATCTCGGCCACGACAGCTGTTGACCATTCTTCCGGTACAAGACCTGTGAGCAGTGCGTCGTTGAAGAGGTCAAGTAGCGGCTGCCGATTGGCTGGTGTGAGCCACTTTAAAGCCTCTGCCGGAATTTGGTCAGGGCCTGGAGCTTTGTGTGAGGCCATGCCTTTAAGGGTGGCGTTGAGCTCCTCCATCGTGATGGGTTCCATGTTGACTGGACTTGCGTCTGTTAGGGGGTGTGTGGGGCCTGTGTAGTCTGTGGTTGGTGGGGCCCACTGAACTTCCGACAGGTGTTTTGCAAAGGTGTCGGCCTGCTTGCTGTAGCTGGTAGGCTTGCCGTTGGAGTCGTGCAAGGTGACCGTGCGGGGCCTGTAATCCGAGCGGATGCGCTTGATCCAACGCCACTTGTCCCGAGCGTCCATTGTCTCTTCGCTCTCCTGAAGGCGATCCTTGAGCCATTGCTGCTTGTCCTTGCGGGCCTGTGAGCGGATGGTCTTGTGTAATGCGCGCTCAGTGTCCGAATCCTGGCTCTGGCGAGCGGCTGTGCGTTGTTCTATGAGCTCCCACGTCTGCTGGCTAATCCAAGGGTGCTTAGGTTTGCTGTCCTGTGTGGGGATATGCTTCTCCATGGACTGCAAAATGGAGTCCTTGATCGATTGCCATTGCTGGTCCAGCCTCTGCTGGTCGGTGTTCGACTGTGAAGGCTGGGGGGAGGCATCCTCCGCTTCGGCCTCGGGTGGGGCAGGCTCCTCGAAGGCTGGCTGATGCTGAAGGGTTTCTGTGAAGTGTTTGTTGAAAGAGAGAATGGATTCTGCGTCTGGGCGTCTGGTCGGCTTGGGGGTGGGTGTTGCTCTCTTGTGGCAAGCTGTGTGTAAGGAGAGCGTGACTCTGGTGAGAAAGTGGTTGCTGTTGAGGGCAGCGTTCGGGAGGGTGTGCACGTCAGTGACCATATTCTTCCAGGCGAACTTTGGTTACATACATGCATCTCGTTACACGCGTAATTCGTTTGTGCATCTACATGAGCGAAAGCACATGAAGACCATGGCGCTGCGGACGCAACTTGGGACGATCGGAGGCATGCGTCTGTTTTTGTGTCGAGGTTCGCTACTGTGCCTCCATGCATTCCAAAGACGATTGCGCGGAGATGCACGGAGGTGCGGTGCCCATGCCAGCAAAGAAGAACATCGCAACATATTCGTGTTTGATGTGAAGGTGGAAGAGTTTCAGACAGACTCCAGTGATCTCCATGGCACCGGCAGGTTGGCACGCTGTGCTGCTCGGCAAGACCTGTTTCAGGCATTGCAGAGGCACGGTTCATGAAGTTCTCCTTGCCTGGAGCACCGCGTGAGTTGACGCGTGCTGCGCCACGCGCCAAACCTTTGTACAGCCTCTCATTGCCTCCTGCTGACGAGGAAGAGGCTCAAGCAGGACATGTGCGACGAAGTACGGCTCTTATTAGTGCTTTTGGGCGGGTATTTACACTGGGTGCAGATAGACTGCTGCATTCTTGGCCAGCTGCTGGCTGGCAAGTGCCTGTTGCCTCCTACAGGACGCTGCAAGTATGAGTCACACCGCCTTTCGGTTGGAGCGACAGGCTGGGTAAACCTAAGCTGAACCGTCCTGCCTCTCTGAGGTGGCCGCTGGGTGGCTGGCGGTCAAATCCTGCAAGGCGAGTGCGTGCGTTTTTGTACCTCGTGCGACGCTGGCAATGCTTGCAGGGCGCGTCCTCAAGAGAAGAGGTGTGCCGACCTCGGAAGTGTTGTGCACAGCCCTTCGCCATTGCCATTGTCGGCACAAAGCTGCGAGGGAGGGAGGGTAGTCGTCATTGCTTCAGGGAGGCAGCAGATGAGTTGCGTGGGCTGGACGACTCCCATTTGGTCTGACTCTCAGTCGGTGGTGCTCCGAGGAGGCCTCCTGCCGAGGGCAGTTCTCGTTGCAAGCGTGGGTTTTCCTTTTAAGGTCGATGTGCTTGGGAAGGTCACTCGACGGCCAGTCGACAAAGGCTGGGCTGTGGCACATGCGAAGCTGCACCCTTTCACGAACAAGAAGCTGAGAACAACGCGACGTCGTCGTGATTGGTCTAGGGCAGTGAAAGGTGGAGTTGGCGGGTGTCCATCAATGTCTTGCAGAGTTACGCGCTTCGTTCTGATGACTTTGTAGCCCACTAGCCTAATCGGACCCGTGGGACACTCCTTGAGTTTCCGAGATGCGACTGGCACGGCGTGGGCGCTGCGCAAGGCCGCCAAAGCCTTAGCGCATCTTCTGTTTGGACGTCACATGCTTGCTGACTTTCACTTGCTAGTGGCGAAGGGGCTTGTCGATCGTAAGGCTCTTGCCAAGGCTGTGCAGCATATAGGCTGCACGGTCCAGCCAGGATGGCAGCAAGTTTCTGTTCTCCATGATATGGAACTGAGAACCTTGCTGCTGTTAGCGGTTTTGGAGCAGATCCCTCTAGGCTTTTCATGTCAAAGGTGGCAAGAGTTCGAGGGAGGCTCTTTGAGAGTGTCAACGAGCTTGAATCTGCGACATCTGTCGGCCTTGGACGGGTGGGAGCCCCTGAGATCTCGGAGAACGATCATGCGCATGGTGCTTGTCTTGAACTTAAACTCGTTGGCTTGTTGTGCGCGGGAGGTCGTACTTTCCCCGAATCATGCCTTTCCTCCAATCCACTCAAACTGGATGCCCTGGCAAATAGATCGTGCTTTTTCGCGGGCCCGCTCTTGCCTCTTGTGCAGTGCAAGTTTCCTTCACCGTCACAGTCATAGGGATCGTGCCAGCACATGCACACCCACAGTCTGGAAGAACAACACTTGGTCATATGAGCGAAGGTACTTCGAAATTGCAGCTGCTGGTTGAAAGCCAGCTTTTTCAGCTTGCTTTTTTCTCTCGCCTTTGTGAACCTGGACAGCGCGCAAGCTTGACCTGCTATTATTCACCTATCGACTGACGCAGAACGGGTTTCATTCTGCCTGCTGCCGATGTCCGCCATGCAAGCATGATTGGTTCTGTGGGCCAGGTAGAGGACAGTCATGTTGTTGACGCCGCAAGCCCATAGCCAGCGCAATAAGGACGACCGAGCCTACTTTACGTACCTGGCGAAGAATCCGGAGGCCAACCAGTGCACGTTTCATTTATCCCCCACGCGTTGGTTGTTGAGGATCGCGTCTAGATTCTATCGGTAGTTTTTCGTCCTTGATGTTTCCGCCATGGAAACTCTACTTGTGCTGTGTAACAGGTGTATGCGGAGCAGCTTCAGCAGCGAAATCGGTGGCGAGAAGGGCTCCCACAGGTGTCGTTGCAGACCGCCGGTCGCCTCCGTAGCTCCCACTTGCTGTGTGTCACAGGTTCTCATGGTTGCGGAAAAGCCATCAGTGGCGCGATTGGTCGCTGAATTCCTGTGCCCTCATACTGAACGATTGCGGGAGAGAAGGTGGATCGCTTGCAACACATGTTGTGCGAAATGTGCGATACTTGTGTGTACATGTGCTGGTCTCACGGTCCATTAACACAATGATTGGCTAGATGGTTTCGCGATTTTCTTGAACTGAGTAGTGGGTTGTGGTACTGGACTCATCGTGAGTAATGGGATGTTGTACTGGACTCATCGTAACTACTCGTTCCACAGCGCCTCACGAACTCCGAGCGATCAGGATACAACCATGCCATGAACATGAAAGGTTGAATCCGCGGCTCGCCGAATTCTGTATGGTTCTGATGACCCAACGCTTTGTTTTTGCCGTTCACCATGAGTCCCTGTCGAAAGGGGCTTATCTCCGGCGTGCCCGGTGCTGGAGTTTGCTGCTGTCTTTCCGTTGGGCCCTCAGAACTGGTGTGTCGTCGGAGTGCGCAGCAACATGACAGGTTTGGCAACAAAATGTGCATGCGTTGTGGCAGGATATATTATTTGCTATCAGATGTCCTCTTCTTGTAATCTACTGTTTCTCGTACACGACCATCTATGTAGTAGTGTACACATGCTGCCGTCGTTATCTGCCACTCTACACCTTAAGCCTTAATCATGATCATTACATGAATGGTAGAAGTCTAGAGGAGATCAGTTTCAGGCTTCACACGCGTAAAATTTCCCCTGGCCGGCATCCGAGGCCCACTGGCCAGCGCAGTGTGATCTGCGTGACCTCGGCCGCTTGCACGAGAAGATTCATTGCAACAATAGAGCAACAGCCGAGACGTCAATAACTTTTTAAGAGGATGTAAGATGAGGTAAGCTGGACAGCCAAAGTCTTTCCAGATGAATTCAGACTCTTAAGCTTGGCAAGCTTTCAGGTGATCGGCCACATTTTTCAGCTTGAGTTTGCCAGGCACCCGGTTGTGACATTGCGTGCTCAGCTGGTTGAAGATAGCGCTTCGCACGTGGGCACAGTCAATGGACCAAGTGTCCATGACGCAAGTGCCATTTGGTGAATCGGCGTTGCTTTGTTAGGATGATCGCCTTCCAAAGCAGTTGGCAGGAATCTACGAGGCAGGGGGCGGAAAGTGTCACCTCTTTCCCAGCCTCTGACAGCTCTTTCCTTCGCCAGGCTCCGGTTGTGAAGACTTTTACTGACAGTGCGCGCAAAGCTCGCGTGGCAGAGCACTTGCAGGACCCGGTGTTCCGCTTACGGACCTTCTTCTCTCCCTCCCCATCGCTGCAGGAGCTCGCCGAAGCATCGTCGCACCTGTGCCTGTGGTTGGACTGCTCTTGCAGCTGCACCACGCCAACACTTGATGAACGGGCAGCAGCTGAAGCGCACAGTCCCCTGCAGCCTTCACCTACAAGTAGCTTCTGAACGATCCCGGTGCAGGATGCAGATCGCGAAGGAGAAAACATCGGTTTCGAGGCATCAAGGACAGATGATGGCCTGCTTGGCGAATTTTTGGGGGCTGCCGGCAGGTCATCGCCGTCTGCAGAGACAGGTTTCCGGACAACTCGTGCGCCTGGCAGTGTCCTTGCAAGTGGGGTTCAAGACGCAAGTGGTGCTGAGTCGCAGCTATCGCTGCCGTCACTACTGTGCTGACATGGTGCTGGGTCGCCAGGAACGTCCATCGGGCCATCTTCTCTGCTCTTACGCGAGAGGAGGCCAGAATTGTAGCAAGGCTTCCACATCTTTCAAGACAGCTCTGCAAAGGCTCTTCCTCGAATTCGGATCAAGCCGCCATAGAGAGGGCGAAGTAGACTTGGCTGTACCCAGCAGCTCGATGGCCCTAGCGCCAGCCTGGAAAAAACCGCGGGCAGCGGGCCCGGTGGTATGGTGGCTGCGGAATGACTTGCGCTTGGAGGAGAGCCCCAAAACACTTGACGTGCCAGCTTCTGCACTGCGTGTAGTCGCAAGAATCGTTGAACGGGGAGCACCTGCGAAACGTTATGAGGACAATCCAGTTGCCAGAGCGGCTGTGGCGGAAGCGCTAGTTGACCAGCGCTCACTGTTGTCAGTCTTCGTGTTCGATCCCCGATTCCTGGATCGTCCGCACCCAAGACTTGAGCAGCTCTGCACCTCTTTTGCTGTCCGTGCGACAAGCGCGGCAAGCCAGCGGATCAGGCTCGAACTACGGCCGCGTTACCGATCCTGATTTCAAGAAGTCCATCAGTACTCGAAAGCCAGCTGCTCGACAGGAAATAGAACGTAAGGTGTCTGCAATGGTTCATGCCGTTGGACTGGGTGCCTCTGCCCATGCACTCCAGGTTGATTTCGGCAACCGCAAAACGAGCGCGCTCCGAGCTCGCTTTTGGCTGCAGTGTGTCCGAGCAGTCGGGCAAGACATAGCGAAGCGTGGTGGAAATTTTGTGGTCACTTGGTTGCCGTCCAACCTTGCCTAGCTCCGGGCTAGCAGCCAGTGGAGCGGTCTGTGGCCAAGGTTTGCCACGGCCGACCAGAAGACGTCTTGGGGTCGCTGCCGCAGGGATCGTTGGTCGTTTGTCAGAGCGCCGCTCGGCGACGGTCTTTTCTTGTCGGAGTCAGAGACCTTGTTCAGCCCAGGAACCCGTCTCTCCGGAGCAGACCGACGTGGAAGATGCGGTGGCTTCATCCCTCAAAAGCCGCGGCAGCGAGCTGCGGCGAGAGTGGGGCGCCATGAGCTTGTACCACTGCCAGGATCGGCCAGCACTCCGAGAGTGAGAGGTTCTTGAAGATGCCTTGCAGATGCTGGATCCTCCCCCATTCCATTCAAGCTTGTATGAAGCTGAGAGACGTTGTTGGAGGACTTGCCCTTTGGCCTCAATGCCTCGCCAGGCAACTACACTGAGCTCACACTTACACTGGGCTGGGAGGAGCACTCCTCGTTGCACCTGAGCTGTGCCGTCTGCCTCGCAGAATTCGAAGCCCCCTCCGATAGAGAGGACCTTTGGCGTTCACCTGCGCGGTCCGCGACGGCCACACCCATTCGCTTTCCCGTAGCAGCGCCTCAGACCTTCCCCAAGGCTGCAGTGCCCTGACTGGCACTTGTCGAGGGTAGTACTCCCGACGTCTCGCAGGGCTTCTGGCATGAGAAGGTATCAAGCTTTCATCGTAGCAGACTTCTCGCAGAAGCCATTTTGTTAGGTTTCATGGGTTTCGCGGTTTGGGGTCAGGTTTCTCCAGTCCCCGAGCTCAGGTCCTTCCCGACGACTTGCCAGGAACAATAGGCCCTGCGGTCTTGGAGAATGAGCGAGAAGCTTGCCCTAAGAGGAAACGATGCTGCCTGGTGCTCCCAAATTCGATGCCCTGCCACAAGGAAGCGTTGAAGCTCCTGGGCTATGACGATCAAGAGATCGAAGAGGCCGCAACGTCTTCTTTCCATTTTTGCCGAGTCTCGTTGCCACAGCAATGTCACAGACGGCCGGAGTTCAAGTCGCCCGCTCACCTGATAACTCATGGGGAGCTTGTGGTGCAGATCCATAAATTGTGTGAAGATAACCAAGCCAAAAGCTGCCATACCTTTGATTCTTGCAGACGTCGACACCTTGTATCGCTAGCAGGCTGAGTCTGTTTGTTCGCTAGAGGCGGTCTGCAAAGCAGGAAGGGATATCCAAAGCACCTAGACCGCCTAGACCCTAAACCATCGAAAGAAGGCCCATGATTGAACCCTTTTCTGGAGGCCTTTTCTATATCCCCTGGAAGGAAAGTGTCGCTTGTCTCCGAGGCCATGGCGCAGCAGATGCCTCCGGGAGGCGAGGCCTCCGCCCGGGAGCTCATGGAGCGCTGGCTCCGAGAGGACTCGGAGGTCCCCAAGGCCGGGCGTTTCGGGGGTCCCCGGCTGCGCTTTCTCTTCTGGATCGCCTCTGAGACGCTGAGGCGCAGGAGGAGCTCCCGGTCTTCTGGGATCTGCCAACAGGCGGCCAGGACAAGGCCTCTGGAGGCAAGGACCCGCTGCAGTGGGCGAACCTCGCGCGCCCCGACGGCTGGCTGCGGGTAGCTTGCCGGATGATTTCGAAGCCCGGATGAGCACTGCAAAAGATTGTGCAAGAGCCATCCTTGGATGATTCCAGCGATTCATTAGGCCAGCCGCGGTCAGCCCAGGTCTCCCACTACATGGCGGTGGGCTGCATCTCAGCCCGAGATGCTTTGCTGCACTTCTACCCGTCGAGCTGTGAAACTCCTGTGAAGAAGCCGGGCCGTTCGGCTTCAGGAGATCTTGGCACGGGCCGAAGACTCGCCGAATTACAATGGTGTCGCACACCGGCTCTTATGGCGTGAGCTCCACCGTCTCAACGCGATCAGGCAGAAGGGCCCGGCGAGTGCACAAACCGCAGGGTCCTGGCACGACAGAATCATATTTGTAGGATCCTCGCAGAATGTCGTTTGCGTATGCCAGAGGTGGGGTCGCCGCCTCTTCTGGCTTCAAGGCCCAGGCCGTGTGGAACGTCCCTGGTCCTGGGACACTTCCCTCGTGGACGCTTGGAAGGTGGGTGCGGTGGGTGGAGGAAGTACAGATTTGAGAAAAACTCAGTTGCAAGGAGCATCTCCTACGGCAAACCTCGCACATCCATTTGCTTCTTAAAGCGTCTTGCCTGGAGGCTGGCCGAACCGGAGTTCCCTACATTGATGCTTGTATGCGTGAGCTGAAGCAGACTGGCTGGCTCGCCTACAAAGGCACATGGACGAGCGTAGACTGAACCGTCAAGCCTTTCTAGCAGCTCAGTTCTCTGTCGCTTTACTTCTCTACAGGGTGCACTCTGGGTCAGGCCGCAAAACCGCCGGCTTCTATTTCGTCTTTATTCTCGGATTGGACTGGCGGTGGGGGGCGTTTCACTTCGAGGATGTGCTCCTCGACTATGACGTGGCCATGAATTATGGGAATTGGGTGGTCGTTGCAGAGGCAGGGGCTCTTGATGGCTGGCGCTCATTTTCGTGCACACAGAGTCGAAGCTTAAACAGTTAAACATGTTTGAGACAGGTGGACAAGCAGAATCGTGGGGCTCACGGTTTCGCTTCACTGGAAGACCTCGCTGCCTGGAAGCGCGATGAATTTGAGTGGAAGCTGACAGCAGAAAAGACGCCCCGGTCAGATATTTACGATTTGGTCATTTTGGTAGATGGTTTGAGTCGTATGTCGCTTGTTATGTGGTTTGGTTGGTCCGGATATGTGAATCTAAGGGCGAACGACGCCTCCGGATCCTACATTAAGCGCTGGCTGCCGGAGCTGGCTAATGTGGATGCTTCTTTCGTCCATCATCCCTGGACAATGACGCAGGAGCAGATGGCCAAATGTCGCCCAACTATCACTAAGACCTTGTGCCTAGGTAAGCCTGGGAAGCGGGTTCTGCATCAAACCACGAAGCCGAAGCAGAGCATGCTGCCAGCATGCGATGTAAGCCACAGGCAAGGGCTGATGTTTCGTGCTTCGGAGTCATGGCTGATACTGTGCTGCACTGCAGCTTACAAAGTGCGTGCTCGATGCTCGATGCTTGAACGTGGGAACCCAAATGGGAGCAGACAGTTTCCTGATTCAGCCTGTAGCTTGAACCGCTTGTGGTCCCTTGCCTGTGTCTGTTCCTGGTCGCAGCAGTTTTACAGATGAAAAGCCTTTGAAGTCCTCTCATGACTTCAATTTAAACTCAAACCTGTCGTGTCTTCCAAGATGGAGCAGATAGAAGTTGCTCTAAGCGAAGAGAACAGTCTGAGGTGGCTGCGTGCTGGGCAAAGACTACCCCCAGCCCATGGGCGGTCCCTTCCAGCACAAGGACATGGCAGACTTCTGCCCGTGATGAGTTTGTTGCATCTTGTCATTCTGCTTCTACTTCAACGCCTCCTTGTCACCAGGAGCAGGAGGACATGAATGCCACGGTCGACATTGCTGATGCATTGGAGCGGCGCTCGCATCCAAATGATCCTAACGGATATCCGTACACGTCCGGGAGCTCAGCTTTGCAATCGCTTTTCAGGGGAGCGAGTTGGCTATGAGCCTGCAAGGTTCAAAGAGTTTATTGACTTCGCGCTTGCCCGCGGAAGCCCTGCCAGCTTCGGCAAGCAATGTTGGGAGCGATGTGTCCAAAACATTTGCCCCTCATGCTCCATGCACCTTTCATTGTGAATTCACGTTTCGAAGGAGGAGTCGTTGCCGGTGACCAAAGCACAGCCAGCTGCGCACATGGAGGCACAGAGGATTCTCTCGCCTCCACGTGACGGCAAAGCTCTGGTTTGACAGGCGGCGGAGAAGCTCCCCACACTTCCCGGTGCTTGAGCCGTCCATGGCGAGCTGGGTGTCGGAGCGCAATCTCTCGCTTCGCTTCGTGTTTGTGATCGTACTAAACATCAAGTTTGCCATTAGCAGTACCTCACCTTTAAGATCGAAGAGTGATCAAAGGTTAGTTGGGTGAACAAACATGACAAACTTGCTGTGCTACAACTTTCTGAATCGGCTGGCATTGGCAAACATGCCAGTGCCGAAGCCTTTTATAGCAGGCCATGTTTGACGTGTGCTTGATTTGAATATCCAACACAGTGGTGGAAGTCATCGGCAGCGCAGCGCAGCCTAGTTTCAAAAACCAGTCCATTCCTGCAGGTGAGCGGGAACTGCTAAGTTGGTCTTGAATCCAATGATGTTGTGATGGTTGTGGACTTCTTGCCGTTTATGCGGCGTTGATTTAGCGCCCTCAATGAACGAGACTGCCTGCTCAGCTTCTTGCCAGAGACTGACCCCGAAGCATCGAATGGCCGCTAGGTCGCAGCATCGTTCAATCAATTGGGCCGCCCTGATATGGCGGTGGCACAGGGTGTTGATGCTCGGCAGGTGGACGCCTCAGTTGTTGTCCACGTGAAGCCTGACAATATGCTTGGGCGAAGAGTCGTGAATCGGCAATTCCACCTTTTCTCAGGAATTGGACTTGCGTGTCGGCATCTCTTTCAGCAGGCTGCTGACTCGCTGCGGCCCTACATGTGCACCTGACGCCCGCATGCCGGATCAGCTCGGGTGGCAATAGGCACTCAACTTAAGCCTGATTTCAAGCCTTAAGCTCCCAGGAATGGAGCTAAGTTCCAGAGACCTTGTCACCCTTTCACTCGGGCTGTTGTATCAACAGTGGACATGGCGCCGTTACGCCATGATACGCATTGGATAAAGAAAGCAAGTCAAGTTTCCCCGTCACTATCAGCAAGACATTAAGAATGAGTCGGACCAGTGCTGTAAAGCTCACGCAAAAAGGCGAATTGAAGGGATGCGTGCATGCGACGAGCGGAGCAAGTCTTGGTGGGTGGATGGTAAGGGATGCAAGGTTGGAACTGCTTTCCCTGCTGCTCGCCTTCGCCCAGGCACTCCGGGACATTTCAGGGGCTGCCAGTGAATGCAACACCTGTGCGGGATTCCACACAACTCCCACACCTGGAAAGGTGGGCTCAATCAGACGACTCCATCCTTGATTCCCATTTTTTGTCCTGCAGCACAAGTCTAAACGACACATCGGCACGGTCCTCGTCACGCTATGAACGACCGGCTAGTCGCGCTCATTGTCGTTCGTGTCCGTCTCTGCGTTTGTCTCTGCCTGTGTGTTTGTATTTGCGTCTGGTTGCATTTTTCTCATGTTATCATCGCATCTATGGCAGTGTTCGCCCATACCTAGGTCAACTCAGCAACACGCCTCTTGGCAGTGTCAAAAGGGGAGCCGGGCGCTTAACGCGCAGAGTGCTTTGTTGTCCTGGGCAACCAGTGCCACCACCAACGACATCAGTCGTACATCACTCCTCAGGCCAGCAGATCAATAACTTACGGGCCTTGCCAGACACCTGCGCTAGGCCACGTTGCCGTGATTCAAGCTCCTGTGTCTGGATCAACTTTCTCCGCCTGGGAGGTTTCTGTGCCCAAAGGCAGCAGGGAATTGACAGCTTCCAGCCGCAAAAGCGCTGGACCCCGGAGGCCGTCTCTTCCCACCCCTGTCCGATACTCCTTCCCACATGTTGCCCTGCCCCTGTGAGGTGGAGCTACGGCATGCAGGAAGCTCGCTGACGTTCGTCGCAGCCTCTGATGCTGCAAACATGTCGGATGTTGGGCTTTTAGCGCCAGCATGTCCGTAAGATTCCGCTCGGACCGTGGCACTTTCAATACCCGCAGCTCTGCAAGATCGTGGAAGGTTGTTTGGTGACAGCCAGGGAACGCGCACGCAAAGGGTCGGATTGGTAGAGCGTGAGTGAAGAAACTAGTGTACACCTCCTAAACAAGCTGAGGTCTTGAAGGACGGTCAGCTGGATGATGAGAAGCAGGCCTGCTATATCTTGCTATTCTACTTGGGGATCCATGCGTTCGGCATTTGTGCACAGGCCATTGCCCTCGAACAGGCGCTTCTGTCAAAGCCAGCCGAGCGCTCAGATGGTCTAAAGCCGAACAGCAACACTGTAGGAAAGTTGGACAAAAATGGCCAGTGTCAGTACCAATTTTCAGGCATGTTCTTCCTCATAGATGGCTACAGGTCGCGAAGCTGGGCTCCAGCTCCAGCGTCCCCGAGGCCGCGCTCCAATCCCAAGCGGCCCTGGCAGTGGGAGAGAGGGAGCCTGATGGAGCCTGGCAGCCTGTCCGGCAGGTGCTCCACCGCCCGACAGGCTTGAACACCGTGCAACTGCTTCGATCTGCGAGCAATGCGCCAGGAGTCCCAGAAAGAGCTTTTTGTCTCCCAAGCCTGCGTGAAGCCTTTGGCATTGAGGCTGGGCCTTGGCCCGAAGCAGGCCATGAAGGTCGCAGAGGAGTCGCCTCGCGTGCAAATCGTTGCAAGGGCAGGCGCAAACTTGGAGCCTGGGTGTTTGCAGAAACTGCAGAGGACCTGTACTCTGCCGGCATCATCTCCTACCCTCGAACAGTTGCTCGGCCGACCGCAAACGCATCCCGATCTCCCATGGTGCCCTGTGTCCGAAGAATGCAGCCCCAAGTGCCACCTCAGGGCTATTTGAGGATAGATCCCAATCTTCGGGCACTCTCCATTTGGTCTTGGCAAGCTTCCAAGGAGACCACGCGCTACCACGAGACGTTTGATGCAGAGGTGCCAAATGTAGGTCAGCTATACAGGCAACAAGTCGCGGACTGTTGACTGTTCTTGCAGGCATCGCTGCGCCCCTTAAGCCGCCACCCAACCTTCGGACGCAGCTCGCCTGCGAGAGACTCGTGCTTCGTCACAGGGCTTGCAGGGCTCGTGGTGCTCGTTGTCGAGGAGCGGCGAAACGCGCGCTGGGTGCGTGGCGGTCGCTGGCGGGCAAGGCTTCGCCGTGTAAGCCGCATGAGGCCACAGCAGCAGGCCGCAGATACTGCCAGGCGCAGAGCTACCGGGCGCGGGACGTCGGGGACCATCCTCCAATTGTGCCGCTGAGAGTGGCAGTGCCAGGCTCAGGCCAAGGCCACGTTGAAACACGCTTGGCGACGCGATGCCAAGAGCGGCTTCCCTGCGTGCTTGGCACCTCTGAGGCTCCGAAGGAGCTCAGATCCGCGGCGGTGCGGCGCCTCTACGAGTTTGTTTGCCCGAGGCCCAGAGCAGCTGCGTAGCTAAGCGTTTGAGAAGATGAATTCTCCAGTGTTCGAACTGCCTGTTTCAAGCTGTCCCCAGCTGTAGATGCTGTAGCTTCGTGGAAAGGTCGACATTTCTTGGCCTCGTGGCTCGGTGACGTGAAGCTGGACAGAAGAGAGGTGCCGAGGGGTTTGGGGCCAGGGGTGGCGCTGGTCCTGCTTCTGGCTGCCATGATGCTTACAAGTGCTGCGTGTTCGGAAATTTGCATTTTTTGCACGCAGCTCCGAGCACGGCTGTCACCTACTGGGCAGCACGTGGTGCATTTACTGCACTACTGCGGGCATTGAAATTGACTTGTGCATGTTCTCGCCTGACTGGCTCAAGTCAGGGCCGCGAAGAAATTGTAGAGTGCGCGTGCACAGTTTTGGACGAGGACGTTTGATTTCCATGACCTCCAGAAGTTCACCCAGGAGGCTCGGGCATCCGCCTGGGGGTTGCGAGGGGCAGATCGTCCGCTTCTCTCTGTGAAGGCGGCTTGGCCGCTCCACGCTTCTGGCCTTGGCCCTCTGCCTGGGCGCACACGTGGGCGCTGTGAACTTCGCAGCACCGGTGGACGGCCGACATGCCCAGAGCCCAAGAGCAAGGGCCGAGGCGACATGGATGCGCTGCAAGAGCTCTGACTCTGCTCTACTCCCGTCCAAGTGCGTTGCCAGGTCAGCCACGGGCTGTCAGCTAGACCACGGAGTTTGGCGATGAAGGCATCGAAGCTCGATGCCCTTGGCTTCAAGAAACAGCTGGGAACTTAGCTTGCGGGTGCTGCAGAGGGCTTTAATTACGACGGATCGGATGGATTCGCCACTCGAGGCAGCTGAATGATGCTGCCCGGAACGTGGCTTTCATCGCCGTTATCGCGGGCACCATTGCATCTAGCTGGATTTTCACTGGCAAGTGGTGGAAGGCCCCCAAAAGTGTCTTGATATGTCTGGCCACGTCCATGACGCCTGCGGCAGGTGCCGCTGGGGCTGGCGCTGCCCTCCATGCTTTATCGGCTTTGGACCACTAGAGGGAACACGGAAAAGCTTGCGCAGGCGCCTTCCTCGATAGACTTCGTGAAGCATGAGCATCCCTTTCAGCTTGTTCGCAGGTGAGCGCTTCAGTTGACTCGAAGTACATTGCCAGCACAGAGGAGGCACTCACACTCGCCGTGAGCATGGCAGGATCACATGACATAAGCCTTTGAGCTTTCGACAGGCACAGCAGGAGCTGCACATGTTCATGTGCAGTAGCTGTGGCTACACACTCTTCCCGGCAAGGTGCGGTCTGCACAGAAACGGGAAGATCTCAGCTTGCTGTGCCACGCAGGGGCCGAGAAGGCGCCTTCTTCAATGACAAGTTCAAATGCCCGATGTGCGGGGCGTCGAAGGCGGACGAGCAAGCAAAATTTGTTCATTGCAGTCTGGTCAAAGTCATTACAAGATGTTTGGATAGGAAGAGTTCGTTGACATGAACGACGACGAGGATGATGGTAGCGCTGCTCTTGCGGCAGCCGCAGCCAGGGCGGAGAAGGTGCTGCGATTCCTACTTACACCATCTTTAGACCCCTGGTCGTCTCGGCTGCCGTGGGTTTGCGGGGGGAGGGTCAGAAGCATTGGCAAGCATTCTGCCATGCAGGGGGAGGCCCCTGCTGCCTGAGGGCCCGATGGCCTGGCTGAGGCCCTGTCTTATGTCAGGGGCCGCGTGGCCTTCTCGTTTCGCAATTTTCGCACTGCGCGGGTATACCGGTATATGGCGGAACATAGGAGGGTCAGGAGCACAAGCAACAATAGCTGCATAAATTCCTGAAGCTGCGTGACGAGACTGGCCGTGGCTTTCACTCTGGGTCTCTGTGCACGGAGCACCCCTCATGACAAAAGGGGCATGTGGAGTCTTACAAAGAGTACCATTCAAGCATATTGTTCGGAGCAAAGATACCAATAGTGATTTGGCAGGTGGGTTAGACGGTTAGACGTGGTGATGCAGTGATGCCAAACATTATGAAGCATCAGTGGGTAGAGGGTGCTCCGTGTCAGTGTTTGAGTTCTGCTCGACACCCTACTGCATCGTGATTTTCCTGCTTTGTCAGGGGTAATATTCCATCTGCGATGAGAACATCCGATGGAACTCGAAGCCTTTTCGCCACCGTGTAAATAGCAGAATCAGAACCGCATCTCGCGACACAGCTGTTATCCGTTTTGCCCTTTCTGGCTCAATCGATCCCAACATACACGCGTACCAAAACGCTAGCGACGTCTTCAATGATCCCTGAGGCCTCGCAAGCTTGTGGCGGTTCTGCCATGGGCAGGGAAACCAAGCCCGCCATTTGTCTCGCTTGAAGCAGAGCTGGAAGCCCCCGCGTGTCCTGGTCTTCCAACTTTCAACGCTTCTGTGCGAGCATCAAACCTGGGAGAGCCCGGCATAGAAAGCGTGCTGCAGAACGGGTGCATCTCTAGCCGAACACCATTGAGGCACCATGCCAATGATACTCTGGGTGTCATTCTCCGCACTGCACTTCAAACACACATGCGCCGCAGTTCCACCACTATAGTTTTGCTTGGCAATTCGGTTCAGCGATGCCCGACACTTACCAGGCATGTTTCGGCATTGGCGACTTTGACTTCGAAGTCGTGCTACGAAGGTGCGTCGTGAAGATCTGCAAGGGTGCAAAATTGGATTGTGTGCACGTGGTGCGACACAAGCCATGCTGGCGAAGCTGATCCATGCCACGCAAACCAGAGGCTGCCCAGAGAGCGTGGCTGGCTTCAAGTCCTGGCCTCAGCTTGGTGAATAGATAGGCAGCAGACCAGAGTGTCTTGGAGGCGAAGTCGTTTTCAGGATTCCTGAACGGTCTGGCGTGTTTCTAGGTCATGCCATGGCGCATCGACGAGCTTCGTCTGGAGGAACACCCATCTGTTCTGATGCACTTGGACTACGAGACGGTGTGCAGGGTGACCAACCGTTAGCACTGGGCCGCTGGGCCCTCCAGCGCCTGCAAGGACAGCACCAAGCGACTAGACTGCCTCGACCAGCTCGTCGCCGAGGCCGCCATGTTGGAGCATTCTAGCACACAGGTGCGGGTTTGCACTTTCGCATGTGCGCAGCCGCACAAGCCACTCTTTCTAAGACTCTCTCAGATGCATGAGATGGAGAGTCTACGAGAGTTTTCGGCTTGTCCTTGTGTGTTTCTGCAGGGCGCAGCAACCATCAGCAACTGGACGTTAGGGCAGTCCTGGACGGGTGCAGTCTGGGGCGCACAGAGAGAGAGAGTCAAGCCCGTGCATTGTCACGTTTGTAGCATCTACGACGAACTGCCAGGACAGAAGCCCCATTGCCGCACGAAGCTCGGACGGAGCTGCCGCGAGGGTAAGTAGCAGTTTCCATCGCAAATCGCTCTAATTCGACGCGACATGCTACTATGGCAACTGAGCCCATTGCTCTTGTCAGGTTGACGGAGGCGGAGCTGGTGGACCTGATGGACAGGACCTGCCCTGTTGGCTGTTAGCACCCTCCAGTAGCTGGCAATGTGTTGTGTGTTGTTTCTCGTTGGAACTTCACCGTATATGTTGTATTCACATGTGAAGCGGCAGACAGCAGCGCTGCATATTGCTTGTACAGGAATGGGATTGGCACAGATGCGTCGATTCCACAGCACATCCAGACAATCCAGGCATCGAGGGCGGCATGTTGCTGAGGATCCTTCCTATTACCCTTGGAGTTTTTCGCAGGATCGGGGTTACGTGCAACTCTGTGACGGCAGTGGCGCACCCATTGAGACACCGAAGGCCTGCGTTTCTGGACTGGTCTTTTCCGGTTATTGAAGCACCTCAAATGCCACGCACAGAGGCTGGAGCCTTCGGACGGAAGCGAGGCATCCGAACGGCACAGCTGAAATGGAATCGGCTTCCTGAACACTGCAGCTTGTAATGATGCTGAACTGTGCAGACCCGGTGTCCGTGTAGCACCTGCTCGTGCGCAGGGACAATCACGTCGAACGACGCGCATGCCGCAGCATCTGCTTGCTTTGCATCGCCCGACGATTTTCAGCTCTTTCCTAGCAGCCGCTCGTCGCCATGTCGGCTTCCGCAGGCTCTCCGAGATTGCCTCTGCGTTCGCCGTGATTCAGGCGGCGCCGGACAATGCCCCGGAGTCGCGGACCCACCCATCTTTTCGGCAGCGTCGACGTCGTCAATGCAGCCGGCCCCAGAGCCGCCCACCAACGGGCATCAGGAGGCACCAGCAGAATTTCTGGCGCAGATTCCCGGCCTTGGAAAGTCGCCGGCGACGGCGATCTGGCACCAATGCGGCTTTGCATCAGTGACGTTCATGCTCAGGGCGGATGAGAGGGCTTTCGTGGATGTGGAAAGGTTGCCCACACCGGCACTGTTGCTCCGGAAGTCGAAGACACACCAGGACGGCCATGGAAGGGTGCGAGAACGTGTGTTCCGCGCCCCCCTCTGCCCTGCTTGCGCCCTTCGCAGTGGGAGGCCAGGGTTGCCCAACTAGATGGGCATGGCTCGCAGCTCGAAAACGGTGAGGGCCGGTTTCCTCCGCACCACACGAGCAGTACGCGATGTCGCAAGGCCAGGGTCCCAGCGCAGACGTTCTTCGGGTCCCACTCCTTGCGAGTCACGGGTGCCCTAGCCTTGCTGGCGTACTACGCCGGCCTCACAGCGAAGAGGTCGTGTGTCTCGTTCTCGTGCTGGTACTAAGTACTAATTGTGAGAACCACGTGTAGCCAGCACATGCCAGCACGCACGGCGGCGGCCACGCCGCCGAGGAGGGAACGGGGAAAGCGACGAAAAGGAGGAAGGGAAAAGGGAAAACATGACCTTAGCCTTAGCTGCACTGCACTCCATCCAGCCTTAGTGCAGCCAGTCCGGCTCCGAGGTCATGTCGCTGTGGTGCGCTGGAAAACGCGAGAAGCAATGCTTGCTTACTTGTTGCACCCGCCAGTGCTTCTCACACGAAGGCGGTGGCGGTGTTGGGGTCCGCCACGCCGGTGTCGGTCGAGGCCCCGTTTGCAGCCCTGAGAGGCCGGAAATGATGGTGCAGCATGCAGAGACGGGGGTGCTGCACCAGCCATCGCAGCTAGGGGGCGCGCCCGCCCCGTGGACCAGTGTGTGCGGATGGCGGTGGGCTGAGATTGCGGAGAAGTTCCGCAAAGGCTGATTTTGTGGGATATGTTTCCGCGTGTGGCAGTGTCACGGACACGCGACGAGCCGCGGACGAGTCAAAAGCCGCTGGGGTGTTCAAGGTCGGGTTGCGGCCTTTTCTTGTTACCCGACCGCGGTCAGGCGAGGCCTGACGGGTCTTCTTTGGGTTCTCCCTTAGACCCCCGGATTGTAACCTCTTAACGGGTAAATCTGATGTCCGAGCCGCGTGAGCTGGGCTTGGCTTCTGGGTTGGCTTGGGGAGGTGGCGGTAGGTAGGGTAGCCCAAGTCCCCTCGTGCACTTTGGTACCGAGAGGGAAGAAAGTAGGAGTTGAGGAGAAGCGAGGTCGGCCAATCCGGGGGAAAGCGTGGGCGGCTGGCTACCATCGGCTTTGCTTACAGTTGGTCGAGCCGAAGTCCCAACCCAGGCTCTCTCTCTAGCCTGGCAATGCGCTACCGGCGGGGCGGAGCCCATGACCAGCCGCTTCATTGGAAAAAAGAAAAAGCGTGCCAAGCCGACAACGACCAGTTGTTGTCCGGTTGCTTCTGCATGAGCATCGGAACACATCGGAGAGGGAGAACGCCTTGAAAAAGTGGCCAGGCCGGCCAAGCCAAAGACCAAAAGCACCGGGGAGGTACCTTGTTCCCACGCAGGGGGCCCAGCGAGCACGGAGCTTTGCGGTTCATGCAAAGCATTCGTTGCGTGCTCAGCAGCAAATCCAGAAACTCGTGTTTGAGGGAGCGGGGAATGGCTCTTGTCCGTGGCCTCAGCCAGCTTGATGCTTCGCTGTGCGAGCCCGAGGCAGGGCAACTCAGATCTCCAAAACGTCCCGAAAGCTTGACTTTGCCCGCGCAGGTTCGTGCACTGATCGAGCGCGAGTGCGCCATGGTGGCCAGCGCTGAGCTGCAGCAGGACGAGGCCCGGACGACTGCTCTCACCTTCATGTCGCGTTTGAATGCAGCCTTTGAATGTTGGCAAGTGATACCGTTCCTGAATAGTGTTTAGGACGGTACACAAGAGAAAGTAGAAGCTTGTCTTCCTGGTGTAAAAAACCCTTTTGTCAAGGGAAAGTGCATTCCACCAGTGCCACAACACAAGATTGCTGCTGTTATTTGCAGATTGTGTGCTGCAGGTTCACGTGCCACCTCCTTAGTTGCTTGGCAGGTGCTAAAGCGTAACATCGAGCTGTTCCGGGGCAAGTTCAAGCATGTGGAGCACCGTGTCGACGAGTCGGGGCCCAGTTAGTTTGCTACATTTCTTACCCCCCATCTCGTTCTGTCGATAAAGGGGCCGGGAAACCCCACCTCACTTCTGTACCATTGCCACTCAAGCGTCTTGCAAGGCTTCGGACATTCTTCCAAGAAGCACCTGGAGGCCACGAGCTCTCGTTCAGTAATCTCTCTCGCTTTCTCCCTCTCTCTCTCTCTCTCTCTCTCTCTCTCTCTCTCTCTCTCTCTCTCTCTCTCTCTCTCTCTCTCTCTCTCTCTCTCTCTCTCTCTCTCTCTCTCACAATCTCAAAAAGAACAAGCTCCCGCACTCGCGTGCTATGCGAAGGTGCGCGCAAAGGTCATGCTCGCCCTGTGACTGGCAAAGCCAGTCGGAAGAATCGACCCCGCCGACAAAAATCACCGGAAGTGAATTCAAGGGCTTCCTCAGACGCTAGTAGATGGAAGTTGTCCAATACACCCTCTGCGGGACACCGGCACAACTTGTTCTCGTCTTTTGCCGTCGGGCTCCGGCAACATGACACTTTCATGAGGGCATAGGCGCGACATCATGAGCTCATGGAAAGGATCCGGACGCAGGTAAGTGAAAGCGGCAGCACCTGGGCTTGTTTCGGGGTGGGGGATCACATTAGGCTTTGATATCCAGCCATGGCGGATGATCTCGATTTTGATGCAGTCGAGCAGCTGTTGGACAATGCTGAGACTTGGCTCTTCATAACATGGACAAAGGTTGAGAGCATGGTTGGGATGGTTATACTCTGCATGCAGCTACAGTATCATCTCAGCAGATGTCGAATTTGTCTTCATGAAAGGAGCGCGCCGCCAATGCTGACTATGATGACGACCGCAGAAAAGACAAGAAGCGGCGTTCCAGGAGCTCGCATCAGTGTCTTGTTCCCCGTCCTCGCAAGGACATGTTTCTTGAGTACCAGTTAGTACATTAGTACATGATGCACATGAGGCATAGAATTATGAATAATATTCGATCATACAAAATTGTATATAGTATGAAATTGCAACAAATGATTATTTCATGTGCAATAGTCAATATTCGACATCACGTTCTTCGCTTCGGTTGGAAGGACTCGATCGCGCTCCGCACGCCGCGGCCGCTCACGGAGCCGCAGCCGTGAGGCGCGGCGCCTGGAGAAGGAGCGCGAGATGGAGGACGCTTTCGGGTTTAGGGCCGAAGATGCAGCGCAGGGGCAGGGGACTCGGGACGCGGGAGGCATGCCTGCATGTCTTTTGTTCGGTACCTCTTGCAGGAAAAGCGTCGGCAGGAGGAAGAGGAGGCAGTCAAGAGCTACTGTGCAGGTGACGGTCGTGAGTAGGATTAGTTCTGTTTTTGGACAGGAGCGAAGACGCCAGATTGAGGATGCGACGCGGGGCGATCGCACTGCATCCCAACTGCAGGATGTCAGGATCCACCGAGAGTGTTTGCCTGTCTTCACAACTGCAGCACTGTGCAGCCATGCTTCTCTCTGTGGCTGAGGTCATGATTGTATGCTTACATCACAAGGCCATGCCTGCCTTATTCGGGTGTTTTGTGTTGCAAGTCGTGAGCACTCGAGGCTGACGAGCGTGATGTCTATGAGTTCTTCTCGAAGAATGCTGGCAAGGTGCAATCAGACGATGAGTAGAGTGACCACCTGCCGTACCGCTTCACGAGGCATGTAAACTTGATTTGTTGCTGAAAGGTGCGAGATGTGCAGATTATCCGTGATGCACGTACAGGCTGGGAAATGGTAGACGACGTGTTACGATTCTGTTGAGAGCACTTGAGTTCTCATCACGACGGTAGGCCTAGGCCCATTTATCACTCAAGTGGTTTTGATCCGCGAGTCTTTGCCTTGGGTGCGAGAGTTGCAGATGCTTTAGCTCATACGAAGCCAGTAGTCCAGTCTCGTTGCAAGCTGCAGCAGTCAATGGGTATTGGGTTGGGCCTCTGAAATACCACTACAGACTCAAGCTGGCTGAGTCGGGTAAGGCGGGTGCAAATGAATCTGCATCGGGCCCTCCGCAGACGGTCCCCAGCTGGGTTGTCTCTCTTCTTCTTGCAAGAAGACTAGTTGGCGAAAGGAAAGCCCTGCCTTGGTCCACAACCGACGTGTGTGGAAGGACATGGAATCCGAAAGATTGACATGCATTGACATGCCTTGCACGGGGCAAGCTGAGCATCTCGGAGACGGCGGTTGTTGTCGCGTCCCAGCACACGAACAGCCAGTAGCCAACGAAAACGTACAAATGATGAACACAAGGAGACAGTTATGTTGCAGTCAGTACAGATATCTTGACCGTACTGTAGGAAACCACACGGAACACCGGATCTTTTATCTGTCAACGAGCAACACCCACTAATGTACAACTGGCGACACAACTACACACAATCAGCAAATGATATTGCACAGCGTCATGTCAACAATCCACATCCCACTAGCCACTACTAGCAATAGCAAGGCAGCAATTTCAGTCGCGTCGACACAGCAGACAGAAGAGGAAGACCACCAGTAGCAGAAATCATAAGTAGACTAGTACCACCACTCGAAAGAAGCCAACCGGTACGCACAGCACGTTCCGGCAGTGGGCAGGCCGATCCAAGGGCCTCGCCTACGTGGAGTTCTACCTGCAGGCGCGCTTCCGCCCGGCTGCAAGCCCCGACCCTGCTTCGGCTCGCTTTGGGGTTCGCGTTCTCAGCAAGCGGCTATCCGGTTCTCCGTCTTTTCAAGTGCAAGGTCACCTAGGGATCCGATGAGGTCATGTCAGGTCCCGACCTTGCAGCAGGCAGACTCTAACGTGTGATGGCCAGGAAGCCACGCTGAAAGCCTTGGCGCTCAGCGGGCAGCCGATCAAGGGTCAGGTGCTCCTGCGGGTGTGGCAAAATGTCACCTTGTGCCGGAATACCTGTGTCACGCCAGGCAGTTCGTGTGCAGCCATCCCAGGCAGGCTTTTCACGGTGTCACGTGCACCTCGTCAAGGGGTCTTCGAATGCAGACTTTCAGCTAGTTGGTAGCAAGGCCAATAATCGTGAAGCAAAGCCACTAACCTTTTTTTTTCATTTCCCCGCCGTCTCTCGATTCAACTCCACAGAGGCTACACCCAATGGGACAGGCTACATTGGCCCGTTTTGGCCAAAGTTTTCAGTTGCCATGAGACACCCATTCCTCGTCTGCATCCGTGTTCCCCCAAATGGGCGCGAGGCAAAGGGCTTTCCAACAGCGCATGTCTTTTCAATTGAAATCTCCAAACTCACTGGACCCCGACAGGCCCTCCACTACTGTTCCCCGAATCGAGCTTTCGATTCGCTGTGTGCAGGCGGAGAAGAACCGAGCGGCCCAGGCTGCAAAGGCCTCCATTCACTACACGGCGCCTCGCGAGACCCCTCTGCGTTGCTCGGTGCGGAGTTATGGGGTCCCACGATTGTGCGATCAATACCTCTCCTTTACTACGTTTGCTCTCTCTCTCTCTCTCTCTCTCTCTCTCTCTCTCTCTCTCTCTCTCTCGCTGTGTATGTGTGTATATACATATATATATATATATATAAACGTGCACAATGTACTATATGTACTTTCTCTATATATACATATGTACATATATATGTATATGTATATGTATATGTATATGTATATGTATATGTATATGTATATGTATATGTATATGTATATGTATATGTATATGTATATGTATATGTATATGTATATGTATATGTATATGTATATGTATATGTATATGTATATGTATATGTATATGTATATGTATATGTATATGTATATGTATATGTAGATGTAGATGTAGATGTAGATGTAGATGTAGATGTAGATGTAGATGTAGATGTAGATGTAGATGTAGATGTATATGCATATGCATATGCATATGCATATGTATATGTATATGTATATGTATATGTATATGTATATGTATATGTATATGTATATGTATATGTATATGTTTATGTTTATGTATATGTATATGTATATGTATATGTATTTGTATGTGTATGTGTATGTGTATGTGTATGTATATGTATATGTATATGTATATGTATATGTATATGTATGTATGTATGTAAATGTACATGTACATGCATTTGTGTATCTACCTCTTATTTGTACAGTTGTGTCTACGTTTGACCTCATGTGCTATATTTCGACTATCATACAGTAGGTGCGTCTCTGTGTAGATACATGTCTATTGTTGGTTCGATGTCCAAGCCTTCGAAAATCGTGAGGAGTGGCACAGTGCGACCCCAACCCTAAACCCAACACCCTAAACCCTAGACTCTGAAACCCTAAACCCAAAACTCTGAAACTGCAAACCCAAAACCAAAACCCGAAACCCCTCTCGAGGATTGTACGTGGGCGGTCTCACGGACTCTTTGGCGAACATTTCGGAGGAGGAGCTTAAGAAGCTGTTCTCGCCGTTTGGCCACTGGGACATATTTAGGTTCAGGGTTTAGGGTTTAGGGGTTTAGGGTTACCAGTTACAGGGAGTGAGTGTCCCCTCATCCGACCGGTGAAGTTACGAGAGAACGTAGGTTGAGGAACAGTTGTTTGGGCAAAGCGGAAAATGTGCTGCAAAAGGCTGCGGTGGCATCAGCATAGGAGGACAGTGATAGTTGCAGCCTTCCACACTAGATGGACAGCATAGCTGAGCCTGGACAACTGGAAGGGCTTCACATCCTCACCACCGACTCCCGGCCAGAGTGCCGAGGTGAGATTGAGTTCATTGATCTGCACAGGGATCCTTACACGAACAAGTGCAAGGCTGGTGCTGTAGCGAAGCGTGCCTGGCAAGAGTTCTGAGTTCCTTTCCCGAGATCAACCGTTCCAGGGCTTCGCGTTCGTGCAGTTCAAGAACGCTTCAGAGGCGCGCGAGGCGATGACGGCCATGAACGGCTTCCAGCTGGCAGGCAGGAGTTTGGCATGATTTTGGACTGTCCTGCTGTTGCCCCTCCTCGACCGTTGCAGGCAAGGAGCTGAAGGTGGGTATTGCCAGTGGCTCAGGCATAGGCATTGACAAGGTGACAAGCAGTTTTTTTCCAGCGGGTTGGAATTCATGTGCAAAGTCTTTCTCTGCGCCTAGGCAACGAGCGACATGCAGCTCGGTGAGGGCGCTGGCGGCGCGAACAACCTGGCAATTGGTGGTGAGAATCTCCACGAGGACTCCTGTCGTGGGGTCAGAGGAAGCCATGTGCGCTTACTGCTGACAAAAAGACCAGTCTCACTGGACCTTTCCTTTAGGATGCCAGTGCCATGGGCCCCAACGCCAGTCAGCTCGCACCTGAGAACGCCTTGAATGAGTTCGCCCGTCTTGGAGTCATTGCTTGCAACCGACACCGAACAGCATGTTCGGTGGGTAGTTGTGCAAAGCTCCACTTCATTCAAGCACCACCGGAGACCGCCGTTTTATCGATTCTTCCAATGTGTCCATGGGAGCGTCTTGCTTTCTTATTCCTGCAAACTGCAGCAGGCCTGGCATGCTGAAGGACGCAAACGACAGGCTGGCGCTCATGCAGAAGCTGCAGCGCGATAATATTCCAGGCCAGATGCAAATAACAGTTGCATCCCACACGACAACCCTGTGTCGGGGTTTCAAGCTGATCCCCCCCCGCAATTCGAGGTTACAGTGGACCCGGTGTGCCATCCAACATCATTGCATTGGCCTCGGAAGGTGTCTTAGGTTGTTCGTAAGGTGTGTCGGCTTGTTGTCGTGGCTACCCCCTTTCACTTTCGCCTGCTTCGACAGAATCTTCTCCTGGGCTCTTTGCAGTGATCAGTAAGTGTCAGCACTGTGGCATTCGGACTTGACAACAACGCCAATACTCTACATGTTCATATGTGCCCCCGTCGCAGACGAAGTGAGAAGATCTGATCTCGTGGCCTCGATGCGGCGGATACACATTGGTGCTTCGGACTATGTGGCCAAGCTGGGCCGAAGGTCTGCAGTCCTTCGGGTGACTTTGGCCTGCCTTTGTCTCAGCTTCGTCGGGACCAACTTCATGGGAGTACGCCCCAGCAAGCCTCGCGTTCTCTCTGTGGTCCGTGCTCAACCGAAGAAACCTCTTGCAGATGTGGGCAATCAGGCTTTTGAGGAGTTTGTAGAGTTCTTGAAAGGGCAGCAAGCTTCCATCATCCAGCAGCTTGAGGAGGCGGAGAGCACATCGAACGCCACATTCAGCTGTGACCCTTGGGGGTCCTTCGCTGGGCAAACAATGAGCAGCGGAGGTATAACGCGTGTTCTGCAAGGCGGAGGCATCATTGAGAAGGGCGCGTGCAGCTTCACCTGTATTCAAAAGGGAGTTTTGTCAGAAGAACGGGCTAAGACTATTCGGGCGCGTCAGGAGGATGTTCTTGCACAGGCAGGGGACGAGTATTCCGCGGCAGCGCTAAGTATGGTACTTCACACCAGAAGCCCACTGATCCCCACCTTCCGCTCCGATGTGCGAATCTTTTCTGTGAAATCATCTGATGGTAGCACTACCGCATGGCTTGGTGGAGGAGCAGACTTGACTCCATACTACTTGGGGGATGAATCCGACATCCAGTCCTTCCATCAGATGTACCATGATCTATGTTCAAACACACTGACTGGGCATCCGTCTTACACCTACGAGTCCATGAAGCAAGCCTGCGACAAATATTTCTATCTGCCCGCGCGGCAGGAGCACCGCGGCACTGGCGGCATTTTTTTCGACGACCTGCCCGTGGACCAAGAAGCCATGGATTTCGTGCAAGGTGTGGTCGAAACATGGATGCCTTCCTGGCTGCCCATCGTCGAGCGCCATCGCCATGCGAAGTACACTGAGCGACAGAGGCACTGGCAGCTCCTCCGACGCGGCCGGTACCTGGAGTTCAATCTGCTTTACGACCGCGGTGTTAAATTCGGGCTTGCAAATGCCAACCCACGTGTGGAGGGCGTTATGGTGTCAGCACCGCCACTTATCGCTTATGAGTATAACCACGAGATTGAAGAAGGCAGTCCGGAAGCAAAGATACTTCAAGTTCTGCGAACTCCACGAGAGTGGATCACAACAGCGGAGCGAGACAAAGCTCCGCCTGCTTGATGTCGGCGGCAAAACCTTCACAGGGCTGGAACGAAGTTTAAACTTCATCCATAAAGCAGGAACGCATGCTGTAGCAGATCCGGTGTCTTGTTGAAACCGTGAGTAGACCCGAACGACCCAATTCTGGCTTTTGCCTTTGAAAGTCGAACCGGTCATACCGCGTACCGGAGTAAAGCCTGAATGAAGTGTCCCGGCTTAGGTGCTGCATGGCATGTTCAACCCGTCGCAAGTCAACTTGGCGGCTGATCCAGAATTCTTCAACGACATCCACGCAGATGTTGAGCAGGACCAAGCGGCTGCTCCTTTTGCTGCTTCTGCGACGACTAGGTGACTAGCAATGCCACTGCTGCGACGATTACTACTGCTTACTACAGCAGTTAATGCTACTAAGTTACCAAGACGGTAAACACGAACATCAGTTAGTTGTTTCTGACGCATTGATTCTCCTCGTGAACACAATAACATGAACACTAGTACCTCAATGGTATCTTCGGGCACAACAGCAGCATCAACCAAACAGAGTCGTCATAATCGTCGTGGTGGTTGTGGTGGTGCTCAGCTCTGCCTCACCTCCAGCTCTTGCTCCTGCTGCGCCTCGTTTTACACCCATGCCCATGCCGGTATAATTCCCAGGGGAAAGGCGCGGAGGTATAACAGTCTGTTGCCAGGAGTGCCGAAAGTACGGCTCTGTCGTGAAGGTCTTTGCCGACCAGGGCAGCAGCAAGGGCGATGCTCCTTGGCTGAATCCGAGTTAGCAGATAGCACATTGCAGCCGAGACAGTGACGTCAGCATGCCCTGCACGGTCGTTACGCGTTCAAGGTCTGGGTCAAATTCGCCGACGCAACCTCTGCCTCGAACTGCCAGCGTGCACTCGACAGGCCGCGCACGTTGCTGCAGAAGCTGCACGCATGATGTTCGGAAGTCCGCTCTTTCGGCTCTGTGATATGCTAAGCGAGGCGTTGGTTCGCTGGGCAGCAGATTATCGCGGAATTCAGCACCGAAGCTGCGAGATGCCCAGCCAACAGCACGTCGTTAGGGCTTTCGTAGGCTGGCGGCTCGCTATGCTGAGCTTGCTAAGGCCTGGGCAGGCGTTGTGCGGTGAAGCTTCGGCCCTAGGCAAGCAGCAGAGTTCTTGGAAAGTGAATTGCTCATACATGCATTAGGTCTTGCCGGCGAGCGACAATGAGCGAGTGGTGTTTTGCTGCCAAGCTGGGCTCAGCTCAGCCTTCCTGTGCGGATGTATTAGCTCATAGGCTTCCCCTGGAGCCCTATCCTATCCCAAATTTCAAAACTGGTGCTGATGCTTGGAAAGCGTGTTGGGTTTCTAGCTCCGTCCGCCGGGAGCGCGCACGAATGATCGCGTGCATTAGTGGAGCTTTCGCGCTCGGGGTCTGGGCCCGTGCTTTCAGGAGAGGGCCACCGTCTTTGGAGACAGCCTGCCGTTTCTGTTTCGTCGTGGGCAGACACACTGGTTTCTATGCGGGCTCAGGGCCTTCGAACCTAGACTTCAAGAAGTCCTTCGGCCCTAGAGAGCAGTGCCTCTGATACCGGAGGCAAGGGCAAAAGGCTGGAAGATAGTAGGCAAAGTCGACAGAATGTGAAGCACTCTATTTTACTGCATGCGCCAATGCCTCCCCACAAGGCCATCCAAACTGAGCTTGATAGACCTGAGAAAGCTTGGAAAAGAGACTTAGCGCAGCTGTGCACAGAGCTCCTGAATCTCGGCAGGGCTGCGTGTCGATGTGCAGGCCGTGATTTCAGGCCGCAGAGCCACATCAGGCCCAAAGTGGCCACACCTTTGGCCAAGCATCCTTTCAAGCTCAGGACATTTCAGGACATCAGACAAGGATACCTGTTTCTCGTCTCCCTGAAGGGCTTGCTTTAGACTGACTATCTCCGACTAGACTCATTGAAGCGCCCTGCTGCCATGGTCGCGTTCGGTTTGCGGATGCGGTGCCCTGGTGCAGGCATGGCAAGCGGGTCGCCGTTTGTGCTGTGCTTCGGTTGTGACGCGTCAGGGGCGCTCCTTGGATGGAGGGCGAGGAGTTCGTCTGCAAGGTTTCATCTGGGTGCTTCAAGTTGAAGATCAGAAAAAACGGCTGTTTTGTACCTTGTAGCCCGGCCAGGGGCAGGACTACAGAGCGCGTCGCCACCTGAGCCTCGGAGCACTGCCCCCCCTGTTCCCGGCAGGGGATCATAGGAGCGGAATGAAAATGCGCAAGCTCGCTTCAAGACTCCTGCCAAGGCCGCTCTCTCCGACATGGTGTTTTCACAAGCGAGGCTGGGCATGGCGCTCCGACTTTTTGGACGGTGCTCGCACGGGGTGCACCAGGCTTTGCTGCGGCGAGGCTCCGACCGACTGGTGGCGAGGCTGGAGGGGAACAGCGCGAAGCCACCGACCGGGGGAGCCACCGCCTCCTGGAGGCCCTCGGAGCTGCTGGCGGACGAGGCGGCCCAGGCCAGGCGAATTCCGGTCGGCTCCCCGGCTCCGCTGCTTTGTTTTTTTGGCTCTGAGAGGTGGTGGCATCCTTTGGCCAGCAGCAGCTCTGGGAGGCCTGAGCTCTCAGCCCATCGACATTGTCCGTGTCCGCGCGTCCGCGTCCTGCCAGGAAGCCTTGCAACTGGTCCGCGGACTGCGAGATGCCCAAACTCAAGTGAGCTTGGACTGCCACGAGGCCTTCTGCATTCGCAAGTCTTGCGCAAGTCGATGCAAGTCGTCCTTGTGGAGCTCCAGGCGCTGCAGCAGGCGCTTCACCGATCATGGCCGCAGGCCTGGCGAGAGATGAGAGAGAGCCAGTGCGAGCGGGTCACCGAAACAGGCGTCCCTGGCAATGCTCGGGGATGATGCCCCACCCCGATCCACATAGGAGGGGGCACAAGCAGAACAGGATGGCAATCGGGGGCACCGGTTCTGTAGTGCGCTTAGCTTGCAGCCTGGAGTCGCCAGCCCACCTCGAATGCGTAGTCTCACGCTGTTGAGGGACCTGCATGTAGCGTGAGAGGGCAGGAAGGGAGGTGCATGCTGACCTTGAAGATGCGTCGGTGTAGCAACTGAGCTAGCTAGCTAGGTGAATTTTGTCGTGGATGTCTTGTCAACACTAGCATCATGTTCTATCCCTGTTGCATTGCAGTGCCTCTCGCTTCTCCGTCAACGAGCTTGCTGGGGCATCGACGAGTCGATGGGAGCGATCCTGCAAACGAGCACGGCTCTGAGGACCGGCTTTGTCAGCGGCTCCCTGAGAGCCGCATAGAGCCACAAGCCAAAGCCCACAGGCTGCCACCGGAACGGACCCAGTGCTTTGTGCAGGAAGGGTCGGCTGGACAGCTGGACATGGTCCCTCCGCTTGCTGGGCTTGGCCCGCGACCAGAAGAATCTGGACAGCAAGCCGAACTCACGGAGGCAGCGATTGCATCATCTCTTGCCGCAGAATCTCAGAAAGATCTTAACGATGGCGGAACACGTGCACAGTTTTTGATGCCGTCCACAAGCACAGCCGACAACCGGCTGCTTCTGGCGACCTAAGACAGGCGCTGGGACACGAAACCTGCGCATCGTGCTTGGGAGCTTTATTGGGTCCGTGCCTGAGTTTCGAAAGAAGGGAGTAATGAGTCAAATCTCATCGCTTGTTGGCCAAGCGTGTGCCACACATCCGCAACACTGCAAAAGTACGAAACAGCAACAGCAACAAGACGCGTTTGCGGCAGCAGCATGCTGCAGCAGCATGCTGCAGCAGCAGCAGCAGCAGCAGCAGCCGCCGAAGCAACAAAAACAGCAACAACTAGCGAATGCATGAGGGATTTTCCTTCGTCTGGGCTGCTCGTGGTAGCATGCTCGGTTCGCGTTTGCAGTGGCGATGCCCAGGCCGTGTGTACCAATACCTTCCAAGACCTTGCGGCCGCAGGCCGTTCTTAACGTTCTTTACTTTGCATGGCTTTACTCCAAAAGACTACGATGCTCAGTCCTATCATCCATAGCGCTGTTGCTGGCAGGCAACTGGAGGTGGGCCATCCATCTTCTGGGCGAGTTCCTCCAGGACTCACCCCCTTGGGAGTGGGGATCCCAGCACATTCTTCGGAGCCCACTCAACCGGGATCCCTGCCTCTCCGATCACACTCGCTTCTCGGTTCGTCCTCATTGTATCCTCGTCAGGTTCGTCAGCATCATCCTCATCGTGATTCTTAGCACCGTTATGCCCTCCATCCTCCTCCTCCTCCTCCTCCTCCTCCTCCTCCTCCTCCTCCTCCTCCTCCCAGCATCATCGTTATCACTGCAGGCGTCGTCGCCATCATCGTCACAGAAACAAACTTGATCATCATCATTGTCATTGTGATGACTATCGCCATCGTGATTGTCATCTCCATCCAAAGGCGCCATTTGAGAACTGGCCAAGATGCACGCGCTGCGAATCAATCACGAGCGATTCAAGCACGCCACCGGTTCGAGCACAGCCGTTTCAAGAAGGAACCCAGATTCTTGCACACGCGATTCCAGCTCACGATTCAACCACCAGCCGATTCAAGCTGTCGACATGTCAGATTAGGGTTTAGGGCCTAAGTTTAGGGTGAACCTGAGGTGCACGTTTCAGTGTCGAGGGTCGGGTATAGGGTTTTGGGATTTAGGTTTCGGAGTATCACCAAGCAAGGAAGGCTAAGTGTTGTCGGGGTTCAGGAATCATAGCCGGTCTCATCATCCCAATCATCCTCATTAGGATCCTCGTCCTCATCATCCTCATTATCTTCGTCCTCATCATCCTAATTATCCTCGTTCTCATCCTCGTCCTCGTCGTTGGTTTAGTCATCAGCGTCGCTGTTGTTGTCATTTTCGTCGTCGTTGTCCCCCTCCCCCTCCCCCCCACCTCTTGCCCTCCCCCTCATCCTCGTCCTGATCACCCTGATCACCCTGATCACCCTGATCATCATCATCATCATCCTCATCCTCATCCTCATCCTCATCACCATCATCACCGTCATCATCACCATCACCATCACCATCACCATCATCATCACCATCATCATCATCATCATCAAGCTTCTCGGCCCAAAACGGCAAGGCCCCGCCAGGACTCTCAATGCCTCGCAGCTCTCATGCCGGCTACCGACCGGAGGGCGACGACACTTCGTTCAGCACCTACAACGATGAGGACGAGGATACGACGTACTCACCCGTATCTGTGGCTAGCGATGATGAGTTGGCAACTCTTGAACACTGCTTCTATGAGCCCAAGCTCATGGAATGGCGTAACAGAGCCCTGCTGGAGCTCTGCTGGTACTACTTTGCAGCGGGCTGCGAGGAGACAGTGGACAGGAGAACTCACGCCAACAGGCTTTCTGCCCTTCGGAAAAGACAATCCACCATGGCAGCCGGGCAAGCTCTTCCCCAGGTACAGTCCCTCTTGGAGCCCACCCTTGCGGCTGAACTGCGGAGCGACTACCACTACCTGGCGGCCCTGCTGGCCCTACCCATTCACAGGAATGACCTGCGATGGGTGTCCAAACTGGGGAGTCAGCATGCGCCGACTCAGCGGAGGATACTGCAGATCTTTCAGCGCATGCTCACTTCGCTCTTCACGCGGAAGATGGGAAGCGCTAATTTGGCCCGAGCCATGGCCCGCGTCCTCACCGACTTCGCCCTCAACCTGCTCTACATTCCATCTGTCATGGCCATCTGGCCACTGCTGGGACGAGTGCAGCGTGGCAAGTTTCAGCAATGGTACCTGGAGTACGAACTGCAAAGCCAAGGCTATGATCTGCAGCTGGAGGCCGCGGCGAAGCGCCTCCGTACCAATGAGGGGGCGAACAACCGAGAGGACGACGAAGACACAGGCCTTCTGCACCCCGAGCAGCAGGCCAGTTCCTCATCCACTTCGAGACCAGCGAATGCAGAAGCCCATGGAAGCGTCCAGCCGGAACAGCAGGTCAGTACCTCCTCCACTTCGAGACCAGCGAATGCAGAGGCAATGGAGACACAAGCAGTCTCTACTCAGGACCTGCAGGCGCCGGCGCAGAGCTCCAACCAGGCTGCGGCATCGTCTTCTACAGTCTGGCCTCGCCGCTTTTCTGAGTTCGGACGCAGTCCGCACTGAGGTCCGCCTGAGTCGAGTTCAAGGGGGCTCCAGAACACAATCTGTTCTGGGCCGCCTCGGTCCCAAGTCCGAGGCTGGCAGCACAGCTGTCAGAGAAGCGAGGGTTGGAGATTCCCAGGGTCGAGGGTCTCCTGAAGCGAAATGCAACTCCCCACAGCTTTCTATCTACGCAAAGCTTTTCGACCTTTTTAACATGCATAGCCGTTCCAAAGGAAGGGCCCCGAAACCCGTTTCACACATTGTAAGTCGGACAACATCTACAATCAAAGTCTGCGCACTGTCCCTAAGGCTCCTACTGCTCATAGGTGTAAACCCAGTACCGCTCGAGGCGACCCACGGCCCAGCACTACAGACCGCGTCAAGTCCACATCGGCAGGAGCTCGGTCCGAATGGACAGCACAGGATAGCCAAGCGCTCCTACCGGCGCGCCCTTGCTAGGGCTCAGAGAGATGGCCATGCATGGTATAAGGGTCGTAAAATAGTGGCAACTCTAAGCACCCCAATCAGGCCCTCCTCAGCTAGAGTCCAGTCCATCCCCAATGCCAGGATCTCCCGCACGCCCTCAAGCCCTGATGCCGACGTAAGCGACATACTGTTTATAACCTGGAATACTGGTGGTTTAGGTGCCCTACAGCTAGCGGAAACCCTGCAGTGGCTATCTCAGCAAGCAGCGTCCAAGCCCTGCATAGCAGTGCTCCAGGAAACGCACTGGAGATCCTCCAGTGAATTCAACAAGGACGGATGGAGCTGCATCAGCAGCAGCACAGGGACTGCCGTAGGGGGTGTAATGGTACTCGTTAAATTCCCTAGATCACAGCCCCTAATCCAACACCATGAAATACACCCGGGTAGACTGTTACACACGCGCATCAACACCACACCGCCAATAGATGTGCTCAATGCGTACCAGCACGCCTGGAACCCCACCAAGCAGTGCTACCAGAACCATGAGCAAGCCCCTGTGGATCTGCTTCTGCAAGATCGTGCCGTCATATGGGACAAGCTTCGCAGCTGGGTGCATTCCATACCGAGCCGCAACCGACTGGTCTTAGCGGGAGATTTCAATGCCTGGCTGAAGCCTTCACACCCACATGTAGGTCCAGGGGTCACAAGCGGTAGCAAAGCCCATAGGGACCAGTCGGTTTTTCAGGCACTAATTGAGGCAACAGGTCTTGTGGCTGCCAACACGTGGAGGCGGCGCGGCCCCACTGCCGCTACCTACTTCAATCACGAGGGCAAGCCCTCGCAGATTGATTACATCCTCACAAGACTCCCCTGCAATGTACCCAGTCTTAACGCTCGGCCTGCCCCACATGCCCCAGTCGTGGCAGTAGGCGGTATGCGCCATGTTCCGGTAATAGCAAATATTCCTGCTCCCTCCCTGCCTCGTGCACCTAAAGGTCCCCGTAAGCTAACGGCAGCTGCGGCCCACAACCGTCTGCAAGTCCCGGAGGTGCAACAGTCGTTCTGTCAGAAAGCCTCAGAAGCCCTGCAAGCCCCGGGACTGACCGCAGAAGACATCGATAGCACTTTGCAATCTATCTACTACCAAGTCGCCCGGCACTCACATGCCCGTAATGCACCAAACCCAGATCCTCCTGTCAACCTTCAGACCTACTGGCAAGTTAAAGAGCAAATGCGACAGTCCCAGGGCGTGCTTGCGCGGCTCTGCCAGCCGCGCGAGCAGCTTTTCCGCACAGCGGCTGAGAGACTCAGTCTAAACCGAGTGTTGGTGCAGGCAGCGTTCCGATCTATGCTCGTGCACAATCAGTACGCACGCCATGCTCGCCTCCTAAGACAGCAGTTGAAGATTAGGAAGCAAGAGAAGGCCGAGCAGATGATTAAGGAAGCACAAGCTGCCGACTCTCGTGGCCTTACCCATCTGTACCGACTGATGCGCTCCTGGCAGCCCAAGATGCCAAAGAGGACTGTTCACCTCAAGACATCCACACAGGGCTTACTAAGCCCAGGGCAAGGACTTCAGCATATCACTGACTATTATCGCAAGTTGTTTCAGACTCCGACAGTACCAGTCGATACATGTCGCAACTTGAGTGCCTCCTTGGACATTGGCCACGCTGAAATTCGACAAGCCATACGCTCCATGCAGCCAAAGAAGGCATTGCCCTCGGGGCAGGCGCCTGCCTCACTTTGGAGACTAGCAGAGAATAGTATTGTGGATCTCCTATACGCCGATTTCGCTCAGCGGTTCGGACCGGGTCCCCTGTACATGCCCAAGGCCTGGCATCAGGCGTTCATAGCCCTACTCCCTAAACCTGGGAAACCACCGACCTGTGTAGAGCATCTTCGACCCATTTCACTGCTTCCTGCAATCCCGAAATTAATTGCGAGGATAGCGGCCCAGCGACTTGCTCCTTTGGTTGCTCAAGCTTTGGAGAGGTTCCCCCAATACGCATATGTAATGGGGAGACAAACTGGGGATGCCATAGACAGGGTCTACTCCCACAGCAAGCTGGTTCGGGAACGTGTCGCCGCTAACCATGGCATCACAGGCGGATTGCAGCTATCATTAGACTTAAGCAAAGCATTCGATCGCATACCGCGTCGGCAACTGGAACGAGCGCTTATCCGCATAGGAGCGCCCCGGGATCTCATTCAACTGATCCTTTATATTCACGAATCAACGGTTCTGGTCTTTCAAAACCAAGGCCTTTTTTCGGAGATAGCCACGGGATCAGGCATCCGTCAGGGGTGCGGCCTCGCTCCGCTCCTATGGGCGTCATACTCTCTGCTTGTGCTTGAACGAATCAGCACTTATATCAGCCTTGATCAAATCACCGCCTTTGCAGACGACTATCACTCTGCATGGGAAATCACAAGTAGACTGCAGCTGCGCAATGCCTTCGCTCAGGTAGGACGAATCTTGTCAGACATGGCAGACCTAGGTATGCAGGTTTCACAGGACAAAACGGTAGTGATTATATCACTTGGTGGAGCTGGCGCGTCCGCAGCCCTGAAAAGCCATATGCGGCGAGGCCCAACTGGCCGTTACCTCTTGGTGGAAACTAATCAGGGGCCAGTGCGGCTTCCGATACGCAAGGAGCATCCATATCTGGGCGTAATCATCGGCTACCAACAGTTTGAGCGCGCCACAGTAGAGCACCGTATATACACCAGTCATGGCTGTCCTTTCGCAGACTGCAGCGCTTTCTATTATCTCGCATCCTGCCCTTGCAAACCCGGATTCGCCTGTGGACTGTCTGTGTCAATTCAGTTTTGCTGTACGGCCTCACCACACTTTTTCCGGACGAGGTCTGCTCACACAAGATGCACACCCATGTAACCAGACAGCTGCGGCTCCTTGCAAGAAGCCCGGCGCATGTCACACATGAATCTAATGTGCAGCTTTACGACAGGCTGAAGATGCCTCTCATTATGAACAAGTTGGAAAAACTCGTTCAGAAACGAGTCGACCTCGCCCGGCAGCAGATGGGAGAGGTACAGCCGGCGCGTGTGCGCGCGTACTGGGACTACCTACTTCATGCATATCAGACCCGTCCTCAAAACTCTGCCTCCGGCAGCACAGCGCTCACACCGTTGTATCACAGCCCTCAAGCTCCCGCATCCTGTCCCATCTGCGGTATCACGTTTCTCAGCCTGCATGCAGTTCGCACCCACATAGGCAAACAACATCCTGAGCATAGCAGTGCCAAAACTCGTCAGTCGTACATGTCCAGGGTCGAAAAAGATTCAGCCAATCTCAGGCACAGTGTAGACGGACTTCCGCAATGCAAACATTGCCTCAAAAAGTTTTCGGGATGGTTGCCGTTTCACGGACACTTTGCCCAAAAAGCCTGCCAGGTTTTGCACAAGGGCACAGTACTTTCTGCACCTACATCAACAGCAGAAAGTCGATCACTGGATGTGCCTGTGTCGGGATGCGATCCCGAAGCCACCCTTGCTTATGGGGTCTCCGGACCGGAGGGTGGCCCTCAGCTGGCAGACACGCCTGAACCCGAGGGTCAGGCCAATCCGAGTGTGGACCAGCCTCTGTTTTCGCTACCTTCTGTACAGCTGCTTGCAAAACAGGGCTCGGCCAAAACCTTGTCCCGACTTCTGCGTCAAAAGATGAGTCCACAGCACTGTCCGGTTTGTCATGGCTGGTGCAAGCAATCTACCTACATTGCAAGACATGCGTGCTGGAATCACCCTGAAGTGAAGCAAGCTGAAACCGCTGTGCGTGCATGGGTTCGAGCTCGCGAGCCGGTGGGTCAGCCCTGCAAGTGGTGCGGAGACCATTACACTCGGCCACCCAAGGCCCACCAAGCTGCATGCATTGTGTTGTGGATGTGCGGTCATCTATTGCACAAGTATCACACCCTAGAGGATTCAGCCCAAACTAGGCTGTCGTTTCAGTTGCCAGCGCCCCAGCAGCTTCCGTCAGGACCGCCAACGCCACCTCAGGATGCAGGATCCGGAGCTGACACGAGCCAATCAAGAGTTGGAGATGTTCGGCAGCTTCATGTCCAGACTGGAGAAGCCGGTGCCGGAAATCTTTGCATCCCTGGCCACAGCGACCCCTGCCTCGAGCCTCCAAGACCTCCAGGACCTCCAGGAACTCTCCGAAGAGCTAATGGAGGCACGTCCGGACAAGCGCCAACTGGGACCTGCCAGGGGTCAAAGTCCGAAGTTCGGCAAGCCCAATGGCAAAGGAGCCAACATGGGCCCACGAGAAGAACAGGAGGCGGGATCGTATCGGCAATCCCGCGCAGCGGACCGCCAACAGCGGAACCAGACGCGCACACAGCAGCACTGGGGACAGCGCCAGTCATGGTCCGGCTGGTCGGACAGGAGCCGTCGGCACAGCGACGAAGAGATCCGCGAAATGATCTCCACAATCTGCCGACTCCTGTTGCGCCATGCCGACTCCCTCTCCTACCTACAGATGGACCTGGGATTCATGCTGTTTCTTCGGACAAAGGCCGTCCCCCAGACCACGGAGGGGACCCCTGCTGGCCAGGACTGGTCAGTTGTGAAGCCGCTTTACATGGTGGCCGAGGACTGGCATCGGCAGAAGTCCAACTCGCCCGAGGAAGTGACCACGACCCTCCGGACCACCATGGTGTACTGCTTGGTGAACACGCTTCTGGAGAGAGTTCTGGAAGCGGAATCCAAGCCGGACTACCAGCGGCGACTCCACCAGATGAACATCATGGAGAACGGGAGCTTCATCTATGTCAGGTGGAACTCGGAGAAGAAGGCTTACGAGAAGGCCACCCAGGAGCCGCTGAGCATGGAGCAAGCGAAGGCCCAGCTGCTGGGCATCAAGCAGCACCTTGCATGGCCTCGCGTGGTCCTGCGATTTCATGCCCTGCGCAAGCTGATGCCGGAGATGGCATCGGAAACCGTCCCATTCATATGGGAAATCCACAACAGATCCCAGGAATCTCAATTGGTCTTTCAGGCCATGGAACGGCTTTGCCACAATGCGCTATGGCAGTTGGTGGGCGGATCGCTGAGGCAGGCCAAACTGGGCAGAGGCCCGCTGGAGCAGGCAGTGGAGAGCATCCTGAAGAAGCTGTAGAGGGCCTACGGCTCACGATGGAGGCAGTCCTTGCTATCACCCTAGGAAATCCTTCAAACCACTGTTATGCCAATGCCCTAATGTTATCCGTAGCCTGGGTGCATGCGCAGGCGGCGCTGACCGTCCATCCGCCATCGCTACTGCTGCGCACTGCACTTCAGAAGGTGTTTCCAGGCGCCTCCCCCCCAGAGCCCCAGCAGTTGTGGTCCATCCCGGAGTGGCGTGCATTGCTTCCGGACTGGAATGCAGAGGCTCAGCAAGATGTTGCGGAATTTCTTCAGCGCATCCGTGGCGACCTCATGCCAACGGAACATCAAGGGGAATGGGAATCCAGATTCGTAACAGCACCTGGTGTCCCTGCTGAGGTCCGTGATGCCGGCTCGCTTTCTCCGCTCCCTCTGACGGCGGCCATACGCAGCGTGCAAGGGCGACGACACATCAGACATCTCGTCGTAGGCCCACCGTGCATGCAGCAGTCAGTGGTCCGCCTTTTCTGGTTTTGCAGGTTTCGCGGTTTGATGACACAGGCAGCAAAATCAGGGGTACAATTGCGCCTCCATGGAAGGCTCAGCTACCAGTGTTCAGTGGTCCCAGCTCTGACATTGTGCACATCCCCTACCGAGTAGCCTGTATTGTATACCACTTAGGCCCAGTCTGCCGTAGTGGTCACTACCGCGTTGCCTTTCTGCGAGATGGCACCCTGAGTCATACAAGTGATGACAATCGCCCCGCAATGCCCATAACCTTTTCAGAACGCAGTCAGGTGTTGTCCAACTCATATTTGTATCTTTTAATCCGAGCTGAATAACCAGCTCAGAGCTGAACAACCAGCTCCAGGTCTGCGGATGATGAATCTTCTGTACTCTACTGTACAAGTTCTATTCTACTTCGTCAGGCACTCCTCAACATGCTTTTATCCCCTGCTTAAGGGCCCTACGGGGCGAGGGGACGTTTTGAGCAGACCGAACGAGGTTTCGGGGGGGGCCACAGAGTCGTGCCCTAGAGGCACCGGCGTCAAACGTCGCCCCATGGACCGCATCGCAGACCCTCTTCTGCGGCGAGAGAGAGAGAGATCATCATCATCATCATCCACATCATCCTCATCACCGTCATGACCACCACCACCGCCACCACCGCCACCACCATCATCACATCATCATCGTCATCGCGAGCATCAGCAGAAGCAGGAGAAACACCTGCTCCCGCTGAAGGTCTGAGGACTTCTTCCGTCTCAGGGAGGAGTTACTGGACTTGGTGGTGATGTCCTGTGGAGCAGCAGGCGAAGCAGCTTGGGCCCTCTTTCTTGAGAGTGCAGCACGTCTCGCGCAGGGCGGTGGAGGATGGCCTTGAGCATCTTCAGGAAGATGAGGTTCATCCAGGCGGGGTGTAATCCCATGTCGTATTGTTGTTCAACAGAACGGGGCGGTGACACTTCGGACTGAGCGGCTGTCAGGTGGTTCCTGGGCAGCTGGCATATCAACAGGTTGTGAACGCCTGTAGAGAGGCACGGAGCCGCCACTGTCAAGACCAGAAAACTTAGCCGAAAAGCAGCTTGCAACGCCGACGCTGAAAAGTTGTTTCAGAACGCCTTCGCTCTTGGGCATCTGGAGGCGGGCGCCTCCACGATCGCCGACGAGCTGCGCGAGGAGATGCGCCTCTGCGCCGGACATGTCGAGATCGCTCCTCAGGAAGCTAGCAGCAGGTAGCAGGGTTGAAGGTTGGGAGCGATCTTGTAGCCTGGGCTTCTGGGAGTATCTTTTCCAAAGATAGAGGCAGAGCCTCGTTGAGGCACGGCTTGTCCATCAGTCCGGGCTTGGAAAAGAGCTACCTACGCCAATGCGAACAGGCACCGGCTGGGCCCGAGAGTTTCAACCCTGAAGCAGCTGCTGAGCCTTCTCGTTCTCGAGGTGGGCGATTGGCAAAGGGCGCTGCAAGTGCCCAGCCCTCGAAGATGGTGCTACTTTGTATGAACAGTGCATAATCTCTTCAGACACGTCCACCGGTCTGTGTACGTAGAGGATGGCCCTGCTGAGGCTAGGCGAGATGCAGTGGTATGCGAAGGTCGAAGCCCAAGCCGGCCTTTCGGTGCGCATTCCACGAAGTCCCCTCTCTCCGCGTGCTTTTGCTAGGAGATGGACGAGATCGCGTGCGGCACCGCGGCTGCTGCCGTGAGCTCGGCTTCAACTATCAAGAAACCCACTTCTCTGTTCTTGCTCTCCTCGAGTCCTAGAGTCCTTGAGCTCCGAGGCCTGTGCAAATGCGGCGGCTTGGGAGGCAGCTCTCGCGCTGCAGAGCACGGAAGCTCAGCTCACAAACCAGTCGTGCGTCATCTCTCTCACTCAAACATGTGTTGTGCATGAGTGGGAGTCGGAGCCGAATGGCCGAACGACATTTTGCTGTGGCATCATGTGCGGTTCCCCGAGCAGCCCCATCATGTCAGAGCGCTGCAGGCACTTGGCTCCAGTCTTTAGTTTAGTCTTCGTCGAGCCATGCTGGCCAGTGGCCACAGGCATAGAAGGGAGCGCCCGATGCGTGTCGATGGCCACGCGCTTATCTCGCGCACGGCTGCGGCTGCTGGAAGCCAAGGCAGTAGATCACAGATTTTCCGTGACATAATGTGACTCGCGACCTCTGTCTGTCGTTGTTTGTCCTTGGGGCTCGCAGGTGTTACGAGGTCGTTGCATTGCGGAGACTGCGCAGCGGCTTCGCTGAATTCTCTTGCGGGGGCAGCAATTCGGTTGCCGGATTCCCATCTCGATGCCGAGTAGTGCAGGGCCGGGTTTGGCCTTCGAGAGAGTGCCCGCCAAGGGAGGATCTGCCTCAAACCCCGAGCAAAGCAAAGCAAAGAGTGAGAGAGCACCAAGGATTTATGCAGTGCAAGCGCTGAGACGACGAAACTGCTGGGACGAAGCTCTGCAGCTCGGCCCGAAATGGCCATGGCAGAGGAGGGATCTGTTTCTAACGGCTGAGCTTTTGTGTCCTGGTCGTGCAAGCTTGTTTTCCGAGTTGCAGTCCCGACCGAGCCTGCCTAAGGCACGTGGTGGAAGGCCTCATAGGACACGCTGCGGCTCCGGTCCCGCGGGTGCGGATCTCGGTAAAGCTTTCTCCCAATTGCTCTTAAAATTGGGTGACTGCCAAGGAGCGACTGGTCATGCTGGGGCTCAGCCTCGCCCACGAGTCGGCGCGGTGGGAGCATGCTCTGCATTTGCAGGCGCTTCATGTGCCCGAAGCCCCAAACCAGCGATGTCTTGGCCCTCTTTGTGCTTGAAAAGAGGACCTGAGCACGCGAGCTCACCCTGGCGGAGGCCCACGGAGCGGAAAATGCAGGGAGATCTCCAAGGCGAAAGCGTTGCCACCGCTTCTCCCAGGCTGGGTTTCTGGGCCCCTCGCCGAGCTGCTCCTCGCGGCAGGGCGCTGGAAGCACGCCTTGCAGGAGCGGCCTCGGAAAGCGAGCTCTTTCCTGCACTTCGCATAACAGCATCCCCGCGTCTGATGCTCTTGACTCTTGAAGCATCTCTCGGGGGGCGCGGCAGGTGACGGGCACCCAGCTGGATCTTCGAGTGCGCGCCGCGGCGGCAGGGCGGCTCTGGCAGGCGGCGCAGCGGCTCTGTAGCTCTGCTTTGCCACGAGTTTGAGTCCCTGACTGGTCGAGGCGGCGTATCATCTGGTCGGGGGAGGCCTCCTGGAAAGCATGCAGGAGCACCGAGTGCCTGTGCCTGCATTCAGCACATTCTGAGCTTTTTGTTGATGTTTGTTGCAGTGCCTAGCATCAGTGATGTCGAGGTGTCAGGGTCAAGCAGAACCATCCCTCCATCGAGCCTTTCGTCGGTGCTGCGGTTGCATCTCAGCTCGAAAGGCCAAGTGTGGGTTGCGCTCTGTGCCGTCCGATCATCTTACGAGGCACGCCTCTTCAGCAATTGGGTTGTCGCAGCAGGCCGGCCTCTGAATTTTGAGACACAGCCACAACTACAGGAGCATCCGAGCCACGCTGGCACTTGTGACGCGAGGGCATGTGGTGTCGCCCTTGCTTGACTGCTTCACTCCAGTTTCGGCATCGCACTCCCACCTTTTCTGCACTCGCTCACTTCAACTGACGACCATAGCAAGACCCTGTCGTGTCAGGCGATGAACATGGCTGTCGATGCGGTGGCACAGAAGCATCGCGCGAGGCTTGGCAAGTCAGTTGGATTCTGCATGTCCATACTTCACCGCAGAGTGTCGCTTCTTGCGATCGATCAAGACTCAGGCTGGCAGCAGGCGCTACAGCTACTTGAAGCAGCAAAGTTGCTGCAGAGGTTGGACATCATCACGCTCAACACCTGCCTCACGGCTGCTGCACGTATCTCGGTTGAACATGTGGCGACTGCAGGGAGTCGGGCTCTAGGCGTGTGTAGCCCAGGTGCAGAGAGCTGGCAGCAGGCCTTGGCACTGCTTGCAGAAGGCCGTAGCTACTTGGTTTTGACTTGGTCGTTTCTACCGGACCGTGGATGTCTCGAGTGATTTGGCTCAGGCGCAAGACTGCCACTGAGCAGTGTGACGCTGGGTGCTGGCATTGATGCTGCGCAGCGTGGTTCTGCATGGCAGCTGGCGGTTGGAATGCTCAGCGAGGCCAGCTTTGCAACGCTTGTTTTCATGCAGTGCATCGGAAGCTCTTGCAAGTACCCTGATCCCTGACGTCCTCACAGGAAGGCGAGCTCGCAAATGACGTAGCCATCAATGCTGCAGCTGGAGCAGCAGCTACAGCTGCGTGTTGGGAGGCACGATTGCACCGTGACACTTTTTCCCTCAGCTTCTGTTTCCGTCATTGGCAGATTGCGCTGGACCTCTTGCAAGATCATCACTTTCTGCACAATCGCCTCGGTCTGAGCCGACCGAATTGGTGGAGCCATCGAGTTGGAAGGTTTCCACCCGAGCAAGGCAACTGTAGCCAATCAGCAGGATATCCAGGATATCCATAGACTCAAAACTTTGCATGTATCGTCCTGTGTGACCTACCAGCAAGACGGGAGAACAGATTGATGTTGTGCATCATGGATGTGTTCTCGTGGTTGCCGTGTCGCGAGAATTTCCTGGGGGAGGTTGCTCCGACTCCACCAGACCCCGATATCCAAGCACACAGAAGCATCACCACGACCACAGCATCAGCCACGACAGCAAGTGCACCCTTGTGCAAGGGTCTGCACAGCCGTTGCCAAGGTCCAGATGTTGTGGCTTGCACCGTTGCCGTGGCAGCCTGCAGCGCGGCCTCGCGCTGGGAACATGCCCTTTCGCTGCTGAGTTGGTGCGCCCATGGGCAGAATGCAGGGAATGGGAGAGGCTTGCAGGCCAGCGTCAAGCTTGCTGCAGAGGTATCGTGCCAGAGGAGTCCAGCCTGACCTGGTCACGCTCCAGCAGATCCACTTCTCTTGTGATGTCCGGACCCTAATGTCGTCCTCCCCGGGTCCCGGCGTTCAGCCTGCCAGCTTCGACAGAAGTCGATTCTCCAAGTAGCCGGGCAATGGCCCAGGTCGGCATGGTGCCTCTGGATCAGGGATGGATTCCCGTTCAGTACAGGAAGAACTTACGGAGAGTGTCTTCGAGGTCGGCTTTAGCCCACTTGCCATGAGGACGAAACTGGAGATTGTGCGAGATCGGTGCAGGGAGCCTTCAAACAGTCGTGGCGCGGCGTGCAGGCTCTTGTCTGCTGGAGATGACTGGGCACAGCGTCGCCAGAAGGGTGCGAGTCTGGCAGCTCTTTGCTAAGCAATGATGGTCAATGGGAGACTGGGATGGAAATTTCATAAGGTTCCCCTGCACAGCATGAACAAGTAGCAGGGACTCAGACTCACCCGGCACTGCTGCACGAACAAGCGGTTCAACCACATGTCCTTGTCTGTGTTTGCCAACATCCTCAGCTAACTTGTGCTCACCGATCATGCAAATCATGTGCAGCTTCGGGCAGTTTCTGCTTTGCTTGTGAGGTTGTGGCAGCTCAAGCTCTTGAGCAGCAGGCGTCCTTGTCCAGTGAGGCGACCGATTGCCAGGGCTTTGCTGCTCTTGTCCCGTTCCTTTCCAATCCCGCAGCTTGGAGGACGCGCGGTGCGTGGCCCGTGTCCTCCGGCGCCCAGTCTTGGCCGTTCTGCAAAGGCTGGCGGCATTGATGCTTTGGGGTTGGTTCGGCTTTACAGGGTTCAGAATGGTTTAGGGTTTTATTGGGATCTGGCGGTTTAGGGTTTCATTGCGCTTCAGTAGGCTTTAGGTAGGGCATATTAGGCGTGTCGGACAGCTGCGGCTCAGGCTCCAAGGCGATCCAAGAGCCCAAACCTCAGCGAGGCCCGGCCCAGCCAGAGACGCCCGAGAAACCAAGCCTTCGCTGTGCATGGCTTTCGTCTGAGAACAGGTTGCGGTAGTTCGAATAGGAAAAATGAGACTGAGAAGTACAGACCTCCGGAAGTAATTAAGGTGAAGAGTCTGGACAGCTGATGCTTATGGTGCTCTGGTGTGGCCGGGCGAGTGCACAGCATGTTAAGCTGAAAGGCGTGCGCAGCTTATGTTCATGATGCGCATTCATTGCGGCCTGAATGTGAAACGGCTGGGTGGCTGATGCTGATGACTCTCTTTTTTTTTGTCGGCTGCTGCCTGGAGGGTTGTTTGGGCCAAACGGCAAGCAAATTCGGTATCAACCAGCTGTCTGAGACGCCCTAAGGGCCTAGCACCAGCTATTCAAGATGAACGCTGCCGAAGTGATGCTCTTTTGGATCGACAACCTCCGGATGCCTATGCATGCCTATGCAAGCGGGCGAAACTCCCAGTGATGATTGACTCGCTCGTCGGATTGATAATGATATATAATATGACGGGCAGTCCTGGGTTTGCATTTTGGATCTCTCTTTGCCTGAACTTGCAGCCTAATGGGCATCCTTTCGATTTCGGAAGGCATGGTGTCATGACGTCTGCAGCAGATGTGCTCGGGGTGATGTCGTTCCGCTGTCAAAGCGGGCTCTTTGCCTGCGGGAGTGTAATTGCTGAGCCGCCTTCCAGGCACTTGCCTCTGCGAGATGTGTTCCTTGAGTCGCAGTCCACACTAGGCTCACCGATGACAGCTGAAACCATGCTGGATCTTCATCTTGTTTTCACGTCTCCTTGCTGCGATACGAGGAAAAGGCTTCGATGCAGCCATGCAGTGCTATCATGCAGCATGCAGATCATGCAGCGAGCATGACGGGTCGCAGTGCACTCTCCAAGTCTGAGGCCTGGCTCCCTCGCTCCTGACGGCAACTCCAGCGCTGAGGTGCGCACGACTGTGTGTTCCTCGGCTCCGGGTGTTGTGGCGCTTGCCAGGGCTATGCTGCACTCCGTCCAGGAGGGTGCTGGGTCCGAGCGCCCTGAACTCAACGCAAATCCTTCAAAGTCGAGAAGCATGCGAAGCAGCTCGAAGAGATTTTCGTGAGGTGAGCTATGGCGTGCAGCCGTGGCGCTCTTCGCGTCGCTTTGTGACGACGGCGTGGAGCCAACAGTCGAGCAGGTGCCCGCGCCTCAGCGATTCGGGAGCACCGGAGGGACGATTTGCCAGGTCCACTCCTTGGCCCAAGATACACACCAAAATTCAAAGCCCAGAGTGAAAGCCCAAAGTGAAGTTTTAAAGGAACCTGGCCATCGAGATCTGCAAGGCGTGCGAGCGTGAATTTGCACTCTTCCGGCCCAGCGTGGCCTCAGTGTCCTTTGGCACCTACGGGAGAAGCAAGTTTGCCCTGCGTGACAGGAGGCTCGTGTCATTCGGCCGATGTTCGAGATGTACAAGTCTGCACGGAGGCTAACCAGCTTCCGTCCAGACCATGAGACGTTCGAGGCACGCCGAAAGGGATGCATGTAGAACTAGCCACTAGCGACATCATCACACCTCCGTGGCAGAACCTGGCAAGTGGCGCTACGCTGGCACCCGGCCAATACTGGTGGCACTGCCTTCGTTTCATGGAGGAGGCCATCTGTGTTTCATATCACGTCGCTTATGGCCGTGATTGATTGGAACGGTCTGAGGCCCAGGTCGTGCTTCCTCGGAAGCTGCTGACGAGTTCCACAACGAAGACCATCAAGGCAGTCGCTGCTGATCCCGCCTGCGTGTCGCTGTGGACTCGTGTTCCCGGGGTTCGGCGCTAGGACCGGAAGTGGAGCATTCAGAGGGATTCTACAGAAGCATTTACATTGCCAACCTTCCTGCGCCTTGTCACTTGTTTATGGAATTCCGTACCAGAAAGCAACCAGATCCTGCAGCAACACAGCATGCGACCATGCTCCCCTTCCCAAACCAGGGTTGAACAATTAGGATCTACTTCGTAAGGGTGTTGAGAGAGGAGGGGAAGGACCAGCATGAGAAAGCAAAGAAACATGGATTGAATTCGGGAGATGAAACGCCACCATATCGCTTGAGAAGCTTGGGTGTTCTTGTGGTGCCCTGCAATGATGTAAGTTTCGTGAACACTGAACGTACGGACGGATTGTCCACTTGGAGGACTGCGCCTTCAAGACTCTAAAACTGTCCACCTTGAAGCACACAGCATGCAGATGCACAGGCCGCATTGCGTCCAGCGTGGCTTGAAAGCTTCACCCAGTTCTGCCCTGGAATTGAATGGGGAGTTTAAACAGCTGATGAGAAGGGGCCTTTGTCGCAGCACATTCCAGGTGAATCAGGAAACTGAAGGAGTGAATCTGAGTGAGTCTCGGCAGGCACTGAAGACGTGCAAACATTGTTTCAAAGGATGATTAAACTCCGTGACTCGGGTAGTTGGCGAAAAGGTGGAATCAACTGAGCAGCCGATCTGACTAACGAAACCCCATTTTAAAAAGCTTCGCGTTGCCCCCCGGCTGCACACGTATGTGCCGAGTTGGTTGGAGGTGTTTGTCTGAGGCAAGCATCCGGAGCCTGCATCGCTACCCCGTGAAAAGTTGCCTTGCTAAAGAGAGTTCTTGAGCCGAGATCTAACAAGCGCCAAAATCCAGCAGTCAGAGTGTACAGGGGATTGCTTCTGCGCAAGTCCTCTGCATAGAAGCGCGGCACTTTGTATCTTTCAGTATGTTTGGCCTAGACTCAAACCCCTAACCCTAGAACCTGGAGTAGACCGAAACCTACACCGGGACTTTCAGGGGGTGGGGGTCACTGAACAGGGGATGAAGAGGTGGGGAATAGAAGGAATCCGTAACTGAACCTCTCACCGCTTCGGCCGGGGCCGAGGCGAAGCGAATTACTCCTGGAAAGTCACCTCCGATACGCTGGAAAGTCCGTGCGGCATACATTTCGCATAACTTCGCCGCTTGCTCGACTGCTCGCGAACTGTCACAGCTTGTAGCATTGTAGCTACAACACGCATGCATGGGAAGCCCAGCAGCTGCAGCTGCTACACAGCGCATGATCACCATGCCTGTCACGGTGAGACGCCAGGCTTGCTCGGACGCGTCGGCATGGGGAGCAGCGCTTTTCCACCTTCGTCTGGGCCATGATCGGAGAGCCGTAGAACTCTCACGCAGGCTAGTCAAATAACGTAGCTTCTATAAAGATACTCGTGGTGACTGCATTGCCGTGACGACAGTGATGAAGCAGCCAGTAGCATCAGCACCATGAGCTTTTGCACGAGCGCTTCGCCAACCTGCCCACATTGCCGAGGCCACGAGATGGACCTGGCAACATTAACTATCCCTGGCAGACATGCCACAGACCCAGCAACGATCGCTTTGCAACCCTTCCCGTTCTCAAGAGATCTCACTAGGCCCGGCTGCCGGAGCTTCTTCGGGAGCGCCTCGAGGCGGGGCGGCTGAGATGCTGTTCCTGTTGATCGAGTGCAGAGCGGAGGGGGCCGAGGGGGAGGGTCCTGGAATGATGCCACGGCCACGCAACCTTTCGGCTCCAGCTTTGTGCTGCACGTTCCAGTACCGTCTTGGGCTGTGGACCTAACTCAGGCACAGCACCCAAACCGCTTCGGAAATACATAACAGGCTAGAGGCTACAGGTACTTCCAGGAACCGATGCACGGCAAGGCATCGTAACTAGCGGCTCGCTGACCGGCGTTCCATCGCTCTGAAGCCATGCTTCCCACGCTCCCCCTGAATTCTGCACTCCCTGGACCAGTCGTCCCCGGTGCTGCAAAATGCGTGAGTTCGTGGTCTTCGGCAGTTTCCGAGCACGGCCGGCATGGCTTGGTGTTCCAGATGCCTTTCCCGCAGCCAAGGTACCAGTGCAGGCTCCAAGGAGCCTTCTGCAGCCGGTGCCTCCGACACGAGGTGCTTCAGGGCTACTAGCCGGCTCCGAAAGTGGAACTGCTCCAGGAGAGGCCTGAGTTCTTCATCTCTGAGCTCTTGAGGTGCATCGACGTCCCTGTCCCTGGCACTGCCGCTGGCTACACTGAGCCTGGCAGCTGCTTCTCGAAGTCCCAAGAAGCAGAGGCGTGCCTTCGGCGCAAGCAGGCTCTCTTCAGCTTCAGCTCTGCCAGGCGGACCTTGAACGCTCTAACCGGGGATGCCGAGTCGCCGCACATCGTGAGGACTCTCCGGCTCCACGCGGTGTAGGTATCCAAGAGGAGTCTTGCTGAAGACTCCAACTGCAGGCAGTGGCGCTACGCACGAAGTGCAGCCCTCGGGAACGAGTTGCCTGCTTGCCGGTTGTTCATGCCAAAGAACAGAAGCTGAGGATCGCGTCTCCTAAACAGTCTGGACTGGACGCGCTCTGGTCTCAGAGTTGCCAGTGCAATTCTTTGGTGTGCTAGCTGCGGTTCTCCACATGTCGCTGTGACCCGGTTGCATTCCACCACCGTGCAACAATTGGGCGTGCCGATCACCGCGATCTGGTAAGGTTACCACCTGTGGGTGTACTTTGTTGACAGCTGTGAGCCTTCCTACGCAAGATCCAGGTTGTGCAGATTTTTCTTCGAGCTACTCGATGCAACAGTAGTTCTTAATGCTTTTGGCCCTGCTACGTAACTGTCCTTCTGCGAGTAGAGCTTCTCGCTTACTTCGCTGTACTGAGGAAGGTTTGTCAAGGGCACAGCACCGCCTCGTTGCTGTACTGCGCAGCTGGCGGCCTCGAAACCACGCAGAAGGAGGTGGGTGGTCCGTCTGCTGCGAGTGTGGAGCTAGGCAGCAGGGTGTTTCGGAATTCCTCTGTGGCCCCAAGACCCAAGACCAGTCAAGCGTCGTTGTTCTGAGATAGGCTTGTTGTAGCGATGGCTTGGAGAAGTTAGCGGAGAAGCCTTCTTGCCGGCACAGTGTCGCACAGAAGAATCGGGGTTGTTTCACGGCAGTTCCTTCGTCGCTGGGTCTCATCTATGCCATTTCTACAACCATACCATGCATTAGAAGTGCTCCTCTTGGTTGACTTTAGACTTCTAGTAATCGAGGCCGGAAGACAGGCCTGAGGCAGCCGTTGCCCTTTGCTCAAATGCCATCGTCCGCTCAGATGGCGTCGTCTGGTTGAACCGGATGCATAAAGCAAGGCGAACGAAGCATGGCTGTGTTCCAGAGCATGCGAGTTGCCGGCTTACCGCCGAAGTTCAATTCTGAGTGCCGCTATCATCACCTTGATGCTCGTCCTGATGATCATCTTGGAGCATGGACCCCTTTTTGGGATTCTTACAGGTACCTCGTATACCGCTTTGGTGTGCTGCTGATGCCGTCGATCCACGTGAGTTCTGAGGGAAACTTCTTCATCCCTGCAAGATTTGTCGTGTACATGATAGTCTTGATCCTCGTAAGTGGCACAGCGGTGCCTTTTGCTGCACCGGCCCTGGCACTTCGTGGCATGGCCACAAGCCCGCGATGTTCCTGGACCGACTGGGTTGTTCAGCCGTTGGTGCTCCTCCTATCTTCGGCACCATTGCTGCTGCTGTTTCAAATCCATCGTGCCATCCAAGCACAAGATCGCTTCAGTGCCGTGGGCAACTCGAAGATCGAATTGGCTGGATCATTTCTGTGTTGTTGGGTAGTCTCGACCTTGTTCCTCGGTGATGTCTTTCGTAGTTGCATGGAGCGTGGTGCTTTACACATGCTCACCAACGAGTTGCAAGAGATTGATGAGCAGCGGGACTTTCTGCAGAGGGCTGGACAAGCCGAGTCTGGCAATGCCATACAAGATGGAACCGTGTATCAGTTGCACGAGTTCCTTCATTTCCTGAATAACCATGTAAAGCTCCAGTTCACACTGAGCTGCTTGAGCTGTGTATGTAGGACCCCCAGCCTGAGCACCTCCTTGACAAGCGGTCTTACGAAGCAGATTCAGATGCAGCACCAGCAGCGTCTGGGTGTGAGCCCCTCCGGCCGCCTCACACCCCACCATGGCGGCCATGGCCCGGCCGTGTCTGCCGAGCCTTCTGAGCGTCGGGCCCGGAAAGACAAGGCACGTGGCTGGAGTCCTGTAACCTCGGTGCGGAGACTCGTCCGGGCCACGAAAGCCTGGGATGTACCGAACGGGTGGAGTGCTGGGACTTCGGCCTTCTGTTGATCGTGACGCTGCTTTGCAGCCTGGTTCAATCTGTGCTCCCATCCCTGTGGCGCATTGCGAATGGAATCGAAAATCCCTGGGTGGCTTCCAGCAGGAGTGTGACACTATTCCGGGTGGTTTATGCCTTCATGGCCTTTTGGGCCACGATGCATTGGCTCAGCACTTGCGGCGGGCTCATGCTGCGGCTTCAGAACCTTCGGCTCCGTTTGCTGGCCATTCTGTACCTGGCCACTCCCTACAAGCGTCGGTGGGCATTTTGTGCACGGTACAGGGTCGACCTTGAAAAGCTTGTATTGGTCGGCGATGACCAAAACTGCGCTCCTTTCTCACGGCCAGGGGACCAGGCCGAGTTGCAAAAGCAAGGTTCCTCGCTCCTTCGGTGCGTCCTCTCTGCGAAGGCGTGGCGTGTATTGGAGGTGTCAGAGTTAGATGGGGAGGCTGACTCTAGCGCAATATCCTGCCTTGAAGCTCGGCGGTTTGGATTGCTTCAAACCGTTCTGAGGGCAAACATGCTGGTTCTCGAGGCGCATGCGCAGTATTTGCTCTTGCTCCTCCTCTTCGCAGTATGTGGCTGTGCATCGACATTGTTATTAAGATTCGACGTATTCCATCCTGCACGATTCATCTACACGACTTTTTGCTGCTTCAACTTGTTGCTCAGCCTACCTATGGCCATGTGGATCATGAGCGAACTTGCCTCCGTCAACCATGCCATGCACGAAGAGTTGCTCAAGGTGCTTCGATCTTGGAAGGAGCGGATGGACCGCATCCGCTTTGCGAATACAACGCGCATGGAGAAGGGAAACGAGCGACTCCTTTCCGAGAGCTTCTTTCGTAGCTGCTGGGCAGTCTGAGCATACAGTGTGTCTGTCTTGTCGGGCGTTCTGTCTGGAAGCGGTACTTCGAAACGTAAGACCCCATCCATGTTCTCAGATGCAGCCCGTGAATCGAGGTGTGGCAGATCCACTTGCAGACATGACTGACCGAATCAAGAACTGGCAAAGACCGGTTCGTATCTTCGGCATCACGGCCTCCTTCACCGTGCGCAACCGCGTGGTGTTCTCCTTTTTCACGTCCCTGGTCTATGCGGTGTGGCAGTGCCTCCGGGGCTCAACCTGGTTTTCAGGCCTGGAGGAGGAGATGAGAGCCATTAGCAGCCTGAAGAGCACGTAGCTCGTGCCAACGCGCGCCATCTTATGATGTCTTGTTGTTCCAGTTCCATCATCGTTTTCAAGGATCGGCTGCAAAGGGATCCGCAGCTTGCCAAGCAAGCTGCTGGACGAACGGGTGCAGCCGAACGAAATGTCTTAGAGGGCGCAAAGCAGCCCCAAAATAGCCCGAACAGCAAGTGATCAACCTCTGAAAGCAGAGAGCGGAGCTACGGTTATAGGCCTGCTGCCCCCTTTTTTCCACCTTCTGCACTAGAAATTCGCAGACCCTCCAAAGTGCACATTGCAAGGAGATGGACTTGGAGCTCCCAGCATCAGTTCCGGATTTGCATTCTGTGACTGAGCTGCAGTTTCTGTCTGATTTCATTCTGCTTGACCCGACATCATGACGACGAGCTTGTATCGCAGGATGACCTGCAAAACTTGGTCGTTCCACCCTACACATTCACGCCCGTGGACTTCAGCATGTACGATGTTGTCGTCGCAGCCGACGAGGCCTTTGCACGATTCCCGATCTCCCTGGATTCCGCCGCAACCGCGAACCGCGAATCTCTCGAGCTTTGTTGAGGCTACGGCGGAGGCAGTGCGGAAGCGCTTACGCGAGACCGGGCAGTCGGATCGGGATGAGCTTTGCGCAGCACATCAGCATTTACGAGTCTTCTCAGGGCTCCGATCCGACCTGGGGCTGAAGCTACGGGCTTCAAGACGGTCACTTTGCCTTCCACAGCAATACTTGTGCCCGAAGCCAACGAGCAGAACCTTCGTAAACCAAAGCTTATGCAGACTCAGAGCTAAGGCTCACCGTGCTCACCTAGTTGCCAACCGGCTGGGTACTAGCGCCGCTGAGGTCTTAAGTGATTTCATGGATGCCTACGACGTACTGCTCGAGGCGGAGCAGGACCAGTGCATTCTCTAAGCAGCTGCATTCTGGTTGCGATTCGACGGATTTTCGTGTTGTTGGCAGTTGAGAAGGCAATGGCAACTTTAAGCAAGGCCGAGCCGTGTCAACATGAGAACTTTTTACACAGGCAGACACCTCTGCCTGACAGGTAGCGCAGGAACCAGGAACCCTGCACACCAGGCTGCATGCGCTGTAGATATAACAGCACTTTGTTTGCCAGCTGACTGGTCGGTGCGGAGATGTGCGGAGGAGAACCCGGTCCTGGAGCCTGCACCCGGCATTGCGCAAGGCATCCTCAGCCAGGCCCACCGGGTCGCTTTGGAGAGGCTTCCAGATTCTGCAGCTGAAAGCTTTCAAGGACGGCCTGGCGCACCTGATGCCCGGCCAGCCCTTGCGTGGTACGCCTCCGCCCCGACCCGTGGGCCCTCCGCTGCCGGGCCTTCCCTCGGCTTGGCAGGCGCGTGCTGGGCGTCTGTTTCATGAGAGTGTGCGAAACGTACGATGAAGTGCGGAACTCAGTGTTGAGATATGTTGAGGAGCTGTGGTCCGTGGCCAACAGCTGCTTGGCTGGCAATCGTACTTTCCAGTATCAGATCTGCCATTTCAATAGTAATTAGTTGTCACACGGCATGAAAGCTGGCATGATCACAATCATCTGCCTTGGTAGGAGGCCAAGTATGCATACGCTTGCCCAAGGTGGCATTGACGAGCTCACAGACACAGGACGTTGCGAGAACGTGCGGATGTGAGCAACCCTGAGAATAATCACATTGTGGTCACGGTGTGGCAGGATCTGCGCAGCCCGAAGAAGAGGTTGGCCGCATCCTGCACGCCATTGTTGGGTTGGAGCGGTGCTTGAGAGCATCTCGGCCGAGATCTGATGACGCAGGACTTCCTACCCGAAGGCACACGGAGTTGAGTGCTAATGCTAAGAATCCACCCTGGCTAAGGCAAGCATCCCTCAGAACATGCGTTGGTGGAACGACGAGGTCTGAGATAGCTCGGAGCTACGGCTGGGCCGTTGAAGCACGGTGCTGGCCCACAGGTTCCACCAGGTTCCGCCAGCATATGTCGCCACATGCCAGCATGATCGAATCGTAACATATCTCTGCACATGGCATTTGGCCACTTCGATGAAGTAGCGAAGATTCTCGTTGCTGGTAAAGCTGTGTTGAGGCTGTGTTGGCATGATTTCAATGCAGAATCAAGCCACTTAAGGCCTGGGTGTAGTTCCTGACTCTCCAGGCCAACGTTCTCGTGCTGTCACTAGGTTTGCTATCGTTCCGGCAGCAAAGCTGCTTCGTTCCTGGAGCTCACTTGAGTGTCCACTTGAGTGTCTGAGTGTCTAGCAGTCTAGCCTGGTGGGCTGCGCGGTGCTCCCCACATTGACATGATGTTTGGTAAGATAAGAGGCCAGCCTTTGCTAGAACCCCGGCACACGGCCGACAGTCCACTTTCGAGCAAAACTTTCATTGTCCACAGAAGCTGCGACTCAACTTTTTGAAGCATCGTTCCGAGGGAGAGTTGTGCTTTTGGTGCCAGAGGCCAGCATCATGAGTGCGGCAGATACATCTTGACTGCTAGATGATACGAAATCGTGGCCACTGCGTGCACATTCTTAAGTACACCCTCTGAGATCTGTTCACAGCCATCGTCCTCATGCCGCTGTGTAAGCTGCATGAGGGCTGACAGGTATCGAGCCCAATCGACGGGCGACGTGCCAGACCGCCGTCGAACGGCACCAACATTCATGCTTGGCCAAACACTGTCAGAGTGAGCATAACTATATTTCTTGGCTTCGTGACCGAACTATGCCCCAAACCCAATGCGCGAGCCACGCTCCAGGACCTTCGGCTTGGCAACGCTCCGGAAAGAAGCGAAGGCGTGTGGCTGTTGATTCCGGGCGGCTTGTCTGAGGCACGTTGAGGCATGCTGCATTCGATGCAGACGAGCTTTCGATAGCCAACCCTGTCGTAGCGGATGTTATGGCACCTTGCGTGCGTGTTTGGTAATTCATGATCTGTGGGTGTAGTTTGCGAGATCATGCTATGATGGTTTTGGCATGCCGCCTCTCTCTTTAATATCATGTAATACTTATGCTGTATTCTATGTACTACCTCGTGCCTAGAATGATCTGCAAAAAGGCTTGGAGAGAGTCCAGCTCTGCTGAACTGAACCCTACAGCATATCAGCTCTAAACCCTAAGCCGTCGGGTAGGTGGCTACAAGGCAAGGGGCTGGGCCGATCACTGGGACTTCCAGCGCCAGGCGCGGGTGGTCGAGAGCCGAATGGCCAAGGATAAACTATCGGAAGACACATGGCAGTGCCACGCACTGCGAGCTTAAGAGCGCCAATGTGTGTGCCCCCGCCCCTTTCTGCCGCACACCGGTTCGTGCGCCAGTTTGCCTTGGCTTTGCAGGTGCCAGTGCGACGTGTTGGCAAGCTCCGTCCGGCAGTTCCAGGTGCATCCTGTGCTACTTGTGTTTCCTCCGGAAGCAACTGCTGCCGAATCTTGTGGAGGTGTGCCTCTGCCCGCCTTTCAGGACAAGGCCCGCAATCCACACTGTTAAGTTGTGCTCACGCCACTCCGTGGCAGTGCTTTGGTTGAGAGGTGGCAGAGTTTTTCAGCGCGTCACGTGCGCAAGAGATGGGAAACGTACCCGGCCTGTGAGAGTCTCAGCTTCTGTCTGCGTGTTGTGGAGTCTCTCAAGGTCTTGTGGGTCACAGGTGTAAGGACAGTAGCTCCAACAGCTTAGGGTGCACATTGCTGTCCAGCTGTCCACGTGACTTTAAGCTTCTCCCACTTTCGCCGGCACCTTGCATCTCAACGGTCCAGCCTCCCTATGTATGCTCTTCTGGCATCCAGCTTCTTCTCAGGTCTGAGGAGCTAGAGACGAGCTACAGGAACCTGTGGCAGCGGGGCTCGCGGCCGAAGGCGGAAAGCCAGGAGCAAAGCTTGGAGAGCAATTTCTGCTGTGAGTAGCCTCCAAGGACTCCCTTCAAGACTTTGGAGGCCGACTTTGTTCTCCAACCCACGGTTCCCGAAGAGCCCAACACAAGGCATCATGCAGGATCTAGGATCTTCGCATGTGTTCCAAGGCAACGGTCCACGTGCATTGCTGCCGCGTGGGCGGTTGAGAAACGGGGGTCATGACACTCTTTCCTGCTTGAGATCTTGCTCCTAGTTGAGTGCTAGACAAGGCTTTCATATCAGTACGGAAACCAACCAAGCAGAGCTCAACTAAGTGTGTAAACGTGGACCGATAGATGGTGTGTGTTTGCCAAGGCTTGCAGTGCAAAAGTTTGCCATAGTTTGCCCAATCGCACCCTCGCAGAGTCCAACTACAAGGAGCTTCTTGGCCTTGAACGTCTCAGCTCGGTGCGCTGTGGGCTTCGAGAGGAGACTCTCCAAGTGGGGGCCCCGAGACCGGGCCTGTACTTTCCTGGCGTTTTTTTTGGCGGACTTTCGCGTTTCTTCCTTCCGCTGAAAGGACAGGGGTTTTCTTCTGGTCGAAGCTGGGATGTTGTTGCAGGCTTTCCGCCGACATCGTTACAAGTCGCTGCTGGGGTTTGGGCCCAAGACAGTACGCAAGCGCCGGGCACCGTGAGAGTCGTAAGCAATTCCAAACAAAATCCCAGCAACCACTTGCACCTTCAACGGAGCGTTTCAATTCTTGGCAGCCTGTCTTCTCAGAAGTGTTCTATTGTCTTGACCTATGTTTCAACCGGTACTATGAGAGAAACTTTTTTCATGGTAGGCGGTTCTGAGGCTCCAGCTGCTTCGAGGCTTTCGCCGCCGCCGGGCCCTTGAAGCCTCCTGGCTCCTGCGCACCGGCCCGAGACTTTCGGCAAGGGGGAAGGGGAGGGGAGGGGAGGGGAGGGGAGGGGGTTAGGCGTGATTGGTCAAGGGTACGCGCTTGGGTTTGAACAGGAGCTTGGGCGATCCAGTGCACTGAAGCAGAGTATTCTCTCGAGTCTTTTGCTCCGGACATGGATTTGGTAGCCTTTGTGATGCCCTGATCACGCGGGTCCTGGAGCTGTCCTAGTGCCCCGATTCAAAATTTGCGGCAGTCGAGCTCTCGAAGTACCTGTGGCTTTGAAGCCCAAGACTTTCTTCCGTTTTGCAACTAGTACCCAGTACCTCAGTTGAAAGAGCTTGCAGCTGTTCTCATTAAGGTTCCGATGTGCTTCTGGAAAGGCAGGGCAGCCTGGGCCCAGGCCGATGCCCTTTCGTGTGCAGTATTCCACGTAAGACCTTGCGTGGGTAGCTCCATCCGAACAGCTCCTGTATTGCGCAACCAGCCCGAATTCTAATTCTAACCCCACAAATGGCATTTCATGCCAAAGACTGAGAGGGGGAACTTCAGCCTCGGATCAACGCAGGCCCGTCGACCCACTCCGCCCAAGCTCCGCGTGCATCAGCGCACATCAGTAACAGAATGCCCCAAGGGTTTGGACCACAGCTCAGTTGTGCAGCTACAGAGCTACACTTCATGCTGACAGCCTGTGTTCGCCTGCCAGGCACGCCGGAGGCCCTTCAGCTCGTGAAACTCAGCAGCGACGCCTCGATCACCGTTCGACCGCACAGGATCCTTTCTACGAAAGCATAGCGGGTCATCTGCCTCTGTCAAACGAGGTTTGCTCTAGTGGAGGAAGGGTTCAAGCACCGAGGAGAACTCGCCTGCGACAGCGATCCAAGCGTGGGACTTCCAGGATCTCCCGCTCCAGGACCTGCCCTGCCCGGTCTGCGCTGAGCCGTGGCTCCAAGTCTCCGTGGTCATCCGTGGTCCCAGGAGGTGCCCCTCCGCTGCTTGGAAGGGACGGCTTCAAGTACGTCGAGCAGAAAAAGAGGAAGGCTGGACGGCCTGGACGTGAGATTTCCTGTGCTTGTGACCGTATGGGCGGAGAGATGCTCCAATCCTGCGCGCAGCAGTCTTTGCATGTCTCTGCGCTTGCGAGGCGGTGGAGACTGTGCAGAAATCATCCAGGCTGGGAAACATGGGAAATCTGTGCCTCTGCCCGGCATGAGCTTGCTACCGCACCTGGTGCCACGTAGGCCAAAGCAGCCTGGGTGAGCTATCGCCTCCTGGTGGATCGCAGCAGATGCCTTGAGTCGGAGGTGGCGTCCTCTCAGGGCCGTGAAACTTGCGGAGCTGCTGCTAACAAGTTGATCTATGCAGTCTCTACGACCAATGTGATTCAACGGGGAAAAGACTCAGGGTGCGCTGCGAGGTTCCCCGGCCACGACGAGCAGAGGAGATTCAGCCTTTGTTGCCGGCACCGCGCTCATGATTATGATAGTTGAAAGCACTTGTGGAAGTATGTGTGAAGGCACTCACAGGCATGTGGCTGCAGCTCTGACCATCTCTGTATGATTGTTCATACACAGAAAAGTCAGGATGTCGGGTTGTGTGCATATGTATGTACACTCAGGTTCGATAGATACGCACGCACATAAGCAGACCAACACACTGCAAGTGCTGTACCAGCGTGAAGGCATACGAAGCAGTTGGTTGTCTCGCACGTTCGTGAGTCCTCGGAGCTCTTAGCAGCCGAGGAACTCTTTCACGGCTTGAACTAGTTCAAAGTCAGAATCTAGTTGCTTCGGCGATGTGTTCGAGCATGCAAACGGCGATGTGTTCGAGCATGCAAACAAGCATAATTAAGGACTCTTCGCTGCAGGCCTGCCGTGTTCGTGCAACCCACTCGGCTTTCCAAATGCGCGAGCTCGAACCCCGAAGAAGCCCCATCAAATCAACGCTAGAAAGACGAAGAGCGAACATGCGGCGGCAACAGGAGCATCAGCGGCGCCTCGTATCAAACAAAAGCAACAACAGCAAGCAGTGAGATTGACTTTGTGACGGAAGGGAGGACGATGAGTTCTAGCGGACAATCGCGCGCATTTTCAGCATTAGGTCAGCAGACACGAAGAGGAAACTTGTGTAACGTCGTCACCAACGAAGTTGGCAGTGGAGAATGTCGTAGTCATGCAAGGCCAGCAATCGAAGCACAAACATAGACAGAGTGAGCCAAGGATCTCGTTGTCCGTACAACAAAGCGGTACACAAAAAGAAGCTGAGTGAGTCAACAAGTCTGATAGAAGTCAATCCTTTATTGCTTGCCATACAGAACATTACATGTTGCGCGCTGCAAATTTCATGTTATGTGTCACATTACATGACATACATACGCATGCATGCATGCATGCATGCATGCATGCATGCATGCATGCATGCATACATGTTTACATGCATACCTACATACATAGGTAGGTATATGAATAGATCAGGAGTCATAGAAATATACATGCATATCTATATCTATCTATACATACATGTATATGTTAATATGTAAATATGTAAACATGTATATCTGTATAAATGTATATATGTATGTATGTATACATGTATATATGTATATATATGTATATATGCACATATGTACATCTGTACATATGTGTATGTGTATGTATGTATATTTGCATATATGTATATTTGTTTATATGTATATATGTATATATGTATATATGTTCATATGTACATATGTACATATGTATACCTATATATATGGTTACAACTGTATGTCTATTTATGTGTTTATGTATATATGTATGTATGTGTATATGTATATATCTATCTGTGTATGTATGTATGTAGGTAGGTCTGTATGTACGTATGTACGTATGTGTGTACTTAGGTATGTCTGGTATGTATGTATGCATGTATGTCTGCATGCACAGATGTATGCGAATATGTTTTCATATACACATACATGTAGACATGTACATTACATATATATATATATGTATGCAAAAGTATACGTATACGTATGCGTATATGTATATGTATCCATGTGTGTGTGTCTAATCAATCAAATGTGAAATTTAGCCCATGATGTTGCGCCAGGGCCAGATCTGGACCGAGGAGGTCGTCTCTGCGGGCCGGCACATGGGAGAGGGTGGCGGCTGGGCCCTCGGAACATGATTGTCCTGACTTGCGACATTGCTGCCGGCTGGCCTAAGGAGTTTGTCGTTAAGATTGATGTCATCGCGAGCACGCGGTCTTCTAGTTCTCAACACGGTGGCGGCGCGCACGCAGTGGTAGCTGTTTCAACGTAAGTTCCGGTTCTGAAGCGCAGCCGTGCCGCAGCCACGAGCCGGGTTCAAGTCCCGGCCACGTCACCTCTCGTATCTGCATTGAAGGTGCGGATACCGGGGCCACGACGGAACTGATCAACAAAGTCTTCGATGGTCTGCGTGATGCGCTTCTCGAAGCCCTTAGCAAACAGAGTGAGGAGATCCAGAACTTGCGCACAGAAGTTCAGGCCAAGGATCTCGGGGTGGCCAAGATCAAGGCCGAGGTCCAGGTGATCAAGTCGAGGCAATTTGATCCCATACAGCTCGTGCTGGATGTGGAACACCTCAAGCAAGAACTGCGAGAATTGAAAGGTTCTAATGCGAACGGAGGGATCTGCGACGCGGCCAAATCCACCCCAGCATCGCCGGCGAAACCGAAGGAACGGGAGAAGCCGAAGCTGCAGCAAGTGTCGCTGCCGAGGAGCCTTGCGAGGGCGGCGCATCAAGATCTCTACCGCAAGGTGGCACAGCGCGTGCCAGAAGCGGGGAGTCACCGCCCGGAAGAGGTGCTTCAAACACTGCTCGATAGAGAGCGTGCCAGGGACACCAGCGTTACGAACACAGCCCATCCAAAGCACGACCAAGAGCAGCAGACAATGTGGAATTGTGTAAGGCAAGGGCTGGGGGCAAGGACATTCGGAAAGGTCCATACTACGCAAGGCGGGAGGTGGTCGGGTTCCTCAGGAAGGGTGAGGAGTTCACCGTCGTCGAGGAAAGGGCTTCGTCTGAGGGCATTTTCCCACGCATTGAAGGCAACAAGGGCTGGGTTTTCTCAGCATCCAGATCCGGCACATTTTGCCATCGCGTGATGGCTGATACCCGTGAGCGCGGCTGGACAAGTTCAAAGGATACCTGGAAGGACTCTTCTTCCACATGGGCATCGAAACCTATGGAAGACACTTGGACGTGTGACAGAGAAGACAAGCAAAATGGCAATGGAAAGATGCGCGCCGAAACGCATATCCTGGCGGCTGGGTTGCATGTTGGACACGCGCAAGCTTGCTGATGATGCACATGTGTTGTGTACATGTGTTACATTTTGTTACCATAGTTCCAGTGTTGCCAACACACGGCGACCCTTCAGGAGACGATGACTATTATGGCTATGGCAAGTTTCGAAGCTATCAACGTCGGTGAGATGCATGTCGCCATCCGTACTGAAAGTTGCATGTTGGCCAATGTGCCCGATGCGAATTCATTCCGCTGAAAAGTATTTGAACAGCGCTGCATGTGTTGCAGACAAGAATGGCAGCAACATCCCCAATTTCAAGCGGAAAACGGTTGGGCATGCAGCTGTGGCGTGGTTCTGTTGACAATCATTGTTGAAGCTCAGCCGTGCCGCAGCCACGAGCCGGGTGCAAGTCCCGGCCACGTCACCTCTCGTATCTGCATTGAAGGTGCGGATACGGGGGGCCACGACGGAACTGATCAACAAAGTCTTCGATGGTCTGCGTGATGCGCTTCTCGAAGCCCTTAGCAAACAGAGTGAGGAGATCCAGAACTTGCGCACAGAAGTTCAGGCCAAGGATCTCGGGGTGGCCAAGATCAAGGCCGAGGTCCAGGTGATCAAGTCGAGGCAACTTGATCCCATACAGCTCGTGCTGGATGTGGAACACCTCAAGCAAGAACTGCGAGAATTGAAAGGTTCTAATGCGAACGGAGGGATCTGCGACGCGGCCAAATCCACCCCAGCATCGCCGGCGAAACCGAAGGAACCGGAGAAGCCGAAGCTGCAGCAAGTGTCGCTGCCGAGGAGCCTTGCGAGGGCGTCGCTTCAAGGTCTCTACCGCAAAGTGGCACAGCGTGTGCCTGAAGCGGGGGAGGCACTGCCCGGAAGAGGTGCTTCCAACACTGCTCGATAGAGAGCATGCCAGGGACACCAGCGTTACGAAGACAGCCCATCCAAAGCACGACCAAGAGCAGCAGACAACGTGGAAGTGTGTAAGGGCTGGGGGCATGGACATTCGGAAAGGTCCATACTACGCAAGGCGGGAGCCTCAGCAACGGTGAGGAGTTCACCGTCGTCGAGGAAAGGGCTTTGTCTCATGGCATTTTCCCACGCATTGAAGGCAACAAGGGCTGGGTTTTCTCAGCATCCAGATCCGGCACGTCTAGCCATCGCGTGATGGCTGATACCCGTAAGCGCGGCTGGACAAGTTCAAAGGATACATGGAAGGACTCTTCTTCCACATGGGCATCGAAACCTATGGAAGACACTTGGACGTGGAACAAAGACAAGCAAACATGGCAATGGAAAGATGCGCGCCGAAACGCATATCCTGGCGGCTGGGTTGCATGTTGGACACACGCAAGCTTGCTGATCATGCAAATGTGTTGCGTACATGAGTTACATTTTGTTACCATATGTTCCAGTGTTACCAACATGCGGCGACCCTTCAGGAGACGACGGCTACTATGGCTATGGAAATTTTCGAAGCTATCAACGTCGGCGAGATGCATTTCGCCATCCGTACTGAAAGTTGCATGTTGGCCACTGTGCCCGCTGCGAATTCATTCCGCTGAAAAGTATTTGAACAGCGCTGCATGTGTTGCAGACAAGAATGGCAGCAACATCCCCAATTTCAAGCGGAAAACGGTTGGGCATGCAGCTGTGGCGTGGTTCTGTTGTCGCTTATGGTTGCCCTTCGAGTCCGCAAGGGTTGTCATCGTTTCATAATTTTTTCTGGAGACTGAGGCGGCTCTAGCATGTACCTGCCCTCCATGAAGATTCTGCCCGATCGTGCCGAACATGCAGTGCCTTGGTGGCAGTTTTCCTTTTTCCAGCGGCAACAGGATGACAACCCGGTTTCCCGAAACTGATGAGTTGAGGAGCGCGTGGCCCTGGCCTCGGTGCTCAATCGCCTCGGCGATGCCAAGAAGATCCGGGGGGCCGGGCGCTGAGGCACGGAATCAAAAGGTCAGGTGAGTAGTAGGGTTGATGGACCTGCGCAGGGGTCAGGTGACTTTCTTTTGAAGCTGAGGTCATACGACTCTACACATCGGCTGCCCTTTGCATCTCCTGCTTGGCGGCTTTCTGTGACTGGGCATGGACATCGTAGACTCTGTAGACATGAGACTTCGGCATGTAGCTGTGCGGCAATGTCAGAGGCCACTGCAAACGACTCCTCACGTCGCTGTTTTTCGAGGACGGTCGTCGGAGCGTCTGTTTGATATTCCTCAGTGCGCGCATCTGCTGACTGAATGCCCCTGTGCAGATCAGCTGTGACTCCGCCGATGAGTCGCAGCGGTGGTCGGACATAGCAACGGGTGGAGAAGAAACGCTGGACAGGTTTCAGATCACTGGTTTCGCCAGTGCTTGTCAGAGAGTGTTCTATTCTTTAGGGTTCTTGTCTCCTAACGTTTCCTTGGCATGTTCATATCATTGTAGTAGCTGATGTTTTGCAGCCTTACCGGCTCAAACGCGCAGGGGTTTTACGTGCCACCGAAAGCAGAAGAATTCAGGAGAAGACAAGAATTCAGGAGAAGACACAAGACATTTGCGTGGAAATCCGAGGGACCAGTCGAAAGTTATAGCCTTCGTTTCGTGACTCCGACGACTGGCGCCATGACCTCCTTGGCAGCTGCCCCAGTGGTTCGAACGTGAAACACCGGAGGCAGACAGAGGCAGGAAGGTAGGGAGGCAAGGCTTAGACCAAGGCTGCTTGTGGTGGCGGGTGCGTTGGCGCTGCCATGGCTTTTGCCCTGCTCTCGTGATCTTTGTTTCCTAAGCTTTCGATGTCTGGGTTCTGCTTTCTGCTTTCGTCGGCTCCTGCTGAGGCCTGGCAGGCCTGGAAGACCCGGCGGAGCGACAAAATGGCCGATCACTCGCCGCTCCTCGGGCCCGATCGAAGAACGTGGAGGAGGGCCCCCGCCGGGGTTCTGGGGCTTCTGATCCAAGGCCGCCCTTGGCCTCGCCAGCCATGAAGTCGCCGGCTCGGATGCGATGGTGACGACGGCTGCAATGGCTCCGACTCCATGTGTGAGGTATATGACATCCCCCACTAAGCATATCCATCGAGAGTCGCAGCCGCGGCTGCCTTAGACACCTCAGCCATGCCCGTCGCCCGGAATCGTGACATGACCCTGACTCCGAGGAGCTACAGCCCGACGAGCAAGGTGTCAGCCGAAGCCTACGACTCAGTTTGAGTCTGCTGACGGCGACGAGCTCTGTGAGCGCGTTGTGTGAAGAGTGCGATTTCCACTGCTGTGTCCGATGCTAAGCTCGGGTCCGAGGCGTCCTTGACAACGAACGAGGCGGATTTGTCCAAGCTGCCGGGCATTGGACAGGCCCCTTTCCCATGGTGCTCTAGGTTGGCTTTCGCCCTATGAATTTGACGGGGCTTGGAATCCTTTGCATCAGTGCCGGCGCTACTGTAAGCTGCAGGGCGGAAGTCGACACCGGATTTCCTATGAAACCTGGGTTTCCAGTGTGCCAGGGCATGGACAAGAACGAGTTCTTGGACCTGCTCAGAAAGCGCGGCGGCCCAGAGGGTTTCCGGAGCTTTGCCGGCTTGCCGCCCTGAGATTCCGCAGGCTCCTTGCAGAATCCAAGCATCTGCAGAACAACCCGCGTCTGGGCATCCATCCGGAGGACGGCGCTGGCACGGGAATGGGCAGAAATATGCAGAATCAGACTTGACCTCGAAGCATGGTGACAGGAGAAGCGCGCAGCAAACGTCGTCATCAAAGAGCTGGAGGCAGCTTGGGAAGTCAGCCCTGCCAAAGTTGTCCGGTGGCAGCTCCAGGCAGTCTCTACGCGTGCTGGTGGCCCCCTGATCGTGGAGGCAGTGGTCCACGGATGATGTACAGCATCGGGCCTGATAGCATCGTTGTCACGTTCGAAAGACCAACAGTAGAGGAGCTGGAGTACGTTCCCGGCAGATCCAACCTCAAGGTGCATGCTTTGGCGAATTTGGGTGCTGGGATCTCTCCCGTGGTGGTAAACACTTTCCGTAACGGCTTCCGGTTCCATCAGAGAAGCGTGCTGCATGCTGCTGGCACATCTGCCAAAGCCAGGTGACCTATCCGGGCTCTGGTAAGGAAACAACTTCGTTTGTCCCCGGCCCGGCGACACCAAGAGCCAAGAGCCGGAGGCAATATCGACCTTTGCGAGATGAGGTGGGCAGCCACTTTGATGTTGTCCCTGCAGATCCGGAGGCGTGGTCCAAGGACAGGTCGAGCGCATTGGTTCGGTAATGGTTTTGCATGGCTGGCGTTCCCAGGACCCCTTTCAGCTGACCGTAGAGGGAGACCTGCTCTATGGCAGAGGAACCACCGACTGCCTAGGCCAGGCGTTTTGCAGACTCCAGTTTGTGACGGCTCAATGTTCCGCTCTTCACGCCGTGGAGGCCATGTCGCGCTCCTGACCCTTTTCCTCCGCGAGCTTGGTCGCACAAAGCCAGCGTTGAAGCGAAGCCGTTGGCTCAGACGCCCGAAAAGTCGGCACACAGATGTATAGATTGATTGAAGTTCAAGCAGCTATCCTCGGGATAAGCGCACTGTTGACTAGACTTACACTTGCTCGGACATTCACCGGAGTGAGACAACATGGGATATAGCGAGCTGAAGCTCTTGCAGGCATCGTGGTTGTCTTCATTGCTGCTGAAGAGGGCGGCGAAAAGAATATTGGAGTGGATGCAGTGCTCAAGAACGGCAAGTTGGAGGAGGCTTTGCGGCCGAGTTGTGTACCAACTACTGCACGCTAGACATTGTGCAGCATGATGCAGCATGCTTTGCAGGGCCTCAACAATCATCAACTGTGCTTTTCACTGAAGCAGGCCAAGAATGGTCCGGTATATTGGGTCACAGCCTCAGCTCGAAGGAAGGTGTCCGGGGCAGAAAGCAAGACACAGGCTTTTGCACCATTTTGTAACGTAGCCGTCGCCTGCAGGTGTAGGCTGAACCCTGGCAGGTCGACTCTGCAGATTCCAACCCTTGCTGCGGCACTGCCGGAGCATTGTCCTGGTGCGCGAAGCCCATGTTCACCGCTGACTTTGTGCATTTCTGAAGTTGCGGGTGACAACACCAGTTTGGATTCTCCCAGATCCGATGCCTACGCATACCGTACGAGAACCCACTAGACTTCCAAGACCTCGAAATCCAATCGAAGTGTTCCTTGGAAGGACACGGACTTGAGGGCTAGTTCGCTCCCAAGTTGTGCAGGTCGCTGAAGTGTCGAGGGCGCTTGTTTCACAGCGGCACCTCGGCGAATGTAGCGCAGTCGACAGAAGAAGTCGCATGGGGCGAAGCCGCGTAATTATTAACTCATAGTGGCGCCGACACTTGTCACGAGCCGAGGCTTCCCCAACAAGGCCATCAATTCCATTGAGCTTGCCAACGAGGACTGGAGCCGGTTCTTTAGCTGTAAATTCGGATGACGCTTGAAGGTCACATGGAGAGAAGACGTCCTTTGCTCCTCTTTGCTGTCAGGCCATCGCGTTCATCCAGGAGCGTTTCTACAACGACTTCAAGCCACTTCCCGAGGAGGAGCTTTACTCCTTCGTTACGGGGCTAGGGACTCAGCAGGCCAAGCCGCCCAATGGGTTCTTGGTTTGATTTGGTGGACAGTCTCCGGCGGCCAGGTCTCACATGAAGCCGACTCAGATCGAGTGCAGCAAGGGCTCCTTCAACCAAATCCCCGCGGAGACTACTGTCCACGGCGATATCAGGCTCGGCCCCTTCTGCTTGTTCGGGGCGCGCCCATGGGAACGTCGATCTCCAGGTTGTCTCCTTTCTACGAGGTCGAGGACGTTGTTGAACACATCGAGCGGTACGTCCAGGACGTGAGCCGCTCTCGTCGACGTTGAGCCGTCATTGTGTCGTTGAAGATGTTCTCTGTGCGGCAGGAGCTGAACGACGACATGGAGTGCTTGTTTAGTTCGGCTCGAGGCAAGGCTGGAGACTGCAGGGTACCGGCTGGGAAATTCCTTGAGAGAGCAGCGAGAGAGCACAGGTCCCTGGAGTAAGTTTGTTCTCCCAAGCGGGGTGCAGGCCGGACATCCGCAGTAAAGTTGCAATGAGGTCCTCGTGGTGTCGTCTCATTATCTCGTGGAAGCAGCTGCGGCAGGTACAGGACGGCGAAGTCAATCGGGCGAAGGCAACGACGGGGAGCTGTCAGACTCCGGTTAGGAATCTAGGAACCCAACATCTGCAGAATCAGTCCGAGTTGTGGCCGTGCAGTGAAACATGGTCGTGCAGTCTAAGCCTAAGCTGTCATCCTGCGAGGTGGAACTGAAGTGGATGGGCGACATGGACACGTTCCGGCTGTATGCCGGCTTAGCTGTTAAACTGGAGTCGGATGGTCACAAGGCTGAGCAAGGGCAGAGTCTGGTGAAGAGCCGCTTCAAGTCATGGGCTTTCTCTCATGATGGAGGCTTTGGTGCAGGCCTTCCGCGAAAGCAACAAAGGCAGGGCCTGTGTGGTAAGGCGTTAAATCAAGATCGCAGCTGTGACTCGACTCAGGAGCAACTTTTTTGCCTGGAACCTCTCCCCATGTTTTCGCTTGCATATCGCATTTCTCGACCGACTCGATCTGTACTGGTGCAGCAGCTCTCACTTTCTAAGCGATCCGACTGGCTACGGTCGTCATTGCAGATTTTAGCTTCGAGGGTTGCGCGCATACTCGGAGAGAAGGTGTCCAGCCCTTCAGCATCAATGGCTCGCTGCCGCCCTGGACCCAGCAATTGCCGAAATTCGTGAGGTCTAGACAGACCGCACAGCGCTTCGCGAGTAATTCTCGCAACTGCATAGGTGCAGCCCAATGGGGTTTCAGGGTTGGTCAAGATCGCTTCCTGCAGGCTTGTGAAGATGATGCAGAAGGCTGGCAGATTGGAGGGCCTGATCGGGTTGACATGTTGACCGGCCTCAGGCTGGCTTCGACATACAGATGTGTGGCTTTGGGAAGATGTCCGTCTACCATGGCGTCAACGAGTGCCCATCGGGTGGTTCGGCAAAGGGCTTCGCAAGAGTCGAGGGACCTCGCTAAGAGCAAACAGTCCTGCACGAGCAGACATCCAAAACTGTCATGCGCAAGACCACGGAGACACTTAGGCCAAACTTCCAATCCGAAAAAATTCGACAGAGCTTAGATAAGCTAGACACAAGTGATAGCGCCGATCAAGGAGCACGATATTTTTGAAATGCTCCACAAGAAGCGGACGTCAACAACTCAATAGCGCGTGCCAGAATGCCCCACCCACAAAGTCTCGCCGAAGCTTTCTTCTCTGCCTGCCTGTGTGTGTGTGCGCGCGGGAACGAAGTAGGCCATGTTCGCGAAAAGAACAGACCGAGGGGCGGTCCACAGTGATGTGCGGTGTGTTCATGTGTTCGGTGCCTTCTACAACAGAACCAGTCGTGAAACGGCCTTCTGCAAAGAGGGCCTTGGATTGGCAGTGCGGCACCAACTGCTGCACAAGCGGTGGTCTTGCACGTCGGTCGCGGTCGCAGTCGTTCACGAGCCTTCCCAAATTCAGAAGTATCTCCTAGCTTAGTTTGGCTAGAAGCATAGTTAAGGTGTAGGTCCACTGAACAGCATGAAAACCAACGGCATTTGCACTTGTGATAGAAGGCAGAAGACTGGTTTGCAACAGGAGGGGTGGCGAGCTTGCATGTTCCAGCCTGCCAACTGGATCCTCCAGCTCGAGAGGCGACAGCTTTGCCAACCTGTACTGCTGCACATGATTCCTGTGTCGTGAGAAACACTTGTGTTTCGTTGTGCAACACGTTCATGCATCTGGAGGGCGGTGTGGGACGACATTACCCACGTGGCCATTTTGGCACAAGTGGGTATCATGAAATTTCTCACCCCACTTCGTAATCGGAGCGATGGGGGATCCAAGTGAATCTGAACTGGCATCCATTGCTACCCTAGGTGATGCTGCTAATCGCGTCGGCCTTTCGGGCACAGATGACGACCTGCAGACGCGTAGAGGTTCATTCTTCACTCAGCTCGGCGTCAACTCCGCAACCAATGTGGCCATATACTAGCGACCTTTGCACAAGCTGAGTTCAATGCGTTGCTGACCAGCTGGACCATTGCAACAACTATGGACACGAATGGAGCAGTCACAGCTCAGGGAGCCCCCACCATTGCAGAAGTTGGTATGGGGCGGTTGATTGGTCGCATATGCCGTCGGTGCGTCGGCACTGAGCCACAGGTTAGCACAACAGCATCACCTAGCCCTAAAGCCACTTCGTCTGCAGCATCGCGGAAAATCAAGTTGAACCAGGTTGTTTCCCAAGTGGACGAGACAGAGATTGAGCCACTCAGCGAAGCCGATCTCCTCATCATGTTTGCTCGGTATGAGGCTTTGTTCGGAAAGGGCCAGCGGCCCCCGAACAACCGCGAGCCTACCTCTGAACAGTTGGCGGCCCTCAGATCATTGATTGCATCAAACCAGGTGCCTTACGCAGATTTCGCAATTTTCAGCTCGTACGGCACAAGGATTCAGAAGAAGTTGCGATTTCAAGGGCTTGCCCTGAGCCGAAGCGGAGAGTTGGTGCAGACCGAGATGTACGGGCCTTCGTCGCTTTCCTCCTGGAAGGTCTCATACGGTGTGTACCTCAACGCTATGATCATGCTAGACGCTGCTGATTTGGGACCGCTCCTTCAGTACCGAGCGCGCATCGAGAGGATGCACGAGAGGTATGGCGAGCGGACTTGGGCACTGCTCTACCAGGCAGACGTCCGCGCGAGGCTCGAGGAACTACCCCGTGTCAGACTGGAGCTGAAGTTGGCGCACAACGCGGCAATTTCGGCAGCGGGCACAACACCGTACGATGATGCCCGTCCCTGGAACGAAGCCCTTCGTGTTTTGGCTGATCGGGACAAGTTTTGGACCGAAGAGTTCATGGAACCTGCCATCCTGATTGCTGCCGACAAGACCACAGTGAGGATGGCGATTGACAATGACGCCGTGATCGACAGAGCCACGCCAGTTAGTGCCGCAGAGGGACAACGCCAGAACCAGCTCAGTGGCGACGAAGGCATGTTTAAAGCCAGGCCTCGCAACATCAATCGGACGGGTCGTTACCACGAGATTGCCGAAGGCAAGTACGTCCTCAATCGCACAGGATACAAGCTCTGTGGTGCATTCCAGGAAGGCAAGTGCACAGAAACCGTGCAAGGCACCTGGTGTGGCAAGACGCCTGACTTGGCGCATCAGTGTGCGCGGTGCCTGGGCGCACATGGCATGTGGAAGTGTCCGCATGCAGACATGCCACGGGTTGGATGGGCCGAGAAGAAAGGCAAGGGCAAGGACAAAGGCGACAAAGGAAAGGGCAAGGGCAAGAGACCTAGGTCCATTCCGTACTGACTATATCATGATGGCTTGACTGACAACTTTGGTGTGGAGCAGTCAACAGGCCATAGTGATGCAGTTCACACGCCATCATCAGTGCATGCGAATGTCGCAGTTCCCCTTGTGCTTTGCTTAATCTCGGGCTCCTACAAACTTGGCGGCTTCAAGGAAGCACTGAAGAAAGTGAGCCTCGGCTGCGAAGTGATCGATTTTACGTCGGATCCAATCACAGATTTGCTGGACCATCAGGTCTCTCAAACTTTGAACTGTCGAATCCTGAAGGGAGATTTCGTTGCAGTTCTTATGTCACCTCCATGCAGCACTTTCGATGCAGCAAATCAGCCTTCTGCATCAAGCCAGTCGCGACTCAGAGACTCTTCGGGGCCAGGCCTTTTTGGCAGAAAAGGCATTTGCCCGGAGGACAAGCAGTTTGTGCGACACCACAATTGGTTTGCATCGCAATCAGCGGCCGCAGGGCAGTCATGCCTGCAGCGAGGTATTCACTTCTGCATTTTGAACCCTGCGTGTCGGACAGGTGAGCCCTCACTGTTCAATTTGCCTGACTTGATTGCATTGGCTTCTGAAGCGGGAGTCAGTCTTAGCAAGTTCGTGCAACATCAGTCGGGTTCTGTACATGAGGAAGTGTTTGAATGTTTGGGCAATTTGTTGCTTGATTTTGAGAACGGGTTAACGCCGCTTGATCCGGAAAGGGTGAACGAGGCGTTAGCTATGTCCATTGCCCGGCATGCCAACTCATGCATGCACCGTGCGGAGCTCAGTCCAGCGTCGGTACATCCAGTGCGTTCAGGATCGCTGGGCTTGTCTTCGTCTTCGCATGACATTTCTAGTGTGACACGTGTAGTTAAGAAGGCACGTGTCACCGGTGCACCTGATTCGCAACCCAGGGAGTTTCGTGACGACGACTCATCCTGGGCTGGGGGGCTCAGGAGCCCACATAAGTTTATCATGTCACGCCAACAGACGATCAACGTTGGTGTTCAGATTCGCAATGTCATGGATTCCTATCTTGACACTTACCCAGGGCTTGAGGCATCTCTGTTGGATTCCATCGGGAAGCCCCTGGGTGATACCCGCATCCCTGCTGAGCGGGTAGACGATCTACGAGTAAGGGTGTCAAAGCTTTTGTGTAGGACTCTCGGCCACACCTTGCTCGAAGGACAGTGGGAGTTTTTCAACGAACCCGTAGAAAACGGGTTTTGCAAAACCTCTCTTAGGCATGCATTTATAAAGCTTTGGGCCAAGGCGATCGATGATCCAGCCTCTGACGCTGTCGACTGGTTGGAGACAGGAGCGCCCTCCGGAATTACTGTTCACCCAAAGTTGGAAGGGATCTGGCCCCCTGTCGAAGGGGATGAAGCCAAGATCGAGTCTGAGTTTTTTTTTCACGAATTTTGAATCTTTCCACAACTATGCAGGGGTTGAAGAGAATCCTGCAGCTATTTCTGCCATCCAGGGATATATTGAAAAAGGCTACTTACGTCCTTTCGATTCCCTGGATGAGTGCCGTTCTGCGCTGGGAGGTTTTGAACCTGTATTGAGTAGATTAGGTTGCATTTCAACAGAGAAGCCTACACCCGATGGCGGCACAGTCATCAAGAACCGTATCATCTTGGATGCTAAGCAATCCGAGGTCACCTCTGCGACTTCACGCGAGTATAGGTCTGTTATGCCACGGCTCACAGATGCTGTGACAGATGCACTTTGCATGATGAGCAACCTGGAAGCAGATGAAACACTGGAGCAATTGATTGCGGACATATCGGATGCTTTCTGGCTGATTCCACTGCATCCGAATGAACGTAGATTTTTCGTCGCGCGCTTTCAAGGCAAGTATTTGGTCTTCGAGCGAACTGCACAGGGGTCGAGGGGCGCACCTCTCACATTTTGTACAATCATGGGATTGGCCACAAGGTTGCTTCAATCTTTGCTTTTGCATGATCACTTGCACATGAAGCGTCACAAGCAAGATGCACGCGTGCAAGTGTACACGGACGACCCATGGATCATTGCAAAGGGCACGCCGTCACAGGTCAACCGGATTTTCAGTATTGTCCTGTTGACGTGGTGCTTGTTTGGGTTTCCAGTGGCAACTCACAAAGCCACACGAGGAAGATCGTTGAAGTGGATTGGCATGTACATCAGCTTGTTCTCTGATCGTGTCGAAGTCAGCATCCCACCGGACAAAGTTGACGAGCTGGAGCGTATGACTTTGGATTTTCTGAAGTCAAATGTGGTGTCTGTCAAGGCTCTACGTACTTATGTAGGCAAAGCCATGAGCATTGCGTCCGTTATCTATACATGGAGGCCGTTCCTTAACCAAATTTTTGCTGCAATCCACTCAGACGTGGATTCGAATGCACCAAATGGGTGCGTCTGGTTGCGACAAATCGAACATTCGTTGCTTTGGTTTAGGGCATTTTTCAGTACCCTGAAGCACCACCTTGTCAGGACATGGCCATTGGACGGATTCCTGAACGCAGGCCCACATGTCGTGATTATTTGGGATGCAAGCCCTTTTGGAATTGGAGCAGTGTTGTGCATCAACGGTGCCATTGTCGAGTACTTACATGACACGCCGTCAAGCTTTGAGTCTGATTTGCTCCGCCTTGTTAGAGGGGATTCGGAGTCACAGCAAGTCATGGAATGTTTAGCAGGACTTGTCGCTCTTCGCACTTGGGCTCATTTCTGGAAGAAGCGCAAGATTTCTCTGGCCATCAGAAGCGACAACGTAGGAGCACTGATTCTTCTTTCCAAGTTGAAGACCACATCAACTCGCAATGCAATCATCGCACGTGAGTTTGCATTGGACTTGGGCGATGCTTCATTCGCTCCACGCATCATTGAGCATATTCCAGGCTTCACTAATGTCATTTGTGATTCGCTGAGTAGGCTGAGTAGGCTTCTCGATGACTCCGGCAAGTATGCCACTCCTCCCATTCTCAAAGAATGTCGGAGGGTGGATCTCCCAGCGCGCAATGAAGATTGGTGGCGAAGCATTCGGCCGCTAAAGCAAGTGGCAGATAACCGATAGTTGGGGCCGTGCTTCGTCTATGGGCCCAGTTTCATGTGCATGACGCCGCGATGGACTCTCGGCTGCTTAAGAAAAGAAAGCTTCCGTGCACTGTGTTACTTCCGCCTGCACTTCCACAGTCGGGATGTGGTGCCATGTCTTTCACGGAGGCATTAGCGGACTGTATTTTGGAACGGGCAGAGACCCCTGCAAGAAAGTACGTGGGAGCTTCACCGCCCGTCAGTTCGCAGCGTCTTGTTTCTAGACCGCAGCACTCATTGATTGAGCGCACCAGGACACGCCATGATCAGCCAAAGGTCATCTTTAACACCAGGGTTTCCCAACCGCTCGCACTGCAAGCCGTTGAAAATCCTGCGACTTTGGATAGAGCGGTGGCTGCTTTGGAAGAGGACATGCATGCCGCCACATCCAGGAAGCCACGCGACTCGAGGCTTCAGACGTGGACTAGGTTCCACGGCAAGGTGATGGGAGAGTCTCCAGTGGTGCCGCTGTCTACAGAAGGACTTTTGAGCATCTCGGCGCTGTTTAAAGCTGGCAGATACAAAAGTTTCCCTGGATATTTAGCAAGGGCCAAGGACTTGCACATTTCTGAGGGATACACGTGGACACAACAACACGACAGACTTGCAAAGTGTTGCTCAAGGTCCGTACTGAGGGGCCTGTCAGGCGACGCTGATAGATCGGAGCCCATCGATTTTGACAAGGCCATGTCAGTCTGCATGCGTGTGGGATACAACACACGTTTCAGAAAGGCTGCGTTTTGTCCCTTTGCAATGGTGTGTGTAGGGACTCTTTTTCTATGCAGAGAGATTGAGCTGGCTGGCGCTTTAGCTACAGAGTTGAATTTCAGAATGGACAACACCGTCTTGGAGATTTATCTTCCTGCCTCCAAAATGGACCAAGAGGCAAAAGGTGTGGTGCGTACCTTTGAGTGCATTTGTGACACCTGCAAGTTTTGCCCAGTTCACCTCTTGAGCGACTACGTTAGTCGCTTAAAGAGGGTATTCGTCCATGAGATGGGTATGGATTTCAACCAGCTCCCGCTTTTCCCGAGGGCGGATGGCACCGCCTTGTCGAAAGAGGCAGTCAACAGCATGCTCCGCCAGATTGTTAAGAAGTATGGCGGCAGAGTTGATGACGAAGCGGGCCGTTCCTGCATTTCGGCTCACACATTCAGGATCACCGGAGCGAGACTTCTGGCTTCATGGGGTCTCGACGCCTACACAATAGGCATACATGGAAGATGGTCCAGCTCTGCCATTCTTTCTTACTTGGCGGAATCTCCATTGATTTCGGTTGCGACGAGACTTCGCAAAGAAAGCTCTGTTTCAAGATCCGTAAGGGATCTTGCTGAGCGAATCGCTGCTCTGGAAGAGTTCTTCATCTCGGATTCTGAGGAATGTTCTTCCTCGAGTGACAGCTCTTCTTCTTGACATGTCCGCTGAGAATATACGGATATGTCTGGAGCACTTTCGCTCATTCCCACCGGATATGTATGCATCATCGCGGTCTGCAGTTCTTTGTGCCTGATGCCCGGTCACATGCGAAGAGCACGACCGCAGACGTTCAGCAATGAAAGAGAGAAAAAGAATCTCCTTCCGGTGGGTGGGAGGGCTCGTATAAGCTTGTGAGTGTTGCAGTGAGAAACACTTGTGTTTCGTTGTGCAACACGTTCATGCATCTGGAGGGCGGTGTGGGACGACATTACCCACGTGGCCATTTTGGCACAAGTGGGTATCATGAAATTTCTCCCACGCATTTCTGTCTCCCTCCCTTGAAATTTCCAGTGGATATGTTTGGAGCACTTTCGCTCATTCCCACCGGATATGTATGCATCATCGCGGTCTGCAGTTCTTTGTGCCTGATGCCAGGTCACATGCGAAGAGCACGACCGCAGACGTTCAGCAATGAAAGAGAGAAAAAGAATCTCCTTCCCATGGGTGGGAGGGCTCGTAAGCTTGTGAGTGTTGCAGTGTCTGGCACTGGAACCTCTAGAAACTGCGTGCGACCACGTTGATTCAGCGATGTTTATGTCACGTCTGCCACTCGAAACTGGGCGTTTGATTTTGGGTTGGGGTGCTGAACAGGAACAGCACACAGTTGTTCTTTGGCACTGCATCCACTTGTGCAACACGGCTTTCGCCTCGGTGGTGCTGGCCACAGTATGTTGCAAATTGATTGCAGGTATGGGTTGCTAACTGGCAAGCGTTGCAGTCGGTACTGGCCAGCATGCTTTGAGTGTGGGGGTGCTGCTTCTCAACTCCGGTATGAGTGCTTTGGCAAGCCGCGTCAACACGGTGTACGACCGCATGACTAACAGCCTGGCTCATGACCCTATGATTTTGGTTTCACTTGTGCCACCAGAAACCGTGCATGGCACATTGACTGTGAATTACCAGTGCTGAATGTACGACAGCTGCTATCTTCGAATATCATCCGTGGTGCTAGCAAAGGTGTGCCGCAGTCGGATTTTGGGGTTGGGTTGCCAACATCTTGCAACACTTGTTCCACAAGCAGGTGTTCTATTGGTGTTGGCACCGCGTGTGGCATTTTGATTTTGTGTTTGGGTTGCTTAGTAGTGGACCTTGCAAGAAGTCTGTTTAAGCAATTGTGCCACAAGACTTTGTCCTGAATAGTGCTGGGAAGCGTGCATGGCATTTTGATATTGCGTTTGGGTTGCTTAGTCGTGGGCCTTGCTGAGAAGGCGTCCAAACACTTGTACCGCAAGACTGTGTTCTGACGTTTCGGTGTTGGGTTTTGGTTGGGTTTCTCACTAGGCCGTTTGGTGGTGACACCTGCCACCCCAACCATTGATGAAGGATGTTAGGTTGCCTGTTTTCCGTTGCAATAGCTGCTTGCTTGAAACTTCATTTGATTGCTCATCGGGTTGTGCTCTGGCACAACTACGCACACTTGCCGCTGCACTTGCCCTCGAAGTTTCCGACTTGCTAACTGTTCGGCTCATTGGCATGTGTTGGCATGGCGTTGGGGCTCTGTCCTTTCTATGTGTACCGAATGGACAACTTGCTGAGGGGACGCAAACTTATCGCTGGCGCGAGGTACTGTACGTTTTCGGAGATGACGAAGGCGCACGAGGTCATCGTTCGCCTGATCTGTCTCCTGGACTGGGGTCAAAGTAGCGGCAGCGTCACATCCGCACTGGTGCCTTTTCGGACTATCACCATGATACAAGGCATTGCAAACCAGGCAAGCGCCAGTAAATCCTGTAAATCTGCGATAGGACGAACTCGCCGTTCGACTCGACCACTTGATTTGATTTGCACCTCCAAAGCTGAGACAGAAGCCGGCCAGAGACCGCTGCACCACGTGGAAGATTCACAGACACGGTTTTTGGGGACATAACCAGACCGCGTGCTATCGCAACGGGACTGGATCGTAGTACCATGAGAGCATGTGGTGCAAGAGCATGATTGGATCTCAACTCAGCAGACATGCACTGTGCATGCTGTATGGCGTCACGCAGGAGATGGCTGCAAAGTGAGCCCATTCCGGGACCGTTGTGAGTTGCGCTTTAGACTCGCCTTTCTGGGGTTCCATGGCGATGGTGTGAGACAGCCAGCACTCGGTCTTAAATGCTGTCGGTGCGTGTAACAACGAAGCCGTTTTGTTCGAAGATGCTACATCTCTTCTATCATGGAGCCCTGGGAGAGCGTGAAAGGATCCACCGGGGGTGTGCCCCGACGTTCTCTGTGTGACCTTCCGAGGTTCACGAGCAAGTGGCCTGCACCAGTGGGTCATAGAAAAGTCATGACAGGCAATGCGGGCTGAGATGTCCGGCAGCATGGCCTTTCGATTGCAAGGCTGTGCGCACCTCCGTGACAGGGCCCAAGATGTCCTGATACAAACAGATATGCGACAGAACAGCGCATCAGACCTCAACTCTTCCTGTCCGGTAACTCAGTAGCACGTGTGCAGGACCCGTAGCCCAAAAGCAACCTATGGTCTCTTGCAGCCTGATACCTTGATTCACCGATAACTGCTACTGCTACTGCATTTGTTCAGACAGGGGGTGAGGTCCTCTTATGAGCTAATGAAGAACTCTGTACGGTGCCGACGTCAGGTGTTTTCTTTTCCTGAATCGGAATATGCCCGCGAATTCTGGCCGCGTCCAGACGCCATGGAGGGATGACCGACACCGGTGATTGTGCGCCTTGATGGATGGTTCGCCACTGCAGCCGCGACCTCACACACTGATTCTCCAGGCGTGCCAGGTCCAATTTGCGGCTTGTCCAAGGCACTTTTCCAACACATCGCAAGCATCTCCTGCATCGTCACCAACAAAGAGCTCAGGCTGGAGGAAACAGTTTCAGCACAGGATGTGCTGGTAATCATCAAGCATCCGATGCTCTTCTTGTCAGACAGCATTTTCTCTGTCTCTCTCTCCCTCTCTGTCCCCCTGTCTCTCTCCGCCCCTTTCGTTGCGTTCCTGAGCAGGTGGCTTTCGCGCGACAACACAGTCTGCACCATCCAAGCTGATGGATGGACAGCTTACTCTGTTGAGGACCTTTTCGGCCAGAAGGGCCTTGCTACTGGTAGCCGAGCTTTTCGCATGGCACAAGTGCTCGTGTTGTTTTTTGCCCACATGTTTCGTCGAGCTGTGCGTCGGACTGATGCCGATGACTGCCATGCTACGGTTGTGGACAGGCCGCCACAGGCTCGGTTGGGAAAACAGGACTTGAATTAAGCCAATGTGAGGCGCTGACAGCCTGTGCCCCCTGCACAAGCACAGAGATATACGACACGACGACAATCAGAGCCACAATCACAACAGCGCTGCTGCTGTTGCTGCCGCAACCACCCCTACGAGCGTCATTGCAAATGTCAAACACGCGATGACAACACCTACCAATAATGCGAGGACTGCAGCAATGAGAGTCATCATATTCGGTGGCTATACTGTTAATTCTTCAAAGTTGGCTCTTCAATCAGCCACAGCCATGCAAACAGAGTATTACCAAGCAGGTGGTATGTAGATGTAT